CCCCTCCACACTTTCCAACCTCATTGATTTGGACATGTCAGTCATGGAACCCACACCCTTGATGGTTGAGGATGGATCTGCTATGGTAGGTCTCAATGTTGAGCCCACCCAAGTTCAGCCTGAGGGTCCACAATCCTCCGGCGAAATTGTGCTCCCGGATGAACCAGGCAACCTCTTGCCAGAATCCTCCGGCGATATTGTGGTCCCTAATGAACAAGGTAACCTCCTGCCAGAATATGATTCCTCTGATGAGGATATGGATGTTGAGGGGAAGGTTGATCTTCCTGGTGAGGAGGTTGCAATGGCTACATAATTGCTCAGTGATAGATGTACATAAATCTTTTTCAATGCATGTTACCTATGCCACAATTGAATGATTCAATAATCAGTCCCGATATCCAGAACTCGAAACTGTAGATTGAGGTAGATATCACCCTACACCCTAACACCCGAATGTCAAATTTTCAGTGCCGAACACCGAGTGCCGGGTGCCTGGGTGCCGAGTCCCAAAGCCCGGAACTCAGGATTTGACATTTGAGACGAACGACATTTTTCAAACATGTTTCTATCAACCTCCGTATATCTATAAACATTTTACTAACCTCCAACCCCCGAAATATATTTTTGTTGTCTCATACCGAGTTCCGAGTTCCGGGACCCCCGAACCCCGAAACCCGAAACCCGGCAGTCCACAATTTCGGGGTTCGGGAGTTGGGTCCCGGAACTAGGAACTCGGTATGTGAGACAAGCAAAATATATTTCAAACACGGGTAAGTCAATGTGTCCGTCAATCACCCGAACCCCGAAATTGTGGACTGCCGGGTTTCGGGGTTCGGGGGTCCCGGAACTCGGAACTCGGAACTTGGGAAATTTGGGGAGATCAATAAAATATAATTTACAATCGAGTTGATTGACGGACACATTGACTTACCCGTGTTTGAAATATATTTTGCTTGTCTCACATACCGAGTTCCTAGTTCCGGGACCCAACTCCCGAACCCCGAAATTGTGGACTGCCGGGTTTCGGGTTTCGGGGGTCCCGGAACTCGGAACTCGGTATGTGAGACAAACATATATTTCATACACGGGTAAGTCAATGTGTCCGTCAATCAACTCGATTGTAAAGTATATTTTATTGATCTCCCCAAATTTCCCAAGTTCCGAGTTCCGAGTTCCGGGACCCCCGAACCCCGAAACCCGAAACCCGGCAGTCCACAATTTCGAGGTTCGGGAGTTGGTAAAATTTGTATGGATAGATGAAAGGTTGATTTAAACATTTTTGAAAGATGTCCCATATGAAATGTCAAGTCCCAAGTTTTGATTTCTGGCTTTCTGGAGTCCCGAGTCCCGAAGCCCGAAGTCCCGACACCCGGAGTCCCGAAACCCGGAGTTCAAAATTCGGGACTTAACATTTCATATGGGACATCTTTCAAAAATGTTTAAATCAACCTTTCATCTGTCCATACACATTTTACCAACTCCCGAACCTCGAAATTGTGGACTGCCGGGTTTCGGGGTTCGGGGTTCGGGGGTCCCGGAACTCGGAACTCGGAACTTGGGAAATTTGGGGAGATCAATAAAATATACTTTACAATCGAGTTGATTGACGGACACATTGACTTACCCGTGTATGAAATATATTTTTGTCTCACATACCGAGTTCCGAGTTCCGGGACCCCCGAACCCCGAAACCCGACACCCGGCAGTCCACAATTTCGGGTTTCGGGGGTTGGTAAATCTCGGTTTGGGGTTTTGCACTGAAAAGTTGACATTTATACGTATCCAGGCTCACCCATATATGTACCCATCTATGTACAATTCCCCCACGTCAGCCCACCCATCTATGTATTATCCCCCACGTCGGCCCACCCGTCTATGTAATACATCCTATGTTGGCCCACCCGTCTATATAATACATACTACGTCGGCCCACCCGTCTATATAATACATACTACGTCGGCCCACCCGTCTATATAATTATACCCCACCTCGGCCCACCTGTCTATGTAATAAATATTTTATCACACCCTCGGCCCACCCGTCTATGTAATACATCCTATGTTGGCCCACCCGTCTATATAATACATACTACGTCGGCCCACCCGTCTATATAATTATACCCCACCTTGGCCCACCTGTCTATGTAATAAATATTTTATCACACCCTCGGCCCACCCGTCTATTTGATATCCCTTTCGTCGGCCCACCCGTATATGTAATACTTTTTATGTCGGCCCACCTGTATATGTAATACACCCCGCGTCAGCCCACCCATCTATGTAATATTCCCCTACCTCGGCCCACCCATATATGTAATACACCCCCGTCGGCCCACCCGTCTATATAACAATATTTGCCTTACATCTCTCTTCAGCCCAGCTGTCTATAATATCCTACTCTACATATTACCCTGATGGGCCCACCCATCTCCATGAATGATCATATTCCCCCGGCCCATCCGTCAACATCAAGGATATATATATCATTGGCATACATGGGCCCACCCATCTCCATCGGAAATAATATGTGTCCCGGCCCATCCGTCATCATCGAGAATATACACAACATGGGCCCATAATCCGCTGGCCCGTCTCATACGGGATATTATGTAGGTCGGGTGGCCCGTATAATACGGAATTTGTCACTGAAGGGGCTCCTAAAATATCAATGGAAGTTGCAAAACTCAGATGCACGAAAACAACATTGAGACCTACCAGGTATCTGTCCCATATCGGTATCGTCCAAATAGTTTGTGAAAGCGAAGTCATGGTCCTGTGAATGATTGACGACAGCTTGCGTCAATGGTTGAACGAGTCAGGATCAATTGTCAAGGTCGCGAGACAGTCATCACTTACCACGAGCAGATGGTTGTTCACCAACAATAACGGCACCTTGCTGCGCGTGTTCTCTCTCTACAGCGTGTCAACATTTAATTAGTGGTGAGCCATTGCAGTGATATCACCTAGACTATATGGACATACCTTGTCGAATACACCTCGCAAGCTGAACATCCTCTCTCCTTTGCTCGGATCACTTCCGACAAGCATTTTCGTGCGTTCTGAATCCCTGTCGATGGTAGAATTTGTTACAATATGAACATGTCCGATTCTTAGGATCGGAAGGCATTGAGGTTATTGTTAGGTGAAATTCGCCTCTTTCTTCTGGTAGAGGGATGGACGTTGATGGATTCGAAGGGCTGGAGAGGTGGAGCCGTCGAGTATTAGTATAATTTGAATTTGTGCTGCAGATTCAAAATTGACAGACTAAGTAATAAGAATATCAGCTTGACTCGTGATGGAAAATGGGGGTAAACTAACCTTTTTCTTCACAGAGAGGGAGAAGCGCTGGATGGTAGTCCTGGAGGTGATCCAGAGTATAATCATAATAAGCCCGCAGGTCAGATCTGAATCAGAAGATGACACACCTCTAATTGTGCAATGGTCAAATCAGGTGTTGTCGTGTTGAGCTGAGGGCTGTGGGTGATGGCTGAATGAAAGCAGGAAGGAGCGTTGACAGTCCAATGCCACAGCGTCGCGTGATGGAAGCATCATTAACAGACATACTAAGTACATAAGTTTCAATGATGCTTGGAACTCAGTATCAATATTGTAACTCACCTTCATTGACGTAACTTCGGTTTGAATATTCCGACTGGGTACCAATAATAGAACATAGGTACCAACTGTCTGACTCGGTATCAATACGGTTGGAAGCGAGTCTCAAAGGCACGTGGTTGTAACCAACTTAGGAAATTTCTGACATCATCCAAGATCATGCACGTGACTATCACCTTAGCCTCAAATTTTACCTTAGAATTTTCGGACAACCTCAAATCATGTGACCAGCGCAAGTGGTTGGTTGAAATTGATTTGTCATTGTTTGCGCAGGACAGAAATTTTCACGCAAGTTCCTTTCAATCCTTCTTTCACCGCTACTACCACCACCTCTCGACTCAGCCTGTTCATTCCTCCCATTTGTGGTGGTCCCTCCCTGGCCTTTTCCTTGTGGACCTCCTTGGCCGTTCGTGGTGGTTCCTCCCTGGCCTTTCCTCGTGGTTCCCTCCTGGCCGTTCATGGTGGCCCTTCCTTTCCTCATGGTTCCTTCCTGGCCGTTCGTGGTGGTCCGTCCTTTCCTCATGGTTCATTCCTCTGGCCATTCATGGTGGTCTTTTCTCGTGGTTCCTTGCTGGCCTTGGTCCCTCCTTTCATTCATCTCTCCGCTATCTTTCCCTGTTTTCTTTTTGTCTTGTAGCTATACATGTAGTATTTAAATATAAATAAAATTAATTTGCTTCACAAAATGAGTGCTGAGGATGAGAATAATTTGGTGCTAGTGACAAAATGGCAGGTTGTTGCAGGCAATCTGTCATGCTGGCGCTTTCGGTAGTTCTGTCTAACTTACTCCAGGTAGTATCATTCTGACAGATATCATGTAAATTTTGCAATTAGATAAAGCATTGTAAAGCTTTATATTTTTACGTCAATTATTTGATGCTTCGGAGTTGTGAACCTCCCTTTCGTTATGGCATTTCATAAAATTTTATACAATAATCAGGGACACGTCTTTCCTCTATAAGGCCAAACATAACAATGTGATGATCGATAGCAAAATTATGCTAGTTCTTGTGATTATGTACCATATATTGTTATTTATTGCTATCTACTTTCCTCACGGGTTCACTGATGAATAGTAACCAAATCTGTACAGAACAGCGATCTATAAGACAAAATTCATCTTTGAATTGTGTTGTCTTACCAAGTCTAACTTGTATGGTGGACAATAGGTTATGGTTTGATTTGCCGATTTGCTGCCACTTATTTGGAAGTCCGATCGATGTTTATTCTCGTGGTGCGACTGTTTTTTAGTATACCCTAAGTATACTTGTAAATTTGTCACAAGTGTTATGCACCGAATGGAGGCTCGTGCTTGTTGTGGGTAATGGCGAACTCGAGGACATATAAGGTGCATGGGTAGAATCTACCATGGATTCGTGTAGAAAATTGGTAGACTCTGTTTGGATAACTCTGCCGAATCTACCACAATCCACTGGAGTCTACCGCAGTCCACCTGAGTCTACGACGCCACGGGTAGAATGACCAAACAATGTTCTTGATCTGTATATCATACTCAACTGCTCCTCATCACCGTCATCGACATCCCCCTCTGATGCCCTTCATGATGGGCATCAGTCAGCTACTTGCACCCCTTGATGAGTATGATCTCACTTTCCCCGACCTCATGGCCTTCATTCAGCTTGCATGCATGGTGAAATCATTCATTCACCAGTGCATGACTGACATCCGACATCCGACATCCACCCTCCAGAAGTCGTCGTACCCCTTCTTGCTGGCGCACTCAGTCAAGACCCACTGACTATCCTCGCATGCTGGGTAGCATTCCGTCAGGTTATCTGGACTCACAGTGCAGTACTCCCAACTGACCAGGAGATTGAAGTATTTAACTGTCATGGACTTGTGCGCGGTATTGGTGCATTGCTGTTCGTCTTTTCTCTTCTTTCACTGACATGTTTTAAACCTTGTAGGATATCATGACTTGTATCCACCGACACATGTATGCCAGCGTCCCGAATGCATGAACTACTGTGATGGTGATGAAGTAGCCACTCTCACGGATGTCAATACATTTCGTGCTAGCCTCTTTACGCTACAAGATGGTTCTTTTCCAGTCCATTCGGTATCAACATATTGTCGACATATGTTCTTTATCTTCTAGTAATGCATACTGACCATTTCATTCAGAATGTCATACCAGATATTACCCCAACTATTGGACTAACAACACCGACTCGACATGCATTTACTATGCTGGTGTTCCCAGTGTCATTCAGGCTGCGAGGCATTCCTATATTGAAGCTGCACTGTTGGAACTTTTTGCTGCAATGAAAGTCTTTGGATGGTATTGTCATCTTTTTCTGATAATCATAATGCTAACCTTTTCTTCCACTTCCAGGATGTCTAGCATGAACTGTGCTCGTGTGTACAACTATGCACTTGCTCGACGGCATGGCTACATCTCGAACAATAGATGCGCTTTTGATGCTACACTTCCACAAGCTTTTGATGAGGAATTTTCATGGCAGTATACCCTTCGAATGCGCGACACTGACGTCCTGAATGGTTTTTTTATTTACTCACTGCTACTGGAGAAGGCAGAGAATAACAGTTGCCTTGTTCTCCCCCACGATGAGCAACAATGGATCCAAATTGATGTTGCGCTGAGTGAGCGCAACAAAGAAATGGAAGGTATTGGGCAGGAAGCATACCCGCATGCCTGTGACTTATGCTTCATTGTTATTGGTGACGACGACTCAAAATGTAAGTCAATTGTTTGTCAGATGTGCGGCGTCATGCTCAGATTGATTACATGCCATGGTGAAAATTCAAGCAGCTGTTTGTGATGGTAATACCATCGGGCACCCGTGTTGTGCAGTGCATGACTGCAAAGTCCCACTTATGACCAACCATCATCGTTTCTGTCCCGACCATCAAGACTTGAACCAGTGGTGCACAGTTGATGGCTGTGACGAGGTCAATGCCTCTGGATTTTGAACATGTGCCAATGCGGACCACCAGGCTCTTGAAGATGCCTACTTCAAGCCCATGAAAGCTCTCTTCCAGCTGCGAGCGCGGCTCAAGAGGGCTGGTGTTACCTTACCCTTGGACTCTGTTCCTTCATCCTCAGATAGTGGTAGTAGTAACCCTAACAGCGCAGATGAAGATCTCGAGGTGATTGTTGACTCCGAGTGTGACGGTAAGCCAGAGAATGGCAACAAACACCTCAGAGCAAGGTTTGGTCAGCACCGCACCCATAACGAGCAACTTATTATGCGACCTTGTGGGGTGATATTAGCGTGGGCTACGTTTTTTGGGTCCAAGGCCATCTCTGCTGTTAATGTGAGTTACACACAGTCTTACTGATGTAAGCTAACATTTAAACTCAAGGAATTTGCGAAGGTGGTATTCCCTACTGCTGCATCAGCACCTGAATACTTCGTCTTTGACAACAACTGCAAGCTCCGCACTCACCAAGACGCTATTGGTGATGACCACTTTGCTGCAACAGGGATGCCTGTTGACGTGTTTCATTTCAACTCGAAACACAAGGAAACTGACACCTACTGTCAGCATCACTGCAACCCTGCCACTTTCCCAGAGCTCATTTCTGGTGGCAAGTGGCGATTTAATACGTCAATTTGCGAACAGACGAACATTTGGCTAGGTGGGTATCAGGCAATCCTGCAGGACATGTCTGTACACCAGTACAACTTTTATCTTGATGAAATGATTAAACATCAGAACCGCTATGTTATCTCAGAGTCAGAGAGACGAGGGCATTCTCCTTGGATGATTTCCATGGACACTCTGTTTGGTAGTGACTAGTGCATTGACTCCGCTGGTGCTGTTTGCATTACATTGTCTAGATTGTTGTCATTTGTAATTCTATCTCTTATTGTATGTTTTTTGTCCTGTGTTTTGAATGAATGCCAGAGTTCATCACTTGGGGATCACACCATTAGAGTGACACTCTTTGCATCAGTGAGTTGTGTGGCTTTGTTTGGCATTTGCGAACAACAGTTCTTAGATTTCCTATTGGAGCTATGGTCAGGGCACAGAGGATATATGATCCTTACAAACACCTGGCGCTCATCAGTGCTGGCATCAGCAACACAGTTACGACCGACCAACGCTCTGTAAGTGCCACATTCATCTTTTCATGTGTTTGATTGACTGCTTGTACAGGCCCTGGATTATCAGAATTCGCCTTTCTTGCAAGACGTGGGGATCACTGTATCTCCCGACCCTATTTTAGTCACTGGACGTGTCCTCCCCACGCTGAACATCCGTTATGGCAATGCTGCCGCTAGTAGACCAGTGGTAAGTCCAGGATGTCAGCATGCATGGGACACAATGATTTGATTCTTGACCTACAGCAACTGCAAAACAGATCTTGGAATGTTATCAATCAGATCTTCCATGAGCCGAATATGGACATCACTCGAGGATCGCACTATTCAGATGTCAAGTTTCATGGACATCACTCGAGGATCGCACCATTCAGATGTCAAGTTTCATGTACATTTTGATGCCGCCATCACCATCCTGTCAGTTCACCACATTCTCGAGTTGAAATTATGACTAGCTACTTGTAGTTACTTTTTTTCAACATAAGAAGGTCGGATTTTGTGGATAATAAACAGAGTAGTTAGTCTACTAATTAAAAGGTGGTAAGGGTGGTAAGGCTTGATTATCTACGGGAGAAGGATCATTTAACCAGGTGCCAAATAGATCAAATTGGGGATAACTCGTAAAATCTAAAGGGAATTCAGGATCAGTGGTAGCTGCAGTATTATTGTCCATTTTATCTATGTTCTGGAATAGTAATGCAAGAGCATCATTCATCTTGCTGGTTAGGTCAGTAGGGAGTGGCAATCCGGTGTCAGTGGTAGATGAGTTCATTGGTAGACTCGGAGGTGGGGTAGGACCTGAAGGACAAGGATTAGCCAACCACGGAAGTAGCAAATTAAATTATACATACACTTCGTGTCCAAGTTGGAGATGCTACCCAGGCCATTACTACCAGTAAGACTTGGAGCTGCATTAGCTTTGATTTCGGCCAAGAGAGTGTTCCACTGGCCGGCAGGGCTATATCCTGCATTGACGGCACGTTCAACCCTATCACTCGAATTCTCAATAGCTGCCTGATAAGCAGCGCGATGCTTATAAAAAGTTGCCTTGGTATAGGTGCAATTTGGAAATGTAGTAGCGAAGAGGGCCTGGATCATTTGATCATCTGATACATTGATGAAGAACTGAATCCGGGGAACCATATCACATGCGTACTTCCAGGGAAATCGTGCTCGGGCGCCTGCAGGGATGGTAGTGTTGGGTTGGACCATGGCTGGTGCAGGCACTACTACAGGTGATGTGTCTAAGTTGCCAGCAGCAAGTGACAGAGGTGACGTCACAGTGGGACTCGACAATAGGCTAGTGAGTGGTAAAGGAATGGGCGACTGCCGAGAGATGAGAACTGGGCCCACGGGGTTGTTGCTACTGGCATTCCTCTGCCGCTTCAATGGTGAGGTCATCCTGTCCAATCGGGACAGATGCATACCCGTGGCACTAAAGGATCGTTTTGATGGAGATTGGACAGTTGCAGGTGCACAACTAAGAGATAAAACCCTCTCGGCAAATCCGAGTAGCATATGATTGTCGGTCAGATCAATAGAACGCAGGAGGATGGTTGAATTGGGGGGACTGAGAAGTGGAGTCTTGATATCTTGCTCAATCCAGGCGTGCCGATCACTGCAATATACTGCAATGTAGTCTCCGAGCTCAAATCTCATCAATAGCGGATGGTCTCCTGGCACGAATTTTCTAGGTGTGGTGCACGTAAGCTTTACGAGGTGGGGAGGTTCATTGTTCTAGCAATATTCAAGTTGGCTAGTCAGCACCAAGAAACCATCTAATAGATATAGAAGACCATACCTTCAACCAGAGCACTACATCAATCATATTGTGGATCATAATACTCAGACTTTGGTCAGCTTGAAAGCGTTGCTCAGCCACCAATGTTCGCTGGTGCCCAAGAACATAGTTCCGTGCATAATTGGGGTCTAATGGCCGAGCATAGTTTCGTGAAGTGGCCGGGAGTGACTGAGTACTAGTAGCTAAAGATCGTGATGCACTCGCTGACGATGAATTCGATGTAGTAACTAGAGGGTGATCAAGTTGAGTAGATGTGGGGTTAATGGTGGCAAGTGGTGGTACGATCGAGTTTTCATGCTGTTGAGTAGCAACAAGAGAAGATGCAGCTGCGACTTGGTGGACCCTACACCCTCCTGCCACCTCACAACACTGCTTGCAGTTGCATCATATGCAGTTTTTGTTGGCCTTCCGTGGCTGAGTGCCTTGCTTCAAGTTGCGGCAGTCAGCCTTGGTACACAGGACTGTATCAGCCATGCAAACATCCAGCGCCGGCCACTGCTCATTGTTGGAAGAAAAGTACTGTGAACGCACTACAAAATTTATACTGAGGATGGCGATCAATATTGGGACTTGTCCAGGTGTAGGTCCAACTTACTAGTGACATAGTAGTGGCTTGGTGAAATAGCGGCGGGTCAGATGGTGATGAGGCAGACGGGCATGAGGCAGACAGGCAGACAGTGAAATAGTGGGGGGCAGATGGCGAAAACACTGGCTTGCCATTGTCATATATATGCCAGATGCTGTTGCAGGCAATGATCACAGCCGAGCAATGAGCTCCGGTGACGTCATTGTTTGGTTGATCTACTGAGACCGAGTTGAGTCTACGCAAGTCTATGAATGGTCTACGGATTCGGTTCACTTTCCACAAAAAGAATTTCTAATGCTCCCGGATTTTCTACACATAGTCTATGGTATAGTCTACCCACATACTCTCAAAGTTCTGGCAAACTCCAGTATTCAATTTGTCAACACCTTTTCATTTTTTTCCTACAATGCCATTTAATGTATCATTAAATAACCTTGATTTTGATTTATGGAGGCTCAGAGCAAGTATATGTAATGCATTAGGAGCTCAGGTGAGCACACACAGGGGAATGTGACACATACACGGATCAGGAGCGCTCGAGCGATTGGAATGCAGGCAGGGCTTAGATGGAGTGTGTACACAAGGTGGACATGAATTGGTTCCACAGGATCAAATGTTCCATCCTTACATATGTTAGAGTGTGTTGAGTTACCTAACATAAGAGCTTCGGTGATTGAGCTGGGAGTGGCATCTCATAGTGTTCAATGTGCTCTGCTATTCGTCATCTTTGTCTTGTCGTCCAGGACAACTTATTCAGTAACGCTCGATATCTGTCTTTGCATCGATGCAGTATATTATGGATGCTGAAACTAGATGGTGACATACGGGTTAGGCAACATCCAGCGCTTTACAACCGGATGCCCACGTAAGCCTTGTTTCCCATCAAACTTTTCAAACTTACCATGCAATACATGCAGGCTGAACCTACCGCAAAGTAAACAGGGTGTGCGTAAGCCTCATCATAGGCAAGGACTCTCTGGAACCAAGCCCTGATGGTTAGTAAGACTTGTTTCATATCAAATCCCATAGTGTTGACTCACGGTGCATTGTATACAGGGCAAATACTGGATTTGCATGCAGAACCAGTTTACGAGAAATGTTAAATAGAATATAAGTAGCCAACTCCCTAGGGTGCAATGCAAATGCATATGTCAGGCGTATTGTACATTGCGTGTCTGAGTCAGCACATCTATTGAACTTGCATGAAGTTCCGAAGTCCAAGAGTGATGAGTACTTGGATGTATAGAAACAAGCACTCAAATTTCAAATACTGCAGGCATGATGGCTGAGTATAAGTGGAAACCAACATGGAGTGAAACTCACCTTGATCAGAAATTACTAATGGGCAACAAAGATGGGATGTGGAAGTACTATATGATTGTTCCATGACACGAGTTGCATGTGAAGTGGCAACATGCCGAATGTGGTGTCGATGCGCTTGTTCGTACATACAAATCACATTGATGACTATGTCAATGGAATCACTGAGCTGAAACCATTTCCTTACCATCTAGGTGAACATTCCAACACCCACTACTCGAGTGACCATACGGTTGAAGGGCCCCAAGATCATTTAGCATGAAGACCTTGGTCAGAATGCTGCATTTGCGGATTAGCCCTCGGTGCTGAAATGGAAGTAAGCACCATGACGGATGCATCTGAAAGTACCTGTGGACATCACAAGGTCATGGTCTCGTCCTGATGACTGTATATCCAAGTTGAGCATAAGGATCACGAAATGGGTATGGTGATATGCAGTGACTTGCCTTCAAGTCATCAGACATGCTGGTGTGATGAAGAAAAGTGAGGATCAAGGATGTGCCTAGCGGTAGGTGTCAGGAGTATGAAAAGATGGGGGTTGGAGAAGAGGCAGGTGGTCCAGGTCTTGTTGCGCGTGTATTTCCATGGCATTTGTATGTTTGGCACAATAGAGGTGTGATTATACAAAGCGCTGAGAATGATGGCTGACTTGAGAAGCAACATCAAGGTTAGTCATCAGTGAAAGTAGTACACCAAGTCTGAAGGGAACATTGCGCATCCTGTGAGGCTTGCTACTCTGTACTTTTATCGCTGAGTTGTACCATTCACTTGGCACATAGTAAGGTGAGAAGTGTATTTCATAGTAGAAACAACATAAACTGCTGAAAGGACGCGCAACAAAGTGGGAACACCAGTGAGGGTTTGCGAGAGCATGTCAGAAGGGATAGCAGAATGCAATGGACAATAATATTATGAGTGATGTGAGCACGAGCCTCCATGTGGTGCATAACACTTGTGACAAATTTACAAGTATACTTGGGGTATACTAAAAATAGTCGCACCATGAGAACAAACATTGATTGGACTTCCAAATAAGTGGTGGCAAATCGGCAAATCGAACCGTAACCTATCGTCCACCATAAACTTGAATTTTCATGTATTGTCCACCATTTTTCTGTTGCCTCGTCAAGTTTCATCAATCACTGATCCTCAATATGAAGGTATTCATTGGGATGGCTTGTCAATAATTTGTCATCAAAATCCTGAAGCAGATGAATATTTTCTTGACCATGTGCTTGAGACAATGCAATGTATATGCTGAATAAAGTGAGTTCACCACTGGGTGGTGTTCTGATATCGATAATAGCATTGCTAATTGTTTGACCTTGAGCTCGATAATCCGTAAATGTGTATGCTGGTGTTAATGGTAGTTGCATTCGTGTTATTACTTCTTCATGACCGCTGATTGTGACACGAAATGTCCATTGCATTGGTACAATTGGTATGACTCCGGATTCCAAATTTTCGAGACATTTGGCCTTTGTGCAGTCCAATTTGATCAGAAAGTATGCTGGAGGATACTCTAACTCCACGACAGCCTTTGTAGGTGAAAAACTTGACTCCTGTTTGTCCGAGACAATTTCCACTAATTCTCCTCTTGCTCTGTTTGCAATGTCCAGGTCTGTTTTGATGTTGAAAGTTACCATAACCTTCATACCAACTGCAATCTCTATCATGTTTGACAGCAATGCATGATCATTACCAGTAGCCTGAAATCCCTTGGGCTTCATAGCAACAGTGAAACTTTCCTCCAATGTTAGTCTCTGTCCTTGTGTCATGTCCAATGCCCAACAAATGAATAACTGGTTGTGACTTTGTTGGCAGTAGTTTTTGGTGACTTTAGAATTCCATTGGTGATGAACAGCATGATGAGGGGTGACCAAAATAGCATCATTCCATGGTGATGAATTGAAATCGGTTGGTGGACATTGGGAATTTGTGAGTATGAGGGATCGAAGCAATTTGATATGCTGATGGTTGCAGCTGCCATGTCGGATATGACAAAGAAGATCATTCCATTGTGGATCAGTGACATGAACTTGTTCCTTTAGACGAACAACTGTCGTGAATTGTTTGTATATTTTCTGTCCCAACATTTTTTCAGCTGAGTCTTTTGAAGGATCACATGGATAATATAGCACTGTGCTCTTCTTCCTTGCAACAGGAGGAAACTGATGAAAATCCCCGACAATGATCACATTTACTCCACCAAAAGGTTTATCTTCGCTCTTTTCTCCTGCTAATGATTTGCCCTTCCTGATAGATGTGGAAAGTTTGGTGAAGAATTTGCGAGCGATCATGGAAACCTCATCAATGACGAGATACAGTTTATGTTTCCAGAATGCAGCAAGTTTCTTCAACGTTTTTGCACTTTGTTCATGACCATTCAAAGGAATTGATGCTATTACATGCAGCATCTTCCCATTGATAATAGATGCAGCAATACTGGTATAAGCTGCCTTTATGAGGATTGATTCAACTCCTCGACTTCAGAAGTTTTTGGTTATGGTTTGTATTGTCTTGGACTTGCCGACTCCACCTTCTCCAGGAATCTGCATGAGTAACTGTGGAGGGCTTCATCCTGCTAACATCTCTAACAGATGCCAATCAATGATGTCATATGCACATCTTTGATCCTTCAACAGGCATGAAGGATCAGCAGCGAATAGGTGACTGTTTTGGATTGCTGGATGTAGATATGTTATTTCACCATCATTGATGCCGATGTTGTGGTCTAGACCATCAAGCATGATAATATCTCCAATAGAATTGCCATCGTTCACAGTAACAGCTGTGTTGTCTTATTCCTCAAGCTTGTTTGCTTCATTGGCTATTGCCATTTGCCATTGCCCAAGCTGACGGTAAGCATCACCACTTGCTATACCAACTTTTGACTCTCCAATGCTCCACGACGCTGTTTCCTTGGCAAAAAATCCCTTCAAATGTCCAACAGCAACTGCAAGAAGTGCGTGTGCCTCCTCATGATGATTTTTTTGTGATTCTTTATAAGCATGTAAGTCCTCAATTGTCAACTCCACTGAAATATCTTCATCTTCATTTTCCTCTTCATCCATCATAGTCACTGTTTTCTTGTAACATGCTTCATTCTGTTTAATGGACCCTGTTTCTTCATCTTCACAAATATGAGAATCATCTGCTGTGGTCTTGCAGTTGTAATAATACTGGATACCAGCAATGACATCTTTGTTTTGTGAGGAGGTGTGTATGAGGAAATCAGTGAACATATCATCCCATGATTCAAAATTGTTTCTGAGATCTTTAATAGAATGCCATGGTGGCAATAAAGTGAGTATTGATGTGCAATACAATTCTCGATGTTTTGGATCATTTTGAGGAAAGAATGGACCAACAATGTCTGGCAATGTATTGTGACCTTCTGAACGAACAACACGACGGTGAGTTAGACTTTGGATGCTCTGGCAGGTAATTGCTATGTTGACTTTTGCGTCGACCTCATTTTGGTAATAATGAACAAACAGAATCTTCATTGACGATGCCTCCACGTTCCACAGATGGTATCGCCTCTTCATAAGTGTCGATAACAAATCAAAAATATGAATATGTGTCGAGCTCATTGCCACATAATTCATAGTCCTCAAACTGTAAATGGGCATGAAGTCGACCACCAAAACCAACTTCTAAGGTGACTGTATCCTATGCAACAATTTGTTACATCCAACAACCAGTAAAATAACAAACAGCTTACAGCTGGGTCTTTTTCGAATTGAGAAAGATCTCCTACACCTCGTGAATCTTCGTCAAGAGACACTTGTTCATCTGTTTCAAACAAGGTCTCTGAATTCATGTTATTCTTACTATAAAAATTTATGAAATTAACCTCAAACACAATGTGTCAAATGATGTCTCACTGATTTTTGTTCGTGTTTAACTCAGAAAATGCCTCCAGCAAATGTAATTTGAGTGCGAACCAGTATAATGGCACATAATGGCACAAGCAAATGACATCTCCCCAGTTCATCAGGTAAGCAATCACTTGTGGACCAGACATCTCCATTTCCCGATGTAGAGACTGACATCTCTGTGGCCTCATAGAGAGCTAATTCTATAATGCCCTAAACACCTTCCAAACACAGCACCCGTACCTCATTTCGGCATACTTGGCACCTCGTCGGCCGCTTCCGTTGCGCATCAGCGCATGTATCCTCAGTTCCATTGCTCGTCCTCCATTCATCTATTCCATGTCCGTTCGGTTCATCGGTGTGTATTCCTATCTTATTCTCATGTATTCTGACATATCTCCAGCACTTGCGCACATATTCTGTATGGTTCGTCATGGACCCTTATTACATATCATCACGTACTCGCTTCGCTTTCCAGCTTGCTTTAGCGCTTGACAGCACTTAAACGCTACTTAGAATATATATACCTTTGCCTTTTGTAGAATGATCATCTTCTTCTTCCCGCACATCATTGGACTCTAAGTCTAAGTCTTCATCATATCCACCGACCGATGCTAAGCGCCAGAACTCATACAAGCGCCAGCCTGCATATTCTTGTACACGAACATTGTCTTACTCATTCCCCAACTCACTTAAGAGTCGCTGTGCTCCACCACCTGCACACGCGCTTCGCTCTCACTCAGCACGCACCATCGTACTTGTTGCTCAGTAGCGCTCCATAGCACTTTCACTTATCATGCTTTGCTCATCGGTGCGCACCCCACCAGGCTTATCCGACAGCCTGGTTCAGTGTTTCCCTCCACTATTATATATAGAGGAACCTTCTCAGTAGCAATCCCCTTGGGCCGACATTAGATTCGCGCACAGAGGACCATCTGAGTATATCTCATACCACCCACTTTCTAACATTCTACATTCCTCTTCTACACCAATTAATGGCATGTTGACAGCAAAACAGCAAAAGTCGATTGCGATCTAGAACACCATCAAGATGATCTGAGTGCCCTTGATGGTACAAGAGAGTGTTTGCCATGAGAGCGGAAACATTATTGTTTTTATTCTGTTTCTTTGTTGAATAGCCTGTGAGATACCAAGCGGCATTAGGGACACTCAAAGTTAGGTGTGCACTTCGCACACCGCACACCGCACACCGCACACCGCACACTGCACACCGCACATGACCCCCTCGCACATGCACCCCCACCCAAAATGGTAACCTTAGATAATCATCACACTTTGGACTAAACCTTGCAGCATGCAGCGCCGAACAGTAGTAACTAGTAGTCTAAGGCAGCATTCCTAAACCTTACCCACAATTGTGACCCTTAGGCCTTAACCCTTGCCAATAGAGTACTTTGTTAGTATATTGTACATAAGTATTTTGATTATATTAATCAATTCAAAGTTGTATTTCAAGGGATCATATGATTCACATGATTTATTGATATATGATATGTGGAAAAGCACAACATCCTACTAAACAATATACTGCGCAGAAAGGGTTAAAAACAGGCCCATAAGGTCTTGGGATGACGAGGTTTGGAACTGGTTCAGGTAAGGTTTAGGAATGCTGCCTTAGACAATTCACGACTAATATATCACGTGATTGCTCGAAATATGACTTTGAATTGATTAAATAATCAAAATACTTATGTACAACATGTGCACTAACAAAGTACTCTATTGGCAAGGTTAATGGTCATGATGGGTAAGGTTTAGGAATGCTGCCTTAGACTACTAGTTACTACTGTTCGGCGCTGTGTGCTGCAAGGTTTAGTCCAAAGTCCGATGATTATCTAAGGTTACCATTTTGGGTGGGGGTGCATGTGCGAGGGGGTTGTGTGCGGTGTGTAGTGTGTGGTGTGCGAAGTGCACACCTAACTTTGAGCATCCCTATTCTTTGTTTTGCTCCCGTTGGTGAGAAGCTTGATGTCATTGTTGCACCAAAGTGTTGGGGTAATGGCTGGACAATAATTGTTGAGAAACACATATGTACATTTTGGACTCCATCTACCACTTTCATCAATAACATCAACTGACAACAATTGCCATGGGGCACATCTCTTGCAAACCAGCTGCCCGTGTCTGTTAAATCTCAAACAAGTTGACCTACTGCAAATGTGCACTTGCTGAGACCTAACAACATGACATTCGACATCTTGAATTTCCGTCTGCCAGGTACCGGAATCAGGATTTGGAGGATGTGAATAAGCTAAACTGCTCTCTTTTGGTGTTGATTGAATGGTTTCTTCATCCAAATCGTCCACATGCACACAAATGTTTTGTTGAATATAATCTTGCACACGTGCACGGAAATCATCATTGTGCAACAGAGTGTGCAACTCCACCATGTTTGGAGTATGCTGAAGCCAGACCATTATATGAACATGCAGTGTTCCTCGCCCTTGCGCCTCGACAACTCCAAAATATCCACTGATCTGTCCAAGTACCCCCATCTCACTATGCACTTCATGACTTGTTGCATTGACTTGAACAGGTGCAAAAGAACAGCTTTGATTATGAAAAAGAAGTATTTTGCCACTGCAAATGGATCCTTGGCAATATTTCAAGCTCATTGGTTACTGTCTGGACCAAGATGAGGATTGAAGTCGTCCAGATTAATTGTTTCTCCAGCAAAACTTTGTGCTATAGGATCATGTGTGTCACTTAGATTTAGTGTCATCCAAATACTTGGACCATGGAGACACAAACATGTCCCCCACATTTGTCCACAATACCGAGCATGGCAATTGTCAGAACCGACAACTCGACTTGATGTCGCAAATACATGTTTTCGAAGGAGACGAACTCGAGGATTTGATATCAATGTATTTTCAGCTTCCTCCTTTTCTGCTTGCTTAAGGTCCACTACTGTGATTGAGTTGATTATGAATGCATCATGTTCAAAATCTTTTCATCGCATCTGAATTCGAGCAGATTGAAGTGCTTTATGTTTCTGGATGATCCCAAAAATGACAAAGGAAAATGAATGATGGGTGCAGAACCGGTGATCATGGTATTGCAATGTCCATCAAATATGTTCATCAAATCCAACAGTTTTTGTACATGTTGCTTCAATTCCTCCGACTCCATATGGAAAGAGCTTTGGATATGTAGCGGCCAATGGATTTATCCATTCAGACTCTTCTCCAATTTTTTGACCTCAAGCAAAATCAGAAACAGGATCACGACTGTGACAAACAGCATATCCTCCTTCATTGGCATCCATATTCATAAGTGCGTATTTCATCAAGTCATTCAACAGCAATTTATTGAGTTCTGTATCTGTGATCCCAAGAAATTTCAATGGTATCACATTGCCACCTACAAAAACAATGTCACTCAAGATGGCTACCATTTTAATCATCACAACTCGAACCTTCAGCATCAATATTCACAGTACCAACTCCATCTTGATTTTGCAATTCTGGTATAACCTCATCTTCATACTCTTCAAATTTAAATCAACATAATATTCACATCAAACCTAAGTCATAAACTCACTGTCATCTACAGGTACATACCCCTCACTTTCATGTATTGCAATATTGTCACTACTTTCATGATGAATGACCAAAATGATTTCTTCAGGAACCTCATCCTCTGGAAGCTGTATGGGCAAGTCCTCTGAAATTTGAATGTCCACATACAATGGATTGTTGGCCTTCAACCAAATGAGTGCTTGAAAAACCACAGTACGACAGATGCAAAATGTTGACTTTAACCAATTCTGTGGCAAGTTTTTTTTTCCAATGTATGTTATTCCAAGTACTGATGCCAATGTGCTGATAGGCTGTGGTAGAAATTGTCCTCCTATCATCTTCGCAACATCATCTGTATTTATGTCATACAATGTCACATTGCCAGCCATGCCACACTGCATGTGACTAGGATTTCCGCTGCGTGATTCTTTTGAATACAACTTGAAGACATAACAACGAGGAAAATGTCAAGAGATCAACAGTTCCTCTGGAAGTGTCAAAATAGCAAGTTCGTGTGGGATGGGTCTGATCCACATGTTATTAGTGAGTGCAAATTTTGGCATTGTGTCATCTTCAAGTGCATGATAACACTCGAAACACATCCAACCTGTTGCACCTGGTGCATTGCCTTTAATATGACCATCAAGGAGCAACATGCCTTCCCATAATGTCACTGAACTTGAAACTGAATCTGCAGAAACTGTAAGCAAGTGCTTGATGTTTGGTATTTGACACAACTCTTGAATTTTGCCTTCATTTCAAACCAATATCAATAACTGATGTCTGCCTATCAGAATTCATATACACACCTTCATAATCCATCAATTCCCTTGTGCAAACGATGCAAATTGACATTGCAAGAGCTGAATTCGATGTTGCTGATCTAAATGCATGAAAACATTTCTTCACCTCCTCCTCCGATGGTAATCCAAGAAATTTTGAATGATCACAACTCTGTACACCATCTTCTTCTGCACATACACCAATGTTTGAATCTTCTCTCACTTTTTCAGCAATAACTCCCTTCTTGCTGCCACCTCCAGCCTTTTTTTCCCTGACCTCTGCTTCTGTACTTGCTCTCGCTCATCTTCCTTCTTTCCTGCTGCTTCATGAATCTTATCCAAAATTTCCTCTGGTAGGCCATGTACAATATCAAGAATTTGTGGCCATTTCAACTTTTGGACATATTTTTCAAACATCTTTGGAGGAACCGCAGCAATTAACTCTGCCTTGGTTAAATCGCCAACAATGTCATTGTCATCATGAGAAGGCATTGAAAAAAAGGGAAGTGAATTCAGCCAATGCCACTGTCCATGTCTTCTTTCACTAATTCCTAACCCTATGTCAAACCACTGATACTATCATAGTAACTAATCTATCATCGGCACACAATCTCCCAGTCTAACACCCTCAAATTCTAATCCTCCAATTGTTGTCACCGATTAACACATATTGAATCCTTGATATTCTTAATGATATTCTTTTCAAGGTTAGACAGTAATATCAGATCATACATATGAACTTGGAATCTAAATCTTTGGCCATAGATAAGTGTTCTAAGCTTCTTGCCAAGATTCAGACATTAAACTTTGTTCTCAAATGACCATGGTGACATAAAACTTGTACATTTTTGGTGACCACCAATCTTCATATAAATTCGTGTGCACCAATTCACCACTCATTACAATACCTAACTATGGTTCAACACAACAAAGACCGACACAATGAAAGATACCACATCCTCACTTTCTGAATCATCTACTACAGCACCAATAACAGAGCCTGTCATATCCAAACTCGTATCAGCAAAAACTGTTCTCAAAAAACTCCAAAGCCAAGATGGAGGTTTTTACCTTGGTACACAGAACCTTGCTTCCCGAGTTGAATACTTCCAAGGAGGACATGAAGGAGATGTATTGATACAGAAACACTCATCCAGTGCCGAAGAACTTACCCTATGAGGAGTATTTCAAATAAGTCGCTCTGACTTCTACTTCACTCCTGATGGAAATTTCGATCCTGCAAACATATTTAATGGACGATTCTCCAATGTCAAATTATCATGCCATTTGACTGCAACTCATCACAAAGACTTTGACTTCTCCTCCGATGATTTTCCCACAGTCATTGACAACTTATGAGCATTCAAAAAGATGATATGACGTGAATGAGATGTGTAAACCTTAAGTAGCATTCACAGTCTTAGGAGTTGATTCATTCAAACTCATTCACCATGAATTCACGGTAAGTTATTATTTCTGTACAACAAATATAAAATCAGCTCTAAACCCTCAAAATTTCTTTGCTAGATGAAACAAACCATTGAAAGCTCAGAAAATCAGTCTTCTAATGACGATGACGACACTTTGACTGGTAAACAAAATGAACCTATTCTATATTGATATACAACTGACAAAATATTCTACTACTAGATGCTACTATGGACCTTAGTTCAGAATTCGAAATGTCTAACTGGCTGGTTGCAGAATGTTGCAAAACCCAACTTGCAAACCTTGTAGAATCACACTCTATCAATCCTCTTCCAGCATACAACATCGACTGTAATCTCATCCCACCTGCACAATACCACAACAAATTATATGGTGCCATTGTCGAAGTACACTTTGCATTTTTCCATCACCACATCAAAATGTCAAAATGTCACATCTTCAACACTGTCCTTCAAGACAGAATCATATTGCAGCCACCATCAAACATGCCCTCCAGTCCATTAAAACAACGAGGACTTGGTGCTGGCCCCGCATCAGACTTGCCTCTCAAAGGAAAAAAAACGAGCTCACAAAGGTAAATTCTACAATTTGCAATGAAACCAGCACAATGATTTCTCATAACCATTTTGAATCAGACACAGACAATGTCTAATCACACTCATACTACAACATGTAGTAAACAACAAATCTCGCACAATGATCTTGAACATGATGCCAATGCAATGCTCTCCAAAGTTTTACTTTAACCTTCAACAAACAACTTACTATTTAAACTATCATGTACATCTACTATAACTCATGCAATCTATTTGTTACCTGGCTTTGAAAAACAATAATCAACACACTGAAACACAACTTCAACACTTGTAGAGCGAGGTTGCTGCTGGCAAAGCTCAGCCTTTATCTAGTTTGGTGTTTGTTTAGGTGCGTCAAAAGGTGCATGGTCCGCTTCTTTTAAAATGTCTGAACTTAGATAGCAATATTGGCATTTTCAGTTCTCATTCAATGCATTATCATTCATTAATATCCATTACTTACGGTAATCATCAGGTAGAGATTCCAAAATTTTCTCATTGAATTGGTGAGAGAAAGGCACAGTCAAGGCATGCACAAGCATCCACCAGGCTAGTAAGCGGAGGGGGGGAAAGCATGCGCTTCATCGATGTCTGTTGTCTTATTTAGGAGCAAAGCTAGTGAATTGAGGACAAAAGTAAAAACAGCAACCGCTAAGTCATTATCAGGCAGAGCAATGTAGCTGTTGTATTTCCAGTAGTGTTTATTGTCATATTGATATCTGGAAGCATTTTGGATGCCAACCAATCCAAGCTGGTCACCATAGTGCTGAAAGAACACAGGATACAGGCAGAAAGATATATCCTTATGGCTAACAATTCTAAAAGTCCGATACATCTTTAAGTCACTGCAGAAGTGAGAAACTGATCAGACCTGGAAAGGGTACAAAAAGACAATGTAAACAGTATCTAAACAGATGTAGCAAATGACACAGATTATGAGGTGTTAGAATCTGGAGAGATCCTCAATTCAGACTGTTATCCAACACTGGAAAACTCAGGTGCACAGAAACAGTAGAACCTAAACCATATGTCTGAATTGCGTCTGAATATGATCATGATTGACTCGGATCAGTATCTAGTTACAAATGTGCAGATCCCTATGATTCTGGGAATTTGCCAGCTTCTGGGTGCTTCTCACTGGCTTTTCCCCATTCCCCATAGCCCCCTTGTTTGCCTAATGATGTATGGGGCACAGTGCCACCCTAGCGGTGCTCCAGAAAATCAGCCAATGAACGACACGAACTTGAATCCATACCAGTTTGGTTCCCCAGGCCATGACTCAAACCCGAGTCCATACCAGTTTCCACCTCTACTGACTCCTGGAACCCCACTATCAAATGCTGGCAGTCATGCACTGCCACAGGTGGATGATTTTTTCAGTTGACCGCCTTAGGCTGGTGAAGCTACAAAGCTGCTGGCACAGGAATATTGAACACCATCCCATATAATGCATCCCCCTAGCGTATCACAAAACTTAGTCACTGGGATGCGTAGTACTTACTTTATATTTCTGGGCCTCTTGCCAGCGGCCCAGCGCATGACTTGAAGTCAGTCAGGAGTTTCGGGTTTGGTTGTGCTGAGGTCGACATGTTCAGGAACTTGTAGTAATTTGGGCTGCTTGGTGGGCCGTCTGAGCGTGATTTTGACTGTCTACAAAGGTACTTAGTTAGTTGGTTGTATTTAAATCTAAAACTTACTATAGACCCTGGCCACTTGGTTTCAAAGGTAAAACTGAATGCCTGTAGTTTTGAAGGTAGTTCAAGCTTGATCTTATCTGTGTCGTCCAACATAGTGCGAGTTAACAATGGACTTTGAGAAATTTTTCGAAAAACATACCTCACTTAAATCCAATCATATGCAGACATCGAAAGAGTGGATTTCCCGGGTCAGTTAGTGTTGGAACAGCAAGTATTTGAAGAGAATAAATGGATGTTGTCTTCTTAGATAGATGATCTATAGATAAACACCTATAAAACCAAATATCTCCACGGTCAGCGATTCAGACAAATACCAATGACTGATAATGTGGTCGTTCGTGGGTGGCTTGCCTAGCTCCTAAGATACAGTCAGTAGAATATGGCTCGCACAAAAAGTCAGTAGTCAGTGATCAGCAGTCAACAGTCAATCCAACAATATGGATATGAAACACAGCGATGAGAGAAAAACACAGAACTCAGTCAGTCAGCGATCAACAACCACAACAATCACAACAACACAGACAACAACAAACAAATCAGGAAACACAGTCACTCTAACAATATAGAGATGACACAAAACAAACAGACACTCTTCCTAACACTTCACACAGCAACAAGGATTTGTACACAAACTTAGTGCAGCAAGTTGTGCGGAGTTACAATGAGAGTCCCCCTCAATACAAAAACAGGTGAAACTACCGTCAGGCCTAGTCAAGCCTTTGTAGCACTCTTAGCCTAATATTGAACCTGCTGCCAAGGAACTCACAATGAGTATTAAACAGACTCAGGAACGGGCGACCTTGGATTTCAATACCAAGTCCCCCTTTCAATAGCTAAAGTCTAACTCGCAATGACTACCCTCGATCGGTATAACACACAGATGTAAGAGGTCAGGTATCACTGTCAACACCTAAAGTCTCCCCACTAGACTATCAGAGTCTTCCGTGGACAAAAGAGACAACACCAAACTTCTGGGTAAGAATGAGACTGAAACTTTGGTACTTGAGAGAAAGTTGATAGGTTGAGTCAATCAACAAAACGAGACCGCTACAACAACAAAAACACGAACACGAACACGAACACAGAGACTGTTAGCAACAACGATCACAAAGCAAGCAGACAGCGATCAGAGAGATGGTCAGTATAGACAGTCACCAATACACCACACACTTGAGACAGAGAGAGAGAAACAGAAACAGAGAAACAGAGAAACAAAGAAACAGAGAGAGAAACAGAGAACACGATCTCAGAGAGAAAAAAAGAAAAACAATCACAGAGAGATTCGCAGACAGAGACACAGACAATGACACAAAAAGAAATAGAGAAATTCAGACAGACAATCAGGAGAAAACAGAAAAAGAAAAATTAGTCTTGCTAGTCGTCAGACACAGTGAGCTCAAGGTATGTGCTAGCTGTTCAGCACAATGAGCTCGAAAGTGTGGTGCTGGTTGTTGAGCACAGTGAGCTCCAACCTTGAACTGCACTTGCTGGTTGCTGATTCACACTTCACTCACAATTTTATTCTGAGAGGTAAAAAACAGTGGGGAACTGCTTATTTTATTGGGCAAAAAGCTGGTCCTTATATAGACAAATTTGGTGGCTATACTACTAGTTTCTCGTACTTAAAGTTGTAACTTTAGTTCGATAGCACCAAGTCACACGGTATCTTTGAGTCAAAAGTAAATATTCATAACTCTAGTTGGTATAATGATGAGTCCACAAGAGCTGCGTATGGCTCATGGGTCAGGTGACCCTTGATGACTCAGCTAGACAAGAGTGAGAAATGATTACATATTGTGTACATATGTTTATAAAATCTGTGGCTGATGAATTGACTGGTAACATAATGACATAGGACGCGTGTTTAGTGATTTGTAAGCTTTCCCCACAGGGTAACCTTATGCAAACATATTTTTCACAGTCACCTGATATGTGTGAGAATCTGTCTGAGTCACCCTCATGGCTAACTAAGCAAAACTCATCGCAGGAATAAATGTACAAAAATATTCAATCCGCTTGCATACAAACTCATAAAAGTGAAAAAAAGCGAAAAATATTCCCTTAGCCTCAGTCTGACTTCAGGTCACAGGGAAAATGATTTCATAGTGATTCTAGGGCATAGGGGCTCATAGGAGAGTATCGGTCATCCATGCACCGAACCAGTTTGGTGCAGGTCAACGTCAGAAAAGACATGGTGGCAAAGTTCAAAAAGCATCTGTTTACATTTGTAGCTGTGGACCAAACAAAGGCTTTGCTTCAAAATCTACGATATGTCGGATTTGCATTGGATTAATAGCTAGGTACATTTTGTGTCTGCTCACTTGCCCTTTCTCCCTCGGAATATGGTCTGATCAGTTTCTCACTTCTGCAGTGAGTCTAGTTATCCACTCTGCATCAGCAAACTACTATGTTCTGTGCAGTTCTGTACAGAACTGCACAGTGCCCCAGTGCCACAACTTGGTCCTGACTTGACAGACCTGGACGGGCGCCTCTCGTTCTGTGGAGTTCTGTACAGAACTCCACAGTGTACCATGCTGGACCCAGCAATCACCTATGATTTCAAAATACTAGAATAAATCCTCTGTAGGTTTCCCACTGGGAACAGATGAAATTCCAATTTACAAATGGGATATATTGATTAGATAACAAAAAATAGTGCAGTACATCTAATAATACAATCAGTAGAAAACTGTAAGCGAGCTACAAGCGGGAGAAATAAGCGACCTCAATCAAGCACAATCTCAATATCAACATTGTGGGGCGCTTCATTGCCATCGACTTTGCAACATGTGGCCCTAAATGAATACAGTTAGCATGCTAAACTCGTTAGACGAGAGTATATCCTTACCATCCAGCCTCAGCCCACGATTGGAGCTGCTCGACCAGCTTGGGACCATGATAAGGGTCTCTCATGATATCTTGGAGTGACTTCAGCGCAGATTTGTAGGTCAGGCCATATTCCTTGGCAGTGAATGTAAGGTTGTGAAGACCTACGAGCCCATCCAGACCAGTCATGCAAAGAATCTGATATCTTAAATGATCTGAAGAACCACCAAGGTCATGCTATGCAGTACGAACACTAGCTCTTTCTTGCGCGGTACAGGTGGTAATCCAAATATTTTAGTTATTCAGCTTTGGTGGTCATGTCTGTCACCTATGGAAAAATTATTCCGACCTCATAATATACAGATCCAGAAATCATTGCTGTCAATCAGTCTCTTGTGCGTTTTGGTCAAGCTATGAAGCTGGGAGCATACCTTGTGGATATGCATCCAATCCTGCATTTCATCCCAGGCTACTTGAGTCAGTTGAAGGCATGGCACCGAGATGATCTGATTCTTTTTAATGGGCAGCTGGACATGGTGCACAGACAGATGGTTTGTGATTTTTTTGGCTGCCACAGGTTACCGTGTTCATGCTCGAGAGTCTCAGGTGGAGACGGTCTTCCCTAAACCACACAGGTTTGATTCTCAGCATTGGATTGATGATGCAGGTCGTGTGCGCAGTGATCTCCGGTTTTTCACTTTTGGCTTTGGCCATCAGTGAGTAGTATCGTTCATCTCTTGACCATTTCTTATGCCTTACTTGAAAATGTCAGAGTATGTCCCGGTCAACATCTCGTGAATCGGTCCATCTTCATCATTACGGCTCTTATTCTGTTTTCAGACACTGCAAACATACATGCTGCTCTGTTTGAGATATGTTTTATGAAGAGGATTGATGAGAACGTGATCAGAGAACTATGCGCACCAGGCAAATAAAATGCGTTTATTTGAGAAACTTGAATTCAATCTTTGTACAAAGGAGTTTTCCTTGCGTTATAGAGTCTTTTCGTTATCTGTCTGACTCAAATTACACAAAAACTTATGGGCTCGAGCCTATACAACCAAACAGATGGTCCAAGCTTAGTTGGACCTGGTTTGAACGCAAACCAGACCTCCTGAACACGTTCGGTGATGTTTGGTCCAGGGTTTGACCAAATGGCTGAACCGAACCATAGGTTTGGTTCGGCATTCGGAAAATTTGCCCCAAGAACTGGACTGAACTGGACTTCGGCAGCACTAGGCATGAGACCAGGTATGGTTGAGGCAATCACAACAACATTCTTCTTGAGCTCAGAGAGCCATGTCGAGAGATCTTCATATAACTGGATGGCAGGAAGTGTGAGCAAATAGTGAGAAAAAGGCCAGTGACGATACACTTACAAGCTTTGCCATATTTGGCTTGTGAGCAGGCCAATAACCTGGTACTTGTGTCAGATACACATGCCCTGGAGAATATCAAAGCTTACCAGGTTCAAATTGTTTACTGGCTTCATCCCACTGAACAAGAACAGCTAGAAGGGCCTCAGCAATAGAACCTGGCGAGTCCTTAACAAGAGCTGGGAACGGTGTAGAAACAATGATACTGAGAGAAACAAATGATGCTCCTGACTGTATCTATAATGTTGTAAGGTCGTGCATTGCCTAGTCTGCTATACTTGAGACTACAAGTGTGTTCGACCCTAAAGGGGAAGCGAGTGCAGCAAGGATCTGGTAGTAGGCGCTGAAGGCGCTACTGGTTGGCTGATGTGAAGCGCAGGAAAGCGCAGGTGCAGGAAAGCAAAGGTGCACGCGTGCGCATGAGCGGAAACAAGAGAGAGTAAGAGTGGGTTTGCTTAAGTGATAATTAGATACTAGACAAGAGGTGCGAGGTGCCAAAGAATAGATTTCAACTATGTTCTGCTCAGTAGTAGGTAGAAGGTAAAAAGGTCCATAATAGTATGTAATGCTGGCACTTAAGTATGGCGCCTAAGCGCTGTCATGCGGAGCCGAAGCGCTACCGAGTAAGGTATGTAAAGATATATGTAAGTAAGGGTCCATGATAATGATAAAAGTGGAACGATATGCAAATAAGGGAAATGGAAATATACGCACTAGAGAGCTTGGTGGACAGTGGATGGATGCATCTGGGTGGCTGGTGCTATAGGGTGCTCAAGCACAGAAAAGCACGCACTATAGAGACTCATGCCTCTCATTGTGTGATATAGCAGTTTTCACTAGGGAGTACACAGCATGAACTTGCAGCATCACTCCGTATGCTATCCGCAGCTATTCCCTTACGAGGCACAGCTTTCCCGCACAGAGCCTCGTTTGTTCCTCTCAGTATTGTTGGTTCTACAGCGTGCATATACATCGTGAAGCGCGGGAGCAGGCGTGCATGTTGCACATTGTGTGGGAAAGCTGCGCTTCATATAGGAATAGCTGCGGATAGCACACAGAGTGATGCTACAAGTTCGTGCCATGTACTCCCTAGTGAAAACTGCCATATCATGCAATGAGAGGCATGAGTCTCTACAACGGGTTCTCTAGTGCATGTTGTGCACGACACACTCCTTTTGCATCCTCGAGGAAATTCTTCCAGCAGGCTGGGTAGAACAACAGCTGTGTGGATTTCAGCCCATGTTTGCTTTTAGCTGGTTGCTGCATGTCATCTGGATCCTCATCGTTCGTCAGATCCTTTTTCATGGCCACATGGTATCAAAGCTCCAGGGAAGCAGGGTCAGGAAGACAAGGTTGCCCATTTGTCTTGTGATGCTGACTCAAGACATCGTCAGCTACATCTGCAGGCTTGGAATGAGTTAGTTGTTGAGTGCTTGGGGATGTACTACCGGATGGATGTCATACCTGAGAGCCATCAGATTCCTGACATCAGGAAATCGACCCGAACTTGATATGACCAGATATAATTGGTAAAATCAGATCAAAAATCCACTGAATTATATAAGATTATATACATAGATAAAGCTTGATACAAGCACAACAAATAGCTATAGCATTGCATATTATTACCGCAGCATCACACATATGTGACATATGATAAGACTATGTCAGAGAAATATCACCTTGATGTGTGGCTTGGAAGCAGTCAACAGTATGACACTAGCATTGCATATTATTATCACAGCATCATACATATGTGACATATAAGAAGACTATGTCAGAAAAATATCACCTTGATGTATGTCTTGGAAGCAGACAGCAGTGTGATACTGTTATATTCTAGTCTTACATATTATTATCACAGTGCGACACACATCTAATATATGATATGACTATGCAAGAAAAATATCACTTTGATGTGTGTCTTGGAAGTGGACAACAGTGTGATACTGTCATGGTCTAGCCTCACTGAAACCTGGAAGATTCAGTGACAAAATTTTCAACAAACTGATGTTCAACTTTTATTTTGCTTATATCTTGCTTAGAGTACAACCATTAGACAACTTGAAAGTAGGGATAGCAATATGGCCCTCTCAACGAGGACTATAACATAGCATCGAAAAAAATATTGAAGTTTTGTGGATTAGTTTTGGGTATATATACGACTTACTGCTAGCCTGATAAATGGCTTTATAGTCTAGTGGTTAATGCTGCTAGTGTGATATTGCTGGTCATGTGATCTTGGCCCATGTTGTGGGTTTAAAACAGCTTGAAGGCATTTTATTTTTCTGAGTTTTATGGTTTTCACTGGATTTCAGTAGAGCACCTCTATTGAAATTCTCATACTGGAGTAGGTTGGTCCTTTCAGTGATAAGGAAATCATGAGAATTCCGTGATTGTGCACTAGATTTCAATAGAAGCTCTTTAAGGAAACTAAGTAGTGAAATCACTGAATTTTCAATGTATATACTACCCACAGTGAGGAGCACGTGTGGTGCATTCCATTTCAATCTCACCACCGGTTACGACACTGCCACTAGTATCTCAAGTGGTGATGGTGTTTTCGACCTTCAACATTAGAAGGACAGCCGCTATAGGGACAAGCGTGCCAACCTGTCGAAGAAAATATGTGATGTTATACTTACAGAAATACTATCCTTTACTTGAACCCACAGAATGATGTCTTTACACATCCATTTACATATGAAATTATTGTACTGTAACTACAATATATCATTAGGCAGTATGTTGTTTAATTCCAGAAACCAATGGATCATATCTCGATACTCTCTTCCCCACGTATTATGAGAAAGCAGACTCAGTAAAGATTACAGGTCTCAGATGTATACTAGATGCTTGTCCTGAAAAATGACAATTATAATACTGTACATATTCTATGACATCAGTTCTACCAGACATATCTGATCGAAATGTAGAATTACAGTGACAGTAGGCATAATCTTAAACTCCGCAGAACTGTGCTTGATGCTGCACTTCGCCACACTTTGGATGAGCCCACGATGAGGTCCGTCCAGAATAAGGCACTCTTGATTTTTCTTACACGGAGGGGCAGGACTCAGGTGAATGGCTGGGATATGATAATGTTTGAGTATGGCACCTGCATTGTTGGATGTGCAGTATGCCGCAATGCATCCTTCTGGTGTGGGTCCATTCTTGCCGCAGAAAGGGTCGGGACAAGGCATGGATACGAATCGCCTAGACAATGATACATCAAAGATTGGTGAAACCTTCAACATCATGTGATATTTGAAGAATGTCGAAGAGAACTCCCTGGTCATCAACCAAGCTAGTGGGCCTGTAATAAAATGAGCATAGATTGAAATGGCTCCATTGAGGACTAATCGCTGTCTGAGGATTTTTCTGCTCTGGCGTCAATACTGTCTTGGACGTCTAACTCGCTGACAGTCTGAGGGTCGGATGTCGATGACTCAGAGTTGGGATTGACGCTCGACGAAGAGCCGTGCGCTACATCAGCACCTTCCGTGCTTGCAGACCAGGTGGACCACATGCTGGATGATGAGGGAACGGAGTCTGTGATGGAAGCCAACGAGCTGGAAGGAACTTTTTCGATAGGTGGAGTGATACTTTGGAGTTGGGGTGGAGGCGCCAAGTACAATCGTTTCCGCAAGTCGCAGAAGGAAATCAACTCCAAGCCTTCGAGCATCGCCCCGTTTAACCTCTTGCCATACCTGGAAGCCGTGAACCTATAAATTGCTGTGAAGATATGAATGTCACTCACCTCATGACAATGTTGCAGTTTTTTAGTGTGATGTGCTTCTGCCCATGCAGAGCAATGGTGCACAAGTCAGGGCCAAGACCGTAGAGCGTCACCCAGTAGCCCTTTTGGCCACCTCCAACAATGAAAACTTCTTGTCCGATTTCCTTTTTAAAATAATCTAAAACAACATTGCTTACTTTCACAACAAATCCAATTGGAACATTGATCTATACTAAGTCAGAGAAGCTCGAGTCAAGGTGAATGGTACTTACCAGTGTGTGATCACCGTCACATAGTAAGGTCAAATGAGCGTTTGGGAAGTCTACACTTTGAATGACCCCTTTCGCCTCATACTCTGGGCCATGGGCGACAGTCACGATGTCTCCAGGTTTGACATCATATCCCTTTTCCTTTGTGAATTTGAGTGTCTGGGTGAGTTTCGTTCGCTGAACTGCTGCTATGGGAACTGAGGTTCTCGACAATCTGCCACTGCCAGTAGTGTCCGCAGTGAAAATATCTCAGAACCAGAGTTTGGTGTCTCCCTTAGAAAACCAGTCAATGATGCCACATTTGCCTATATGCTCTCCTACCAGGACTTCTATGAAATCACCTATTTCAATAGAGTCTGACTGGGGGGGTTCGAAATGTTGCTGTGTTTGAGGCTGTGATTGTACTATGTGATCCAACAGACGCTGATCCAAGTAGTATTTTGATACTTCCACCTAGGCACCAAGTGTTACACCATTAAATATTAAATTTAGACAAGAAATTTACCTGATGGTTCATAGCATATTGACAGACAACAAATGTGTCCTTGCACATTTGCACAATGTGCCCTTGCAAACCCAAGTATGAACCAGCTACAACTTTCACAGTATCACCGACTTGAAAGACATGTTCTGTGTCCTGAAGACAAATGTCTATCTCTTTGAGACATCCATCGAAGGCGGATTCCAACATGACGGTCCCAGAAGTATGGTCAGTGGATATCACCTGACCGAGCTCTCCATGAAGAGAGCCTTTGACAACCCTCGCTAAATCACCCATGTGCAGGAACTGTATCGAAAATGCGACCAGAGTTTTTTATAGGAAGGGTTTGTTCCATCCGGCATTCAGGTGCAGCCGAATGTCATCCGCTGAAGGTACAACAATTCAGATGGTGAGTCTGAACAATGTTGGGTCTTGCAGAACCTAGCTGCTATTCAACCCTAAAGGGTTTCTGGACCAGGCTCAAGGCTCAGAGGAGAGGAAATATCATGAAAAACTGCTGAGTACTACTCTGACTCCTACTGGTAACTGGTGAAAAGATGACTTGCTTATGTAAGCTACAAAAGTGCCAACATAAGGTAAGGTAAAAACAGTCTCTACAAGCCCAGCCAGAAATGAATCCCTACACCGCGTGAGGGGATGTGATAAGTTCTAAATGATCGCGGTGAAAGGTTTTTAGGAGGAGCCCCATGTAGTAACTTTCTCCCTTGTGCTTCCATCCTACAACTTCGCCATCGCGAATGATGCCGGACACGGTATTATTGTTCGGGAGGCGAGATCGCTTGACCAGCGCCCGAGATCCTCAAGGCATGGGATAAGGGAAGCGGCGCTGACCTGCACCAAACTGGTTCGGTGCATGGATGACTGATACTCTCCTATGAGCCCTATGCCCTATGAAATCATTTTCTCTATGATCTGAAGTCAGACTGAGGCTAAGGGAATATTTTTCATTTTTACGAGTTTGCATGCGAGCGGACTGAATATTTTAGTACATTTAATTCGGCAATGAGTTCTGCTTAGTCAGCCATGGTGATGACCCAGACAAAACTCCCACGCATGTCAGGTGACTGTGAAAAATATTTCCCACATATGTTGTCCTAGAAAAACATTCGTAAAACCCTAAATACTAGGCTCGCGTCATTTTCACCCTTCAAACAAAGCAAAGAAATGACAGACACACAAAGGATTCACATCATGTGACATTTCTTACTCTCTTTCTGGACTTGTCATCAGGAGTTGGATAGGTCACATGACTAGCAACAAGCCAGGATGACTTAGCAAAATACCCAATGACTCATTATGACTCACTCTGAATATATGACTCACTATGACTAGAAATAACTTTGAACTGACTCACTATGACTCACCCTGAATATATGACTCATTATGACTCTTTACGACTCTTGAATGACTCTTTATGACTCTTGAATATACTAGTAGCACAGCCACATTTATTGTGTATATAATGACCCCAGTTTTGAAATAAGAACTAAGAGCCAAGTGGGAGTTTTCAGCCCATCTAACATTAAATTGTGAGTAAGGTGTGATAAGTGTTAGCATCAGTGTCAAGAACTGTTCAAGACTGAGAGGAACATTCTCAAGAGACAGTAATACTGCAAGCTCATCATACTAAACGACTAGCTGCGAGCTCACTGTGTGCAACAACCAGCAAGCAAGGTACAGCCACAGTTTTATTCAAATTTCTATTTTCTTTTCTTTTCTCTTTTGTTTTACTTTCACCAGCCTTTGGTGTTCTTTTTCCAAAAAGCATACTCCAAAATATTCGTGTTGTCTCTACGTCCACCTAAGACTCAGAGTAGCTTAGTGGGGAGACTTAAGGGATTGATAGTGAAGCTTGACCTCACTCATCTGAGTAGTGATACTGAGCCAAGGTTTTCTGTGCCTGCTAGGCTTTAGCTGTTGAAGAGGGGACTTGGTAGTAAATCCAAGGACGTCCGTTCCTGAGTCTGTTTGAATACTCAAAGTGAGTTCCTTGACAGCAGGTTCAATATTGAGCTAAGAGTTCTACAATAAAGCATTTGACTAGTCTTGACCTTTGATTCTACCTGTTTTGTGCTGAGGGGGTTGATCATTGTAATTCCGCACCATTCTTTTTGGAGTACAGTTTGGTAAGAGGCACTGTTGTTGAAAGGAAGCTTGAGGAAGAACTTTCTATTTCTTTGGTTACTGCCATACTGTCGGGCTGACCATTATTTGTTTGTTTGTTTGTTTCTGTCAAGTCCATAGATTGGATTGACCATCGTATTTACTGATCTTGCAGAAGTATCTTTAGCTGAACGTACTTTGGGTAGTATACAACTAGCCACCCACGAGCGACCACGTTATCAGTCATTGGTATTTGTCTGAATCACTGACCGTGGAGATATTTGTTTTTATAGGTGTTTATCTATAGATCATCTATCTAAGAAGACAGCGCGCAACAATAAGAACCGCAACAACACCATTTGGTAATTGCTCGAAGACTTGGGCCATGTCGCCCTTGTACTCCCTGCTCTTAATCCTCAGCCACACTGGGTTAGGAAGCTCGGACTGTGTACGTTTGACTGCTTCACGCTCTTCCTCTGTGATGCGAGTGTACTCTTTCACAGCAAGATAAAGCGATCCCGGCAGGGATTGTGCAACCATTTTTGGGCTGTTAGCCACCATGTAAAGCTGGCCAGCGAGCCAAGCTGAAACGGTAATGGGAAACCCCTTCCTATGAAGGTGTTCAGCAATATGTTCTGTGGTAGCTCCTATAATACAATGATTAATATGCTATGTCATAGAAAAATGAACCTACTTTGAACATGCATCAGATACATCCTACTTTGAGGAGCTCTGTGGGTGGGATCTGGGCGATCTTCAGGTGAGGTGGGGGGATTCCCTTCGAACCTAGAAGCCATGTCGTTGAAGGTTGCAGCCAACCTCTCTTTTGCCGACGGTCCTGGCAAGTGCATAACCTTTGGCAACTGTGCAGACCGTCCATCACTATCCTCCTCTTCCTCATCCCCACCCTCTTCCTTGTCAGCCTCATCAGCCTCATCGGCAATAAACCTTCGTGCGGCCTACATGAATTTAATTTATAAATATACCAGTCAAATTTTTTTACTTACTTGAGATAACCTATGCGATTTTTGAATGCGTGATCTGGACAAGCCGCCGTCTGTCCTCGATGCAGGCATGGGCACGGAAGACTTTTCTGCTGGATCTGGTATGTACCTTCTCCACAATATCATCAAGTTCCTCAAGGATTCTGCATCATTTGCGTTGTCAGAGAACAAGAGATGTCGAGGTTCCTCCCAGTCATCTGGTGAGTATTGGTCGCCGAGGTAGGACACAAGCGCATCGTCCATCTCAGATAATGACATAGATGTCGTGAGGAATTGTCGAAGAATCTCCCATGCACCATTATCGTGGAGTGCCAATGGTACTGCCTGATTCCCTGTAGTATAGTCTTTATGAATAACAATATTGACGTCAATAATATTGAATTATGACCCACCTTGATGATCAATCCTGCAGCACCGCTTTTTGGCCAGTTCATCACCACCGAATCCAGTGTGTTTGGACATGATTCTGCATGTCATGATCAATTCATACTAGTTACAGGGAACTCAAACTCTGACATACTTTGTTGTTTGATGGTCTATTTGATGATCTACAGTAATATCTACTAACTATCGTATCGTATTGGAGTCCGAGGTAGCAGTAGTAGGAGAAAGAAGAACTGTTAAGGTGCAAGGTCAGTATTTATAGTGAATGACGATTTCGGATTAGCTAATACTTACAGTGGTACGTATTGTGGAGTCCAGACTTTCTGGCATTGTACTGGTCTTGTGCAGTGTGGGTGTGAATTGTTTGCATACTAGTGGACTGACAACGGAAGAATGGTGGCCAAACATACATTTTACTAGCGAAATCAATGGTTAAGATTTATGTAACACCACAGCGATGAAAACATAATAAAAAGTGAAGTCCGCTATATACTCCAGCCAGAGCTGGACTGCTGCACAAATCACAAGTACTACTTTACTCAGTCACACTCGAACTAAATATAATTTAAAGTAAATTTTAAGCAAATACATTTAAGTCGTTGAGGGATTAGAAAGAGATTCGGTAAGCAAAGGGCATGGTTGATATACTGAATGACTTCATATTGAGACTCAGTCAGCAACACCCATGGCATGATAAGGTTTTCACAAGTGGTGGCTGAAAAAAGATTCAACACCTTGAACTCGAACACACGAGCCAACAAACACAGAGCTCATACGCATAATGGTTAAGCTATAACTGCTTATATTTTGAAGGATAGAATGTATATATCACACCACCTGGTAGACTGCAGTAAATGCCGGCTGAGTTTGAGTTTTCAAAGTCAATCAACATATAAACCCCACACTCCCCTTTCATTTCTTTCTTCTGACCCTCCAACTGTCGCTCATGTCTTTTGAGCAGAGCCAGATATATTCGATTCTATAGTAGATCATTAGTGTCATAGTACTTTCTAAGTGTATCATGTAGTTTCTGTGCACCTGTTTGATGTGCTGTATGCATGCATTGTAATACAGCTGATGATAATTCTTTCATCTAAAGACTTCGAAACGACACAATAAGCAGTTGCAAGATAATCATTGCAACTGAAGTCATATGCGAAGCACATGAATGATGGTGAGATGCCTCCGCGTGCCATGTGATCAGTAATTCTGACATATTAATAGATAATGTAGGCTCTGGACTCTGTTTGCTGAGGTCAAATTCAATGTACATGAATGAATTCATTGACACCACAATATTTGTGCTCAGTGGAAGATATACTGAAGATTGAAACTTTGTCCGATATCGATGTCACACACCCGCCATAACAGTGTGTTTTTGAACCTTTGAGCTCTTCTGATATGACTGCGGCAATTCCACTTAGGTGTTGCCGTGGTGTTGGCGCTGCTTGTGTCATTCCTAATCATATTATGGAAGTATGGAGGCGAGTGAATGATCCTCTGAAGATGAACTTTGAACGTTTGTGCCACACCAGCTTGAATACACACCTCTCCGAGAATAATATATTGCTGGTACGCATGCTCTCCCAAAAAAATTCTCAATGTTCACTAACCAACAGATCAGCCATCTACAAAATTCTGGAGGAGAGTGATCTCACCCATGTAGCCGCATGTGCTGGTCGCACACTCGGCAACATATTGCCCCTGACATACACCTCTAGTTCACTGAAGTATCAATACCTCAACATAACTGCCTCCTGTGGCGCAAAGACAACATGGGTAGCGAAAGACATGCACTTCCTGATAAGCAGCAAATTGTGAAGGGTGAATTTTGTGACCTAGTTGGGTGGTTGGCCTGTTGTTTCCGATGTGAGCTATGTTTTCATCTGTCTTCCATCTGATGCACTCACCATTGAAACATTGCCAGCTCTCCTGTTTGGCCATGGTAATGAAGTATACCATGGCGTGCAATTATGATATTCACCAACATTTTTATGATCTTAGGGTCGGCCACAAACTCCGGTTTTGGGCTCGAGCATGCAGAAGACGCTGAAGACATTTCAGCACATGCAAACAAAAGGTAGCTGTCTCTGAACACCAGTGGGTTTATAGCTCATCCTTTAGCCCAATCAGCTCTGTGCCATTGCATTCCTGGCCATATATTCCAGAAGTAGCATTATTGCAATTTTTAGCGGTGACCACTGTGCCATCGCATTACATTTCTCTGTGATCACGTAAAGCCTGGTAGATATTCCTGCCCCTCCAGCTCAGTGCCATCATATTCCTGGCCATGTAGCACTCAAGGACTCATTGTATTTTTCAGCAGCTGCCACTGCACCATCCTGGATTGTGTACTTACTTACTGTTTTTGTGTGTTCACACTCCTCCATGTCCACATCCAGTTATACATGCATTTGCAAACGTACATTTGTTGCACAGAACTACTACAGCCGACATCAGCGGTCATGTTCTCATACAAAAAAATGGTTGTCATCGGCGATTTCGACCCTCAAGGAGTTCATATGTTGTAGGAAAAAGCCGCGCACCTCAAGAGACTCGCATGAAACTGTGCCTGGTCAGAATGTTCCACCCTCCCATATCATAGCAACACCATCTGCCAATCACTCGCCTACTGCCAAAGCTAATGCTTCACTGGTGTCTCAACATCCTGGAGTTGCAGTATCTATACCTAATCTGCATGCTGTCATGGGGAGTCACTCTGACAATGTGGTCATTGATGATGAAGGGGATATGAGTCTTGCGCAGCGCAGGCCCAGGCATGAGAACTGACAGAAACCGAAGAGATTCAGGGATGTGCTCCCCCAGCCACCACCTGCTGTCCCTGTAGAAGTCCGCGACCAACTCCCAGAATCTGCTATGTCTGTTGCTAGTACAGCAGAATGCCCAGTTCTACTGCAACGTGCAGTATTTCCCACCACCACAAACATCTTCGGGTTAGTGCGCGAATATTTTGCCTCAAAACCGCCATCCCATGATCCGGAGGAGTATGTCACAATAGCTGACCTATCATTCATTCCTCGTGCCCATCAAGTAACTGAATCATCACATGAGTCGGGCAGCAACAACCACTATCATCCCTATCTGAATCAAGCCTCCTTCCAGCTTGGAGATTGGTACTGGAATCAGGGATTGCAGAAGTCCCAAGGCGACTCTACAAGAAGCTGGTGGACATTGTAGGCAGCAGTTCTTTTCAGGCGGCTGACATCAGCTCCACTCACTGGAAGAACATCAACATGAAGCTGGGTGCGAATGACTACGATAAGGGAGATGGGGAAGAATGGGAGGATGAAGACGCGGTGTAGAGACTCGCGCATCTCTATGCTGAATATGTGGCCCTTTACCCACATAATCCCCTATACATTCCAGCTCTCATCCATAGGATCAGTCTTGCGCGCACTCACGCTTCCCGCACGCATCCATGCGCCTCACCCTTGGTCTTTGCGCTCCTGTCCACCTGTCCGTCCTACATCCTCGCTGATTTACTGGTGCATTATTTTTATCAATTTCATTGAATTGATGTATCCTTGGTCCGATGTGCACGCTTACATACAGAACACCTATCTTAGGCTTTAGAATATAATTAGTATTGATATAGTTACTCGGTGTAGAGACTCATGCCTCTCATTGCATGATATGGCAGTTTTCACTAGGGAGTACATGGCACGAACTTGTAGCATCACTCTGTATGCTATCCACAGCTATTCCTATATGAGGCGCAGCTTTCCCACGCAATGCGCAGCATGCGTGCACAACTTCCCACACTTTACAATGTATACACGCGCGCGCTTTCCCGCGCTTGATCGCCCTATAGCGCCAGCCTTCCGGAAGCATCCATCCACTGTCCACCAAGCTCTCTAGTGCATGTATTTCCATTTCCCTTATTTACATATCATTCCACCTTTATTTATATCATGGACCCTTACTTACATACATATATCTTTACATACCTTACTCGGTAGCGATTCGGCTCTGCATGACAGCGCTTAGGCGCCATATAAGCGCCAGCATTACCTACCAGGAGAACATTACTTTACCTCCCACTTACCCACTTACAACCTAGCAGAATATAGTTGAAATCTATTCTTTGACACCTCACGCTCACATCTCTTGTTTTTCATCTATCATCACTTAAGCAAACTCACACTTACTCTCACTTGTTTCCGCTCACGCGCCTCGCACATACCTTCGCTTTCCCACGCTTCGCGCGCACCTGCGCGCTTTCTCGCGCTTCGCATTGGCCGAACAGTAGCGCCTACTACCAGATCCTTGCTGCACTCGCTTCCCCTTTAGGGTCGAACGCACTTGTCGTCTCAGGTATAGCAGACTAGGCAACGCGCGACCTTACAACATTTACAGATACAGTCTGGAGCATCATTTGTTCCTCTCAGTATTGTTGTTTCTACATCGGTTCGGTACTGCGCTTGGACGTGCCACATAGCGTTATTCTCAGGTGCAATTCCCCTTCTTAAAAAGAAGGGTGGGTTCTTAGGACAGTTTTTTTTACTTTCCCCTTATCTCAGTATACTGCAAAGTGTATAGTCCACCTGAGCACTTGAAATCTGATCATACTTCTCTATCAATTATCATTCGCGTTTCTACTGTCTTCTTGAAGACCCTTTCACTTATAACTCGAAGTGCGCCCTCGCTCACGCATGTGCGCTGAAGGTACAACAATTCAGATGGTGAGTCTGAACAATGTTGGGTCTTGCAGAACCTAGCTGCTATTCGACCCTAAAGGGTTTCTGGACCAGGCTCAAGGCTCAGAGGAGAGGAAATATCATGAAAAACTGCTGAGTACTACTCTGACTCCTACTGATAACTGGTGAAAAGATAACTTCCTTATGTAAGCTACAAAAGTGCCAATATAAGGTAAGGTAAAAACAGTCTCTACAAGCCCAGCCAGAAATGAATCCCTACAGCGCGTGTATTGATTTATGAAAAGAACTTTGCAGTCAGCAGTGCAGCTGTAGAACGCATTCTTAAAGAACAGTCTTGGGTACCAACCTCAGTGAGTCTGTAATTTCTGACATTGATCAAGCTTAACCATTGCCTCAGAACTCATTCTCGAATCGTCTCAGTCCCTTGGGTTTTAATATTTTCTCTGTGCTTGTGGTAGATTTGTTGCACGAGTTTGAGATTGGGGCATGGAAGTCACTTTTTATTCACCTATTATGTATCATTGCGGCGCAGGACAAAAGTCTCATCCATATATTGGACCAGAGGTATGGCGTGTCACCACCGACTCTGATAACCCTGACTGTTCCATGCATAGATACAGAGCAATCCCGACATTTAGTCAAGCTATGATTCAAAAGTTTGCGGCCAACTCTTCGGATATGAAACGGATGGCAGCTTGTGATTTTGAAGATCTCCTCCAGGTATAACCTCCCCTCTATTATATCAAACGATGCCTGATTAAGTATGCAGTGTTCTATTCCTGTCTTTGACGGGCTCCTTCCCGAGCCCCACAATATGAGCGTTCTCAAGCTGCTATTTAACATGGTGCATTGGCATGGACTAGCTAAGCTATGTATGCATTCTGATATAACTCTAGATATCATGGATCAAGTCACCACTGCGCTCGGCCATCAGTTCCGTGATTTCAATGCACATGTTTGCTCCGCTTACAATACCCGCGAGCTTCATCAGGAGGTTGAAGCGCGCAACTGACATTGTGCCAAGCAAGCAGGAAAGCTTTCTGCAAAGAAGAAGGGTAAGCAGACTGCTCGCGCAGTCAAGGAAGGGGCGGCATGCAAGGAAGGCCATACAACTCAGAATTTGCAGTGCACCAAGGCATTCAATTTTCAGACTTACAAGTTCCACGCCTTGGGGGACTATGTGACGACAATCCGGCAGTATGGTACATGTGATTCATACAGCACGGAACCGGTCAGTGTAGTGCTCTTGAAATCCAAGTCATTACTAACTAACTTCCCTAGGGTGAACTCGAGCACTGTTCGCCCAAGGCCAGATATCATCACACAGATCGCAAGCTCTGTGTTAAACAGCTTACTCGCATTGAATGTCGTCAGGCCCACATTCGTTGAATTGGGAACTGAGTTGCTCCAGGCCCGCATATTGAAATAGCAGAGTTAGCGACAAGTCCGCACATTCACCACCACATTGGCCTATCACAGAAGTCACCTGTACACATCGGCTCCTTTTTGCGGTCCCATCAAGGGGACCTGGCTATCAAGGTTAGTCCACCATTCCTGCGCACAACATCTGATATCAACCCATGTAGAACTTTACTCCCAAACTTAAAAGTCACTTATTACATCGAATCAACAAATCTAGCCTTTTTCCCGTCACAAGACAAGAAGCGGAGATTAACACAATTATTATCAAGGACGATCATATGTACCAACACAACATCGCAAGGTTCAACTATACTTTGTATGACATTCGCAGGGTGCAAGACATCATCAATCCATGGACTACACATTGTAATGTGATGGTCCTCCGCTCTGAGGACGATTTGGAGCACTGAGACCACTGATTTCTCTATGGTAAGGTACTTGGAATATACCATGTGAATGTAATTTACATTGGCGCTGGTTTCGTTGACTACACTCCAATTCGAATGGAGTTCCTATGGGTTCGATGGTACGAGCCCATGGATCAACTCTCCACCTGGGACAATTGTACCCTAGACCAAGTTATTTTTCCATCCTTGGCGGATGAGCACTCTTTTGACTTCCTTGATCCAGTGGATGTCCTCAGGGGCAGCCACATTATTCCTTCTTTCAACAGCCTTAGAAAGCACCCTGATGGATTGGGTGTGTCAGGATGTGTGCGGGACAAAGACAATTGGCGCGAATATTATGTAAATCGGTGAGCGAGAACACGACTTCTTGCACATGTTTGGAATGAGCTCATTATTTTAAGGTTTGTGGACTGTGACATCCTGCTGTGCTTTCATTACGGTCTTGGAGTCGGACATGTATACTCTCACCACCGCTCCTCGCTCACTGAGTCTGATCAAGCAAGCAGCCCCAATGCAGGACAAACTGTCTTAGACGATCCTGAACTCCCCATGGACACCAGGGAATTTGTTGAAGATGAAGAAGACACTGAAGATGAAGATGATGAGATAACATAAGATGGTGAACTAGAATTCGGTTCCAGTGAAGAATCACTAGGATCTGAATTCGATGGAATGTACGGTAGTGACACTGAGCTAGATTACGAGAACTAGAGTGCCCACACGATGGCACCTTGTCTATTCTATCGATTATGCTTGTAAATTGTATCAATGGCACTGATTGCCTGTTTAGATCACACTGATGGTCATGGCCATCTACTATGTAATAATCAATGGCACTGTAACGATGTGAAAACAGACCAATTTGGCATACCAAGAGCGAAACCTGCTGGTATAAGTACAGATGTGTTTTATTATCCCTACTCAAAAAACATGTCTTTAGCAGCCAACATCGAACTCCATGGCACAGCAGGCCTGGAACACAAGTACTATATTTATGATGTGCTGAATGACTCGGTACTTCCCTCCTGCGTAAGCCATTTCCTTGTCTTGTGCACCCGATGAATCTAACTTGTGGTTCCTTCAGGGCGAGCCAGCGACAAATGTGGACTTTGTTGGCTATCTCTCGATGGGGTTGCTGCCAACGGTGTATCCTCTTTATGTGAGTACAATTTCGGTCTCTGAAGAACGTATTCTGCATGTCTCATTTATGGATGCAGTGTCTGACGGAGAGCAATTATCCTGTAGGTCGTTTTACCTTGTGGTCGCCATAAAACTGACCTCCGTCAAGCTCAGACAACAGCTGTGCCTTACAGCTTACATTTGTACTCCCGTGCTGCACGCCTCACTATTCTTGAGCCCCCACAGTGATATTCTGTGCTACATTCTGATAGTATGCTGAGTCTCAAATGCACCTCACCTTCTCGCTGATTAGATGTCTAGCTCGACTTCTCTGCTCCACCATTAAATTTGCCTTTCCTGATGGTTGTAACCTGCAAGAATGGTATGCATGGTCTGTATCACCATGTAAGTCTACCTTGAAATAATGATCATATCATGCTTGACAATATCTTAGGTCGATGTGGCGAACCCTGGTAGTTGCACTGTCATCCATATTGCACGGTACCCTACAGGTTACTATAAGGTGACTGACAGCAACCTCACAACATTGTCGGATATCTTTACTGTGTCAGGCCAGGGGACATCAATCATTCCGCATTCATGGATTGGCTCCGAATCCATTCATACCGTGCCAGTAGCCTCAAGCAGTGCCGTTGGATTACACCATCAAGCCACCACACCTGCCAATCGGACAAGACATGCTGTTGATTGTAGTCTCCACAGAATCATGATGGTGTGTGTTCAGTGGCAACAGCCACTTGCCTACCTTCATGTATTGATGAGGATTACCATCTGCTCTGGTGCCACGGACAATCCGCACTTGCTCATCTCCCACCATATCCAAAGGAAACAGGTAATTGACCAACTCTGGCCCCTCAGTTTGATCAGGTCGAACATTGATCCCTTGACCTTGGAAATTGGTAAGAGTATCTTTCCCTGATACTCCCTATATGTATCAATGAGTCATTTGCAATTCATTCTAAAACCACAAAGAAGCCCATTCCTGAGAGCGAGATATTGAAACTTGTATGTGTCATACTTGATGTCTCTACTTGTCTTGATCCAGAATAGGCTTCGGCATGGTTCTTGCAATTTTTCTACGATGTGAGGCGCATGCTGGGCTACACCCTTGATGACTCTCATGCAGGCCTTGGCCTCAGTGATGGCATGTTCAGTGACACTCTGACGGACAAAATATTGGACGGCCTTCAGATGTTCCTAAGACCACACACAAACATCCTCCCACTTGCTGTGAGTTCTGTGTCTTCACATTCATTGTCAAACTCATTATTTTTTCACAGGACAATGGGTTTTACTGATTCTTGCGTCTCCAGCTCACCAAGGAGGCCGTGTACCATGTTATATTCCGTACCACAAACACATGCGGTGTTCGATTGACCATTGCTGACCTCGAACCTGCAATGTTTAGGCATGCTCAACATCTCCCATGGGAGACAGCAGCATTCATCGCGTTGTCTGTAAGTGACTTCTATTAGCCTCTGTGTTTTTGGCTCACTTCCATCATTACATCAGTGTTACCAGATTTGACTACAAAGACTTGTCAGTTGCTCAAGCACTCCTGTCTCACAGGGAATGTATCTGTCACCCAGCCAAATTTTTATGGAGTTGAAGGAGACAGGTCCAATGCTCTTGCAACAGCACGATGATCCTCATATCCAGTCCTTCAAGCAAGCTCTAAGGAATCTGTGTCATATAACGTGAGTTCACTTGGAATGTGTGTTCTATCCGACAACTAATGTGCACTGTACAGCGAGACTGATGTCCATCGTGTTGTTTGGCCAAAGAACTAGTGTTCCATGTATGTTGTATATGTAACCTAATGTTTACATTGTCACTTATCCACATGTCGCCTGCCATAACTCGATTTTAAAATGTACATTACTACCTGTCGCTGCAAGTCTTTGTATACTATGACAATCACTGTATGAAGCATGTCACGAATGTATTTGCCCCCTCAAAAGTTTGGAATTCCGCTATATTGCACTATAGCTTGTGGTGGGGGACTTGACAAATTTATTTGCCAGCGCCTTAGGCCCACAGGCCCACACATACCAAAGAATGGTCCGAGTCCATTGTACCACAATTTCACCACTCTTAAGTAAGTGCTTACCAATTATGTACTAGTTCACTATAAATACTGATCACGCACATTAGCACAGGTCTTCTTTCTACTACCTTGATCTCATAGTACCTAAAACATAAGATAGAGAACCAGAGTAGATGACCTGTGAACTCAATATAGTATGGGATGGTTTTGGCTTGCCTTATTTATGAATTTGATAGTATAGACTACAGACGAACTGTTCAAAAAATGTACAGGGCATCTAGTCATGGTGAACCTAGTGCATCAAAAACAACGTAAGTTTAAAACACTGCAGGTGGAGCGCTCCACTTTGTCGTAATTCATTACTATTTACTTCTTTCGTAGTTTCACCATTCACTTTATCCTCTTTTCAGTTTAATAATGGTTTGATCGCCATTGCCCAACTGTATAGGTTGTGTAAGCATTCAGCGATCGTGAGAACATCCCCTTGAGCATCTGCTCCCTCCAACTTCAATATGTTGAATATTGTCGTCCAGGTGTTCATGATACACGTCAGACAGACCTTACCCCCCACTTTCTTGGAACTGAACAGACTGAGGGAGCCCTGCTGACTTGGCTCCAGACAGAGGGCCATGACACTGTCAGTGACCCCTCACATGTTTCTTATGATGTTCTAACTTCCCCTCTAGCTTCCAGAATCCCTCCTCATCACAGCTTCTGTGGTGTTTGGATTGGTCAATGCCCATGATCTTATGGCTCTCATAGACATGTACCTTAAAGAGGTCACAATGCACATGCAGCTCCAGCAAGAAGAGGGGAATTGCATGATATTCCTTTTGCGACAAGGGCGGTGTTTGATGCAGGATAGAATGTATAGAGCTCAAGTGGAAGTTTCCTTGTTCAGTAATGCTATTGCCAACTTGTGCGAAGAGCTGGAAACTAGAAATTACCCAAGTGAGACATCCTGTTTTGAAAGGATCACGTCCGAGACTAAAATGTATTTTCTAGTTGGTCGACAGAAGCCGGCTATAGTTGATGTTAAGTATGTTGGAGCACGCACAGTGCATAGCTCGGTCGATATTGATTACTTCCAACCTACACAAGCCACCCAAGACAAATGCAATGCATGGCTTCTCACATTATCATCACATGTTCAAGGCATCATGCAGGTTGATCCTGATACCATCCGAGCACTTCTTGATTCTCCAAAACCTATATAAGTTCCTGATCTTCCTGAATACCTTTTAAGGGTGCGTGTCATTCATACTATGAGGGCCCGGTGTTCTGACACTATTCAGCCTGAAGATATTCTTTCCCTACCTCGTTTGTTGAAAACTTGGGTGGATAATGTAACATACCATGCTTACATGACTGCATCCTTCGACGAATGCAAGCCCCTGTGAATCATTGACCACAAGAGCTTCAAGGCAAAGGAGCACAAAACTGTAGATGTACTCAAGTCCGATGTCCGTATTCTAGATCTAAAGAAGCGGCGAGCACAGGCCAAAGTGGACATGGTTTTGGAAGCCATGGAACGCCTGTCTGAGTTTGAGGGCACATCAGACGGTGGGCATGTAACTTGTGCTTTGGTTTTCTCGCACTGATATGACTGTAGGCAAATGCTCTGAAGTTGTAACGTTCGACACGCATTTACCTGACAACTATCTCGATGATTTTGCTTCAGCCCCATCCTTGTTCTTCTCTTCCAACAATTCTGTACTCCTGTGATCTTATTATACAACCAGTTTCTCTCCCTTTGTTGGCCACCATAACTTTCTCTATTGTACCGGTATTCCACACATGTCGGCTGTACGTCAGACTTGGACCATGTTATTTTTTCTACCATCACTTTATCTTTATGACCATCTGCTTAGTGTCCATGTTCTTGATATGCACCCCTGTGATAGTATAACAGAGCTGAGTAATGATGAGAAATGTCTCTCATTCAACCCTGCTCCAGAAACCATATTCTTAACTTTCATAAAGCCGAGGGCAGTATAGCTAGAATGAAAATAATTATTAAACCTGCTTTGATTATGACTCTTTCTTCGAAGGGTTGACTATGTCAGTGTATACATTGTCTGTAGGCAGGCCTCCTGGTACAGGGTCGGAATGTCCACCTTGTTTGTAAGTACTGTTATATATACCTTCTCGATTGCATTGCTAATAGTGGTTTTAGTATTGTCCTGTCTTGGATCTGCATGAGGCATGCTGAGGTGGGCGTTGAGCTGTCCTCTTCAAAGTCGCTGTTCTCCGCTTTGAGTGCGGTATGCAACACGGTCTCATTGCTCGTATCAATTACCGTGCTGTCAAGAGTACAGTGCTTTCAGTACTGTCTCGCTTTGGTGTTTGGTGTCATTGCTCCACTACCTATTCCTTGTGGTGAATCAGTGAGGACACACATGCCAAATATCTGTACTTGCTTTGCAGTGTGCAAAGTGATTTCAGTCTGCCAGTCGAGAAAGATCTGGGAGCTGAAGGTACCACAGCTCAAAAATTACGATTACATTGCTCATTATTTTTCCAGTTCACTGGTTGATAAACATTGCTATAGGCACTCGCATCAACAACTCAATTACAGCCAACCAGCACTCAGTAAATGATATATTCATCTTTTTTTTAATTGACTGTCTGTAGAGGACCTAGATTACCAAGTCCCACTGTTCTTGCAGGACACTGGGATTACTGTATCTCCCGACCCTATTTCAGTCACTGGACCTCCCAACGTCAAAAATCCACTACAGCAATCTTTACTAGACAGGTGGTAAGTTCAGGACTCCAGAATGCATGGGGCACAATGATCTGATTCTCGACCTACAGCAACCGCAAAATGGTTCATGGAATGTCATCAACCAGACCTTCCATGAACTGAAGAGCTTGATGTTCTGGGGGATTCTCAATTACACAAGGGTCAGTACAATCAGCCAGTTCGTCAACACTTTGCTCAATGTGTGCAAAAAAAATGGTTCCATAAGTCTTTTTGTCTTCTGTGTATTTCAAACTAGCATTATACTAACATTATCTGTATTAGGAATGAGTAAATAGGACATCGAATTTCATTTCTAGCTGCTAATTGTTATTTTGTAGATGTATCTCCACCTGCCGTAAGTTAATTGGACTCTGGCACGTCATCTATGGTGAACATAAGTGCTGCGTCGATTTAAATTTTGAATATTGACTCATTGTAAACAGTATACGAGGTCACTTAAACATTCCGTCAATAATACGATAGGCAGAGATCCGGACCTGGTACTAGCCATTTTGTCAATGACCTCAACTATGTCAAATTTCAATCTCTGTCCAGGTGTGCATCATTGACTCATTTGGTAGGATAACTCCAAATTCGGAGGCATAGATTCTCCGCCAAGGTCAGGTGCATCGGAGAAGCTCATGAGTGTTCTGTTCATGGTTATGGGTATGCACCATCTCTGTTTGGTCCTGGAGGCTCATTGAAGGCTGGTTCATCTTGCACCTGGCATAGTTCACCAGTCCTCTGTGGAATCTCTCGTCTACTCGTTTGATTGGTATGGTATACAGTATGAAGTTATGATGTCAGTTTTGTCAAGAAATGATTAATGAATTGCACAAATTGGTATATGTGAGTATGTCGCTCAGCTAGTACTACCTCCGTTTATACTCAATTCATGAAGCAGGTCAAGTCATTATATCACGCTTAGAGACAGTATCTACACTCACAACACAGATAAGTTAGCCCGCTTTGCCATCTTACCACATCTCCTTCTCACCTCATTCTAGCCTGCAGGAGCTTGCGTTCACACTGTGCGATACCTATGCTCATACAACTCGTTCCATCTCAATTCCGGCTCCCGTTTTTTGAGTGATATACAACTATCTACAGCGCATGTATCTGACACTTCATTTTTCACCCAAAGACACTGATGTACTCAGTATCCCATCCTGTCACGCCCAGTATCTATACTGGCTATTTGATAGACCATCTGTGCATGTGGCACATGCCACTTTAACCCCACCATGGGTTTCAATGCTGTCGCCTGTCATTTCTTGACCATCCTCATCCTTTTCTGTCACATTGGAGCGCCAATGTCAACTTCCACTGATGGAATCTTACCCAAATCTGAAGTACCACCTGTGTCTAACCTCTGTTTATCTCTGCCCTGCCTTCAGCAATGGGAACCGACATAAAAGGTATAGCGATGGGATTTCTCATATGGTCTGAACGTTGAGCTATTCATTTGCACAGGATAAAACCTTGATGTTCAACCTTGATCTACAGGATCATTTTGGTCCATGCTGATGCTGTACAACACTGCTCTGTACGGTAAACACTTAGCATATGTACATTTTCTCAGTATACGAGCTATGGTGCGGAGCTTAAGTAGGAAAAGGGTATATTCAATGGGACTCGAACTTTGGCTCACAACTAACTATTTCGCCCAACATTTATGCAAGTAGCATACATACCACTAGGCTATTAGGCCGTTGTAATGTATTGTAAGGAATTATATTTAACAGGTCACAATGGGCTTCAAAGAAATTTTGTAGTTTGGTGCTGAGCGCTGAATGCCGGCTGAGTTTGAATTATTATAGTCGCTCACTATATTAGCGTATCAGTTGCATATACTTCACTTCTTTCCAACTTTCATAGTCCTTTTTGCCTTAAGGTTACTAGCTCTCTTACTGTCGTCCTTACTTACACTTACTTCGGTGAATCTACTAGTACTGTTGTTACTTTACTTTACTAATTCATGCAGGCAGTGTGCACATGATTGCAGTGTCAACGTCATTTTCACAATGGACTGTATTCCGAAAATTGAGCTACTAGGGTCCGTGACCCGTTCAGAACAGAAATGGTAAGCATGTTGTTGAATACCCAATACATCATTTTGATTGAAATCTAGATATTATTTGATACAGCCATGTGGTCGTGCCCTCTGACCAGGTGTTATCATCTCGCCAACTGATACACCTGTAGATTTACAGATCAGTGCTATGCTCTCTCCAATCTGAACCTTCCAGACTCCAGCTCAACAGCTCTGGAAAGAAGCTAGGCGAAGTGGCACTTTCTGGAATCTGATCGAGCTTGGGCACATAGACACCATCCAGCATATGGTGCTCGAGGTTGTCAGCGCAGTAGTACTGTTCTAGCCATCTATACCTGTACGTCTTCATCCTTTCTGAAAGGAACTCAATATGAATTTGTGCGCTCTTTAACTGTTCCTTGACATGGCGCAGCTGAGATTCTAGATCGTTTTCATATTCCTCGTTGATGCCTAGACAATATTTGTCAGACCCAGCGCAGGAGTCTCTGAATCGATAAATCTCACTTGTCATTTGAGTTCCAGAGTGGACCATTTGATGAAACTCATTTTCATTGAGTTTCTCTTGTGCATTGAGGAAAGCTGCAAGCTGAAGGTAACTCTATAAGAATTGGTATCACATGCTCATACTGAAGAACTCACTTTAGAGTGACATTGCTTCCGACGTGGATGCATTGTCGCAGATGCTTCCGAGTGGGTGAGCTTAGCATGTGAAGTCCAAATGCTGCAATGGTCGCTGCAGTGCTGTAGAGATGATGGCTATACTATCAGGGGAGATACTGCACCATCCAATATATATATGGTGCTAAGATGGCAAGATATTTTCTTCATTATGAAATCTATGGCGCTCGGATGGCTGAAGCTTTTTTTAGTTACAATGTCTACAGCACTCGGATGGTTGAAGCTTTTTTAGTTACAATATCTATGGTGCTCAGATGGCCGAAGCTTTTTTAGTTACAATACCTATGGCACTCGAATGGCCAGTCTTTATTTTTTTGGTTATGATATCTATGGCACTCGGATGATAGTTTTTTTTTGTGGTGTGCCATTAGATATTTGAGTATATAAACTGCCTCATTTATCTCTTGTATTAGAACCACCTAGCTGAACCTATGAGTAGTGACAAGACTTCAGGTGATCCTTCGCGACGCCCTTCATCATGACTTCTTCAAACCCCCTTGTTCTCCATGGCCGACATTTTGGTCGAACTGTGTTTGCCCTGTGCAACTATCCCGCTCTTCTTGCTGCCGGTATACTACAACTGGAAGAATTACAGGGTTCTCCCATCGAAGATTATCTAGCAGAGTGAGTGCAATTATGATTATGTACCGCATTACTTAAGCCTACTTTCACTGGTAGTGTTCAACGGGAACATAGGGTTTTCACGAATCTCATCGATTCATATCCTGGTCTTTTGGATCGTCTGGTGAAGGGTGAGGAGGAGGATATCCTTCACATGGGAGAATTGGTAATTTTTATATTCTTGAATATCATCATACTCACCCTTTATAGCTGGGTAAAGGAGCTGCTGGTGCGCAAGGCAACAATACCAAGACCCTTAAGTCTGCCGTTCTCGAATGGCTTGTGCCCAGGGGACAGGCGGTCATACCACCTCTCTCCCGGAATATCAAGTCTGACCCCAGATTTAACCACGAGGTCACTGGTGCATTGCTTTGCCCCGCAGGGCTTGACTGGTCAAACACAGAGTAAGCCTTTCCGCTAATATATTGATTGGCCGTCATAATGCTACTCAGAACCAAGCAGAGCCTGAAGAGCAGTGAAACCGCGGTTTATGGTGACCAGTGGCCCATGTTTTTATATGCTGTGTATGAGTATAATCCCAAAAATCCCTGGAAGGGCTTACTCAGGAGCGAGATACTCATTTTCATGAGATAATTCTACTGGCAAAAGTTCTAATTCAAAACAATTTCCATTCATAGGGTTTCAAACATGTCTTTACATCTCCAAGCTCAGTCGATAGGGAGCCAAAGGCTATGCAATCTGGCAACGCTTACCTGCATGGCATGAAATGTGTGACTCAAGGATCACTAGCTTACGTTGCAATGCAGGCAAGCAAATTTGATATATGTTTTTCCCTTCTGACTCTTCCTTCAGATTCGGTTTTCATTAAGTTTGTCATCTGTGTTTTTGCGTACAGACACAGTCATGGACTCCAAAAACTTCTACCATAGCATTCTCAACTTGTTGGAGGATCCCGAGGAAAGTGAGGAAGTGACTGACCTGATGATGTGGTGGATGCGGTTTGTGACCTCCCATCCACTTTAAGTTCTAAGTTAACACCTGTAATAGTCGGGTTTTTCCAAATTCTTCTTCGTTGCAGCGCACTATCAGCAAAAATAGTGCACTGTCAAAGATTCAGGAAAAATGTGCTGCCTTGCAGGAACAAGCTACGGCGGATGCCAATTAATTCTTTGTTTTCATAGTTGTACTGTATCATAGTTTGATGTGCTCTTCCTATGTTAGGCAATATATCTCAACTTGATAAATCATCGTCAAAGCTCAATTCAGTGTCATTGATGATAATGTGCCACTATTGGAAACTGCCCTTGTAATAGTAGATGTACACAATTGAAGACCAGCATCTTGATAGGGTCTTGATAATTTGATGTCAGAGCTCGACTTGATGTTGTTGTTGGTAGCTCCTGCCATCGGAAGCTGTCCTTGCAATGCCAGACGTGCTTGCTCTCTGGCGATCACCTTGATAGGGACTTGTTAAGTCAATATTATGCCCTGGCACACTGTTACTGATTATACATCCTGCCTTTGGAATCTATGTATTTAAAGCTAGACATCCTTGTTAGAGAATAAGCAGCTTGATAGGGCAATACCAACTCAATATCATGCCTTAACACATTACCATCAATGGTGGCTTCTGACATCGGAAGCTGCCTATCTAAAGCTAGACATACTTGGTTGTAAGCTAGCATCTTGAACTAGCATGATAATTCAATGTATTTCAATATAATCACCTAGCACACTGTCAGTAATTATATACCCTACCATTGGAAGCTGCCCTTGTAACAGCAGATATACTTGATAGTACATCAGCATCTTGGTATGACATGATAACTTAATATAATCACCTAACATGCTGTCATTGATGGTGGCTCCCACAATTGGAGGCTGCCTATCTAAAGCCAGACATACTTGGTTGTAAGCTAGCATCTTGAACTGGTATGATAATTCAATGTATTTTAATACAATCACGTAGCACACTGTCATCAATGGTAGCTTCCACAACTGGAGGCTGCCTATCTAAAGCCAGACATACTTGGTTGTAAGCTAGCATCTTGATAGGGTATCATAAGTCAATATTATCTCTAGGCACACTGTTGGTGATTATACATCCTGCCATTGGAGGCTTGCTATGCAATAGTAGATACATATTCCAACAACATGCCAGTGTGCTAGTACATGACAACTTTATACCATATGCCTGTCAATATTGTAGCTTTGGGAGATCCCACCAACGTAGTCTGCCTATCTATTCCTTTATCATGTGATCTACAATTGTGATATATATTTTTAATATTATACATTAAATAAAGCTAGCTAAATCTTTGCCAAACTGCAGTCAAATGCCTGATGAGGCCATGACCTTTTCACTGGCACATCTGTGGCCTCTGTTGTACTACTTTCACCAATCTCCGGGGACTGCGAGTGAAGACTAGTACACGACAGGTCAGACACGTGATTTTTTTATATTTGTATCAGATAGTTCTTACCGCTTATTTGAGTTTTCTTTTTCTGAACGCTCCATCAGTGAACAGCGTCGAGAGGTGGAATTTGTCAGCAAGGTGCGGTCATTTACATTTGTTGAATTGTTCATTGTTCATTGGTGTCTACGAGGCCTATGCGACCTAAGAGTTGCCTACATAGGATGGCACTGTCTACATAGGCCTATGTAGGCAACGCCTGCCTACAGGAAATGTGCATTACCCCTGCAGCTTTCAAAGATGATGTTCAGCAGATGGGATCTGACTTGGAGGATGGTGTATCTTGGGATGTGCAGTCTCTGTGGACTATGAAGGGTGTCTCGTCGATGTAATGTGTCTGGGAGTTTTGCCAAGTTTTGCCAATGCACCAAGTGCCAGTTGTGCCAGCACTTGGTCAAAACTCAGCCCAAAGTAGTTTTGCCCCCTACACTAAATACATCATGCTGTACTACTTCTATAGCTACAAAACTACAAGGTATCAAAAAAATGTGCGATAGTCGCGATTTGGGGAGGTTGTTAGAAGTGGCAAACTTCTAATTGTCGCCCTGGAAGTATTCTATGACGCTCCAAACCCCACTTTAATAAACTGCGCGATACACGACATCCAGTGCGCGATACGACAAAGCGCGATACGACAGAGTGCGCGATACGACAGAGTGCGCGCGATACGACAGAGAGTGCGCGATACTCGAGTGCACGATGGGTGTAAGATTAAGGTATTGTATCATAGTGGGAAGAGTTTAGGGTCAGGTAGCAGGTCAGGGTAGCATGGTATAGAATCTAGATAGACAATGGAAGCTCCGAGTCCATGCTTAAAAGGATACTATGTAGATAGCAGTACTAGTAGGGCACAGAATGTTAGACGGCAATATTCACGTCTCCTATAAAATAGTCCTCAGACCAAGGATTAATACGAGGAGGGGCAGATGGACTATCAGGGTCGAGGACACCCCGCAAGAAGATATCGGATGGTCGGGGCTCTACAAAGTCAAGTGGCTTGGAGACATGACGAAGAAGGAACTGTCTAGATAGTAAATCAGCGGTGCCGAAATGCGATGCCTGATGGCTTGACCCAGCACGGAAAAAAGAGCCGGAGGGGACATTATCCTTTCGCACTGGAGTCTTTGGCACTAGCGACAACTGTCGAATAACATTAGGAAGTTCGTCGATGTCTGCATTGGAGCTTTCTAGAAAAACTAAATTGTGAGTGAGTGAGCGAGCGAGAAAAAAAAGGTTTAAATTTGAACGAACGTTTGTTAGGCTGCGAGGCTGCGTGAAAAACACTCTGTGCTCGGAAATCTGACACCAAGTCCTCCTGCTTCACTGTGATGCCTGCTAGAACAATGAAGGAGAGACAGGACAACTGGTGAAATGTACACACCCCTCATTTTTTTGACGGAAGGTTTGGATTCTGTGTCGGAGACAATCTCAACAGATGATTCTCGTCCACGTTTGAGCTTCGCAGCGGCTAGCGAACGAGAGAGAGATGTATATGTACCAAACAGTTGACTGCGACCGATATTAGATAAACTTACCTGCACGTGTTAATATTGTTGGTTTTGACTCCTCGAAACTTGAAGCATCATCGGAATCCAGAAACATCCCATCATCCCCCGTCTCTTGATATTCAGGATCCCACGATGCATATACATGTTCTGGAATTCCTCTCCGCAATGCTGAAGACATGTAGGTTAGCCTATCAAGAAATTGTAGGACACAGAGGCTCTTTACCTATGATGATGTTGGCATCTTTCACAGGGCACTTGTGTCTGCCTCGGAATCGTGCAAGATCACTGCCGGTGGGCTTGTCGACATTTACGACCTCGTATCGGAGCCGCTCCTTGCTTATTAAAACCCACGGGCACGAAGGTGTGCCAATTCCTTTTCCTTTTTCTTTTGAATTAACATATTCAAATGGCAATGGAAACACTTCATTTTGCAGGTACTGATTAACCTCGTCATGAGTCCACATTTGATTAAACGAAAATCTGCTAGTGGTCTCGATATGTGCACATCGACGATGTTCCATGTTGTGCAGCTGCGTCCGTGATAGTAGACTCGTGCTCTTGAGATTACCGTCGTCCTTCAACATATTCCGTTAGTTTTTTCTCGTGTAAAAAGAGATATATATTCACGCACGTCAAGGCAATTCACGAAAAGAAGCCATGATGCAACTTTCGCAGTTTTATCCCCATCGGCATCAAATTGACTTGATGACACAGCCCTTGCCCTACTACTAGGAACTCGACGTGATTGCAACTGCTCCGAGACCAACTTGTAAGTATAACAATCGTGCATGATGTGTTTCGCACCTTATTGACCTTGCTGGTTTGTGAGTGTAAGCCAACCCTGAAGCCTTTCATGACTTCGTCTCGGGCTACCGAGGCTTGCTCGACATCTACCCTCTGGTCAAGTATGTTTTTGGACGAGGTAGCTGTTGGCACTGCAGATCCTAGACTGGTTTTTTTCTTGAATATGCTGACCAGCCTCTTTTTTCCAGACAGTTCTGTGCCCTCTTGCCTTCGAGGTGTAGCTCGCGAAGTGGAATCCAGAGCCTCAGGATGTTTGCTAAACCCATGCTGGCATTCTCGACAGTAGTAAGGAGCATCGGGGTTAGAGGGTGGGGTGAAGTATTCACAGGTGCAGGCTTGTCCTCCTTCACGAAAGTCTCGGCAGTACTTTTCGTGGCGGTCGGACATGGCAATGTATGAGATGACGTGGAGACGGCTCGGAAGAACCAGTATACTGTAGATGTGCTTTATAGAAAATTTTTGTCTCACATAAAGCCTCGGTGAATTGTGATTGACACTATGTCTCTGGTCAAATTTTAAGCATATATTTCATGTATGATATTTAGCTAAAAGTATCTTTCGGTTTTGAACAAAGATAATGCTGACAATCCTTGACACCAGAGTGTTGCACGAGCTTCCCAGACAGAATCACTTAATGATACTACAATAGATTTTGTTCCGCGTCTCCCAAATTGTAAGACTTCGATCATGGCTGCATCCTCGTCATCTTGTTCACCAGGTAACAAGCCATAACCTTCAGGTATGATGCCCTCGACAACGATTTGCTCAACTGTTGAAAAAAAAAGGTTCTCGTCATCCTGGGTCACAAAGGGACTTTTCTTCCCGGGCACTTCAACAGCAGTGTGTCGAACATTCTGTTCCTGATCTTCTTCTATCTGTGAGACGAGCTGATCCCCTGAATTAGTGTCTTCGTCATCAGGATGGCCAGCACCAGTCTGTTCTCGCCCATGAGTGCCATGGTATCGTTCGATTGTGTCAGGGTGAACTCCTTCACAGTCATCTCGGTAAATGCCAAGTGTTACCTGGCTTATCAGTTGCAGATCCTGTGATAAATCGTAAATGCGAGTTCGAACATTGATTAAAGCGCAAAGAACATGTCCAAGGTAGCGGATATTACTACTTACCTGTGGGCTCTTATTGTTCGTTGACGGGCCAGCAATCGGATGAAGATTCCATTCTTCTCGAAAGGTCTTACAGTCATCATTGATAGCATCCAAGAATAGACCTTGGAGGAGCCACAAATGACCCGTTTTCTCGATATCAAGGCCATGCAATCTCTCCAAGCGACTGAAGAATGCCCTCCAACGTCTCACGAACTGGGTTCCTACTTCAACCCAGAGGCGCTCTATCCTTGAGTTTTGAGTGGACCTGTAGTAGTTGTGTAAGCACAACTCCCAATCGGACATTTGATAAAAGAAAGTCTTACGATCCCCACATAAAGGAGCCACGATTTGGGCCATTTCGCATGACCATATAAGTAGCAACATCAATGTTTTCACCACCGCGATCGCCTCGCATACGTGATGGCATACCATACTCCTCTTGAGCTTCAAGAAATAAATCGAGTACTGTTACAGCACGATTGTTTGTGCTTGCTCGCAGTGCAACTACCTGGACAGGCATTAGCAATTGGCAACAATTTGACTCAAATGACAGTTGCATACTGTTCTGCAGTAGCCGTCAATGAATCCATGGACGACAACCCCCCACCGAATCATTTTATGGTGCCCATCCAAATGCCAGAGAGCATTGGAACGTTTTACTTGATATTTCCGTCTTTGAATAATTTGTTGCCGTCGGAAGTGGCGTCCAATTCTGTCGACTCGTCGTAGTGATTGCCATATTCGCCTATGCTGTACACGAACACCTTGTTGGCGAAGAAAGCCAACAAGGTACCGAAAACCAGACTCTGGTCTACGACGCTTGAATAGCTTCACCAGGGCATCAAGGTCACAGTCACGAAGGTTGGAATAGCACCTTTCAATGCTGTGTTGACGCATGTAGCGCCGTAGTGTTTCCGGATGAACATCGAGGATTTTTGCGAGTTCAACATGCCTGATTTGATGCCGAGCAGAGGTGGCCTCCCTCAAGAAATCAAGATCTATTATTTTTTTAGGTCGTCCTCGTTTCCCGGTGTTCTCAATTCTGGTCAATTCTGGTTTATCGATATTATGCTCCTCTCTGTAAATATCTCGTCTTAGTATCTGCACGTCTATCAAAAATTTGACTCACTGTTCATTTACAGTTGTTCCTAGGTGTTCGAGATTGGTAACTGCGCGACCAAGTTGTGTGGCTACATTAGCTAACCATTCGACGGGGAGAGACTCCAGATTATCATCTGAGTCGATGTCAGGTACAAGTGCTTGGAGAATTGGAATTGCATTCGACAAGATAGCATCCATGTGGAATGCAATACGAGTGGGGTCAGCTCCATCTGCTCGAAGAACTCGGATGGCATGATTATAAGTGCGTCGGACACTCTCATATGCAGCTTGGATTTCCACAGACCAATTTTTTGTTTCAGGGAGAAGTGGGAGTGACAATGGCACCAAAGGACCAGTGTCCATTGTTTTGTATCTGACGCGAGTTAGAAAGCTATATGTTGTTCAAAGGTTCCGCTGGTATAATTTTTACTGGTGACGTGTTTTGTGTCTAACACATTCCTTTCCGTACCTGGTTTTTTTATTACTAACACCTCAACTCTTCTTCTAAGCCATCCCTTCGTGTTCACACAATATTCTGCTCAAACAATCAAGTTGACTTGCCTTACTGATTCAAGTTCAATGCCTGCTCAACGCCATCAAATGTTCTTCTTCTCAGATGGCACCCACATCTTCCAGGTTTGTGCCACTCGACGGATCATAGCCTTATGATGGACTAACTTGAATGTACTGATAGGCAGGAGACTCACTCTTCAAAGTGCATGCAAGCATCCTCAGGGATAAATCTCTTGGGTTTAGGGATATGTTTGCTGCAAGCCAGGACACCCAACTCGAAGAGGTCGACGGTAGCACTGACGACAAACCCATATTTGTACCGTCGCAAGTAAGCGAAAATGCTTTTGAATTGTTCCTTTCTGTCTGTTACAACAAGTGAGCCTGAGTTTGTTTCATAATGAGCTCACATCCAACTTGAATGTCATGCAGATGGAGGCCTGATGCCGTCAAAATACCTAATGACACCGTCATCCAACTACTGGAGCTGAGCGACATGTATCTTTGCAGAGACGCTCGTGACTATGCTGTTCAAAATCTCCAGCGCAACCGCTACTCACTCGAATCCACACGACTTATTTCCCTCGCTTTGAAGTTCAATATCAAAGAATTCTTGCCGCATGCTTTTGAGCGCCTCATTTCAGCTCGCATCAATGACGTGTCCGACGACGAACGTCACGCTGTTGGGCCCATCGTGTGGAACACAATGTTCAAGGTCAAGGAACGTCTGGATATACACCGTCGGATTATTGCATGTGAAGCCCCACCTATGGTACACGCAGGAACTTGCGCGAAGCAAAAGAGATGCGAGGAGGACTGGAAGCAGTTGTGGTGGAACGGAATGGGTCGGTTTCTGCTGGATGGGCGAAATCCACAACCTTACAAGGATGCCGTCGAACGGTTTGAGAAACTCGACATCGGCGAGATAAATCCGGATTGCTGGAAAGCGGTATTATTCACTGTGAAAGGCCAAAGTGCCTTCGATCACGAGCGAAAGCTTATCAGTCGCACGGCTAACAATCTCATCAAATACCTGATTGTCGAGCCAAACTTTGAAGATTTTGGCCGTGCAGTATACTAGCAATAGTAGCTATATTCCTTTCCCTGTTGTATCGCGCGGTGCGGTGCACTTGATGTTGTATATCGCGCACTCTCTGTCGTATCGCGCGCACTCTGTTGTATCGCGCACTGTAGTATCACGTTTTGTCATATCGCGCACTGGATGTCGTGTATCGCGCAATTTATTAAAGTGGGGTTTGGAGCGTCATAGTATTCCGCCCTTGTTCCGCTCCAACAGTATCGTAAAACAGTGGGACCCTGTAGTTTGTCAAGCTCCACGAATAAATAGAAATGGCCAAGAAAGAAACCTGATCCACCAATATGAAAGTAGCTGCAAAGACGGAAAGGCAGTAATGTTATCTACAGAGTGACATTCACTCCCATCGCAATGGCTTGACCTAAAGTCTCATTCACATGCTGAAAGAGCTGGCACTGCTTGGTGCGAATAGCCATGTCGCTGGCCTGACCAAGATGCCAGATGACATTGGAGATCAAGTTGTTTTGATCACGTTCAGATAGACCATTCCACTGTCATGGTTCAATCAGCGATTCAAAGGCAAATTGCGAATAGTGCTATTTGCTACGTACGAAAATCCTTGGTTGATCGAAATCTATCTCGCTGGGTGTGCTAAGGTACTTGACAGCGCCGCCAGTCCAAATGGTGTGGTTGTCGTCATTATACGGCCGAGGAGCAAGCCCAAGAAGATCTTGCTGCGACCAAAAGTTCGGGCGATTTCCCTGGTTGTTGAAGTTCATGGCACCATCACGTAAGAAATTCGCTGGATAAACTCGATTTAGCATCACGCAGAATGATGGAGAAAAGTTACGAACCGACAGGATTGAGAGGGCAGTTGATCTGTCATTCGCAGCTTTAGGCACGACCAGACTGAGTCACACGATGCTACTTACTGGGAGTTGTCTGCCGTTAACTCCAGTGCGGTATCGCTGGGCATCTGGATGGAGGAAGTTGAGTAGAAGATTTCAAAATTATGTCAGAAAGTAAGAACTATAGTACCAGCGTAAGCGAACAATCGTGCTTGCAGTGTGGGATCCGCGGAAGGTTCGAGACCATAAGGCTAGATGAAATTAGCCTTGTTAGTTCACGGATCTTTAGAAAAACAAACCATGTTGGCAGGGTCAAAACCAATTTGTTCAACCTCTGCGAAATGGTTAGTCCTGAGGGAAGAAGTTAGTTGTAGCGCATAAACATTGAAAACCACAAATCCGTACGGGTTCTGAACAAGGGTGATTCGACCAATTTCCTGGTAAGGTGCATCTTCTACGAGCCATTCTAGAAATAGAAATGTGAGTGTCAAGAATATAGTTTGAGGACAGTAAAACGTGCCTTTGGTCAGGTCTAGGATGTTGTCTGAGAGAAAATGTTAGCATCGTCCAAAAGAGACTAGATAAGACCAGGCATCAGACATTTATAGTTCTCGGCTTGTTGAGGCGTCATGGTTTGCCAGTAAATTGTCCAGCTGGGGTAATTTCCAGCTGCAATGGAGTCATAAAGATCTTGGACGCCAAAGTCGGGGCTCACGCCAGCTTGCACGATGGCCTCGTCATTAGTGTTGTTCATGATGCCTTGATCTGTCACTGCGATGGTTCTGGACCGTGTCAACGATGAAGACACCAAGCACATCAGAGACCGCCTACTTGATGTAAACCCACGAGCCATCTGCCTTCACAGCGCGGAATGTATTGCCACTGTAGCCATTCATATGCCTAGGGATTTGTGAGTAAAGAAGAAAGCACGCATATTTCATGAGATGCATACCTGAACCCGTAAGGAGTCCCGAGGTCAGTCATGGTACGCATGACCTATTACAGGTTGATGTCAGCACAGATAATCACTTGACTGGTGGCGGAAGGTACCTGGTAGATTGATTCATTATTCGCGGAAAGGTAATCTAAAAAAATGTAAAGCCTGCACATCGAAGTGGCTGATTTGTCGCTCACCCCAGAAATTCTGATGGGGTGTACAATGAGTGAACTGCCAATGATATTATGAGGGAGAGAAATGCACATTGTAATCCACAGTGTTTGTCTGAGGGTTGCGTTTCTGAGAATGGATGAAGTCTGTATGCATATTCAATATGACAAGCCATGGAGGGATTCGTTATACTAACGAGGGAATTTTGCTGGATCGCGAAGCCAGAAAACAGGGTGGTTTAAGAATACCCAGTCCAAGATTCCGTCTTCTGTGCGCAACCTAAGTTTAGAAACAACAACACGTTGAGCACGTGGCGGCAATACCAAACTAGCTCATGTACTTAAAGGCGAGCCCTCGCAGATCTCGAACAGTATCCGCATTGCCCAGATTACCGGCAATTGTAGAAAGCCGGGCAGTGACTGGGGTACGCTTGCCGACCTCCGAGAAGACACTCGCCATCGAATAGTTCGCACCCACAGGTGTGGTCACTTCAAACCAACCATGAGCACCTCCGCCTTTTGCGTGGACAGTGCGCTCAGGCTTTGCAAAGACCTCATTAGCAGTGGCATTGCGGAGAATCCTGCGTGTCTTACCACTCTCTCACGGACAAAGTGAGCCAGTGATTCGATCTGAGATGTATATTAGGAAAGATCGACGCTATCCCAAGGAAATTCCTTGCCAGGTTAGTGGACGAAATCAGAAGAGGGCCAGTCGTTCCTAGTCTGTCTGCCATGTACGGGTTGGGATATCTGCATACAACATACTTGTTATTTGTGAAGTACGGTTGAGGAATAGCTAACTCACGCCTCTCCCCCAGACAGGGTGTAATCCAGTTGAGTAGAAGGATCATTGATAATCGAATCTTGCTCATTTGGACCTTGATATATGTTGAAGTAGGGCTGACTTGCGTCGCGCTTGGCTTCTTCAGCGTGCGCAACAGCGATCGCAGCTCCTGAGAATAGAAGCAAAGCAAAGAAGTACATCCTGTCAATGAAAGGAAGCTGGGTTACGAGAATCGTAGCTCTCCACATTATATATATGCAAAACTCTCTATCTGTAGGCTCAGTATGTCATGTTACGCGACAAGAAAAGCTGTATGTCTGAGCAACAGCCCTGATACGGTGAGAAACTGTTCTTGACATGAGTTGAAAAAACAGGGCCGCCTGAGCAATCAATAAATGATCTTGTCTTCTCCCCACCGCTGTGATGAAGACACATGATGATGTGTTTGAATCCGTGGTGACTATTCATGATGCCGAGGGCTTTTGACAGTGAGAGTTTTACTTTGGGGAAAGTCATGGTGCCGTTCACCCAAAGCGCTGTATAGAGGCCGCGCCCTCAGGCTTGGGAATGAAGATTATAATACTGCGATGTAGTCCGAGAATTGTTATAATAAGATGTATGCATGTTTACTTGCCTGGAGTCCTAAACCATGCAGTGTATTAAGATGCGACTACAGTGACTGCGCCGTCAATTAGGACGTGAACGCGTGAACCATGGTAACGTTTGCACGGGTCCGCGGGGTAAATGGGTGACGGGTAGCAGAACTAAATACTGTCAGCCGGTTTATGTAATACAACCGGCAAGACTATGTCACAGTACAATTTCATTACATAATGACTCGTCACATCACCATCGTACCTCGACCACCTCATCTAGAATAGTAGTTCGAACCGATTCATCTCTGAGTCGTCATGCATTTTCCTCGAGCACTTCAACTTCGTTAATGCTCTGAATTACTTAAGGGATGGTCATTATAATCTATGTTTAAAACTTTGCATCTCTCCATGGCGGCAGCAGAACTAACTTCCGGAAGCGCAGCCGAAGGACTCGAATCAGGGTGTTATGAGATCTACATTACATCTTCGCGAGTCTCAGATACTTTGGACTTCTGCCAGCTCCTTTGGCGTGAATTCTGCCGTGGACCAGGCACAACCAGTTTTGCCGAGTTCTGCTAATAGTGACATGGGTACCTGTGCGGGTACGAGGTCCTGAAAATATCGATGAATTATATTTATAAAACTCTACGCGACATCATCCTGCGGCAGTGTCTCAGATTCATTGTGCATAACACAGCTGAGTGCTTACTGTTTTAACTCATAACTCGCGATTGCAACTGTTGCAAGACACTGGCATTCTCACGTCAGGCACCTCTCCCAGTAGACCGACGAGCGATATTGAACTTGATACATTAACGGCCAAGAAGGCACGCAGCTGTAAGCGCACGGTGATATCGCCAACTCGAACGTGTTAGAGTCTCCCACTAGAAGTGACTAATGTCACCGATCTCGATGTCTGAGGCAAACCCGACGAGATTATATTTATGTCCCCATCTTCATTCATTCCATTCACAATTTACAGCTGCATCTAAAGCTCGGTTAAATTTCGCTGCACAATATTAATCACTTCACGATATCCTTACAACGTTGCTTGAAAGCTAACAGCAGCCACGACGCATCTCGAGTTCAAACCTTTAGATGCCGTACTAACCTAACCACATCAGCAAAACCGCACACCAACTGGACAAGGGACAAAACACCTCAGTCGGAGTTTCGAAGAACGTGTTCAGCGGCGTGGTGTTTCAGTCTGAATGCGAAGGGTGTGCCCATCAAACTCTTAGCGGCTCAGTTTCAAAGTATACACCTGAGGCCCATCCTGCCCTCGTTGCGATGCGCTGCGTTATCAATAAGCGTCCATTTAAGTTTGCGGCTGATCTTCTACACATCGAGGCAGTCAAACTATTGCGCCCTGGAGTGATTGCACTATCTCCACACACGGTGTCATGTGACATCGACGAAACTTATCGCAAGCGATATAAGAACTCGGGAAGTGCCAAGGTGCCTACGTCGATAGAAACCTGGTTTGACCCATAGCTAGAGGACTCGAAACAAAATGAGCCGGGATTATGCAAATTTTGTGTCCACACAACGGACCGATCGCAAGTGTCAAGACTTTATGAAGTTCATAGTACATAGATAACAATATAGACAAGCACCAATGCTATCGCAGACTCGATGAATGTTGAAATAAGGCTATAGCCTAACACGCGTGTCGCTCCAATCCCGGTCACACAAGTCAGACTTTCACCTGAGCTACTCAGATCGCCCTCCGATTGATCAATTATCAGGTTCTATCCTATATTCTTTGAGTGTCAGTTGCGGTTAGTGGGTCACATGCAACACACCGTTCCTGTAGCATCTCCCTGCCCATTGACGTTTTGGGAGGACTGTTTAAACGATTAAATGACACTTTCCCCCTGGTGGAAGACCCGACTTACCCAACCTGTCCCAAATGGCCTGTTCGTGGTTCTGCTTGCATCGGGCCGTGGAGTGCCAATGATAGGGGGCGCGTTTGATTGCCCCTGCGCCTGAACACCCTGGCTGTCAGTGTCTCCTGAGGGCGCATGAATATCTGCGCCACGTCGTGATGCGGTGGTAGAATTCTGGTTGAGATTGAAGATATCCTTCAATATCTCTTCCAGTTTCTCATCATCGATATCAGCAAGAGTCGGGCTGCGACACTCTTTTGCCACTGCACTATTCATTGCACACTCCCGGGCCTGATGTATAGCGAGGACAGTGAATAACCCGACCTTCTCACCCTCCTCGATCGACATCTGACCCTGCCGCGTGCAAAGGTGCTTGTATTCAGGCAAAAGCAGCGATCTATCGATCTCATACTTGTTATAGATCGCGATCTTTTCTACGGGATCCATCTTGAGATTCTGGAGCTGATCAATAGCCAGCTCCCTCATCTCAAGAAATTGCCACCTCGTAGAGAGCTCGAGTATGACGAGCCAGTTATCTGACGATTTCCTGTCCAGTCTGTACTTCCTGTAACCCAAAGTCAAGGACGATATCGGTGGAAGAACTAACTGAGAGCTTACGGACTGTACCAGACCCAGAGAAATGTCGCGAAGTCATCACTAGTCACGTCTTCGACCTGAAACGCGCTGTGATCAGATATTCCATCCTGGGGAACTTGTGCAAGTTCCCGGATGAAAACCTCAGATTCGCGTTCGAAGAAGGACTTGTGAACGCGAAAGAATGTATTTTCAACCTGTGCGCAAGTGGCGGTCAGCGCATGCGAGATACATCCAGGACATCATAGCGTACGAGAAAGGTGATGTTTCCATCTGCAAGATAGAACTCTGGATGATGCTGAACGTGCGAAACGCCGGTCTGAGAGTCAGCGGTCTCCATGATAGTATGGGCTGAGACGTTTGGTAAGCTGTGGTAAGGGGTTGGAATCTGGAAAGGCTTTCAGATGTCACCTCAGTTATATGTACGATTCTGGCGCTTCAAGCCTAAAAGAGTCCCTATTGTTCAAGAATAACACGCCCAATCACAAGCACAGTCGCGCAATCCTAGCATTTAGAAGCGTCAGTCAATCAGGTGAGATAGGAAACTGTGGGAAGCCATCGGAGATCAAGTCTCTATTGACTCGACGACGACACAGCTTCCGTTCCACATCCATGTGCATGACGCCTACAAAGGTACCCTTTTTTGATCAAAAGATAACGCACATTAGACACAGGCTGAACACGTGACCCTAGGATTTCCTAGGATGCACTGCAGTTGTAGGTCCAGCTTCCCTGAGTATCATTCCATGATTCTGTGGGTGACGTGCACCGGACTAGAGCAACTGCCTCAAAATGACGCGCTGATCGCTTGCGTCCAATTTCAGGTGAATTCGAGTCAGCAGTCTCGCATTCCAAGGCGAATATGGGTAATGTACTTACGCGGCGCAGCATTGTACAAGGCTTCCTGGTCCCATCATGACGCATGTCGTTGCATGAAATGGCACACCTAACTATCGAATAATAACAGTCCAGCGACAGCGACACCTCCACAGGTACAATGCTGATAGTGAGCCTGAAAACATGGCTAAAACGGTCAGATTTTTGTGAGGCTCGTAAAGTAAACCATTCTGAATACCATGTAGAAAAAAACTCATCGTCGTGTCTATATGATATAACATACATTCCCGAATCTCAACGATGTCCATCACGTGCTGACAACTAACTCCTTAGATCAGTGGTTGTGTGGAGAAGGCCAGTGAGAACATGTCGCAACGAGCCAATGAACACTGATTAGTGTACTGATATATCATCTTCTGCTCCAGTACCAGAGACTTGTTAGTAACACCCGGAGCCCGATCAAAGTTTGCCGAGCAATGCACGTCAGATGATCGCGCTAGTAGGTCCTACTTATCATTTGCACCTGGTACTTCGCCCGGCCACCCAAGGCCTCCCGGTTCCCATTCACACGACCAATATACTCAGAATCCTGATGCTCGAAAGCACATACGCCGAGTAGCGGATGGATGCGCAGTCAAAATAACAATAGAACATTTCGACTAGGTACCGATGACATTGCTGTGGTCGTGAGAACAATGATCCGTTGGGCACAGCAGATCGGAGCTCCAAGGAATGGCCAGTATTCGGTTTTACAGGGTATCGATGCGCCTGTCTAGACAGTGCATACATTGGACAGCCTGAGTGCAACCACGCCTGCTGCTAATTAAAGAAATAATCAACGTACAGTGAATACATACATACCTGGCTACCGTAGCACATTCCCATCTACAATCCGCGCGGCGCGTAGGTGTCAATTTCAAGAGTGCGGCAGCATTCGATCCGTTTTACCCAGCCGGAATGTTGTTCGGAGAATCCTGCCTGAACGCGTCTTTTGTTCGACATAAAGATTTACGTTGCAGGAAAACTTGTTTCCATGGATTCAGAGATATGCTTCTTGAAGCTACAACAGGCATTCAGCGCTTCAGCTTCTTCCTGAGGTAGGATTGGATTGTATGGCAGTTGTACGCTGGTTAGAGGAGCGGAGTTCAAAACCTAGCCGACGGTCCTAGCAACTTGCGTCTCGGTGAATTCCCCCTCTCGCTCACCTTCGATTAATATTTTCAAACACATACACTCCTTCACACAGCTGGTAGCTTAATTATGGGTAGGTAAGTACACTGGCTCTTATGTTTTTTTTTTCAGCTTTCCATTCTCATGAACAGCAGGTCCCAGCTGAGGCCACAGAATGAAATAGTTGTTCTTTACCAGCATAATTTGGATTTCCGAATTGTAAAGATCTTTAGCGGAATGCTGAGAACTCATATCGTGAACTATACCAGGGGCGCAACATCGTGATAATAGAACCCCAGTAACGGCAGGGTATGGTTACAATGGTCCTAATCAATTGAACATGCTCCTGCAAGTTCTACCGAAATTTGTGCCATCTAACAGCAATAACAATTCTGCCAAATCGGAGCCGTGCCCATCAGCATATACAGGGTATAGAAGCTGGCCGTCGTCCTGTAGTGTTCCCCCATCCTCAGACATCATTCGATATTCACCTCAGAAGACATATTACCTCGCACAGAAATGTGTTTCTCCTTCCTGCCGTTGTTGTTGCTTTGACAACATCTATGTCTGTCAGTGCACAAAACTGTAGCCCAATACCTTGCACTACAGATGCAGATTGCTGCCACAACATGATTTGTGATCCTGACAAAGTGAGTATGAGTGTGTGCAACCAGGATTTAACCACATGACTCGTCTGCACGCCTTAGAATGGAGGTCTGACCTGCACGTACACTCACCCCGAGCGGCACGTCGTGACAGTGAGTCATATTTCTCCTTTTGCTTTGGTACCATGGTGAACGGTGCAATACCTAGTTTGGAATTGATCAGTACTTATAAGTTGTTTTTGGACAAATTTTTGTGCTGCCCGAGTAATGTGGATGCTTGAACTTATCCTAAAATGATCCACCATACCTAGCCTTGCTCGTGGTCCACTAAACTTGAGTTCGAGAGGCTGTCGAAACGAGCAATCATTGCTGTTGATGATTAATATTGGGAGGTCGTAAGACGGAATGCATTGCACAGGCAAATATTGGATCTGTTCGTCTAAAGTTGGCTTCGAAGGCTAGCTCATGGATCTCTCTTTGTGCATGCGACAAGAATGAGCATCAACTTCTTAACTTTGTCGCTGCGCAGGGTCATTACACATTCAGAAGATTAAGCGATAAGGGAGAGGTCAGGATGAGAGATCGGTGATGAAAGAATGACACCTGTACTTGCTGGGCTTAAGCATAAAACTGTCTGATTAGACACACACCTTTATGCAAAAATGCGTCTAATCCTCGATATTAAGCATCACCGCCAAGATAACTGTACTACAGCGTGATAGCGTTTGAGCTTCAAGCATCACCATACAGACCGCGCTGACATCAGGCCTTGCACTACCTAATCTTGCCCAATCTTGCCCGGATCTTGAGCAGTGTTCTGGATCTGTGTTCCTGATCTTGTCAGTGTCCTACTCTTCTCATACATCAAACAGAAGCCATCAAAACAGGTTAATATTAATATGTAAGCATCAATATCCTATGGGGCGACAGGCGACAGTAACTGCAGGAGAACCGATACTACACTCCACAGGGCTAGGAATCGGTCTCGCATAGCCCTCCGCATCGCAGCCTGGCGTCTGGCATATCCGTGCATACCCTCCTGTTCTGCTGCGGTCAAGCCAGTCCTGCGAACGGCCTGCTCCTCCCACCACGCTGCATGCCAGGAAAGAAATTCTGCAACTCGGCGCATCTCCTCTTGCAGGAGCTCGACCTCTTTGGCCCATCGGCTGGCGCGTGCTCTCAACTTGCACCATTCTATACGCAAAGCTGTGGATGATCAAGGCCAAATCCTCGTCCGTAAAATGACAGTACTTACCTTCAGACAGGATGGACTCGTTATCGTCACCTATTGCACCTACTCCACGGGCTTTCCAAATCCAAGATAAGGTGCGATTTCCTTCGGATTGGCCGCTATCTCCCTCCGACATCCCTCGAATATCAGTGGGCTGCAGCTCTGGTAGCTCCGCCTCCCAACTTGGATTGTCTAGAACCCCTGCCAGCACCTTGAGGGCCTTCCATGCTCGCCGGTACCGGTCTGCTGCCGTCGTCACAGTAAGCTCGACTTTCTTGAGTACAGCAGATGCCCTCATGTTGGCCCGCTGGCCACGAATATTGGCGTCCTTGAATTTGTAAAGATGCGATCGAAGGCGGAGTTGTCGACGAAGGTCGTCCAAAGATTCGTAGGCCTGCGCATGTCGCAGTTCCCACTCGTAGACATAAAGTCACTGGTCACATGGCAACTCGGTGGTGCGCTTGAGCTCAGATGGAAGCCAAAGGTTGGTTTCATGCACTTTCTCCTCTCGTGCTATTTCTGTGCTCATAGTTTCAGATGTACGGAGGCGGCTGACCATGGGCATATAGAGCAATTGAACCTGGCACCAATGCTCTACCTTCTGTAGTAGGGCATTGGAGCGCTCTTGCAGTTTTGCCAGCTGTAGATCAGTTGCATGGGCACCTAGGGTGTTTTGATCTTTCCATAGACGATATCTGCAGGTCTCTGTCAGCCATTGAAATAAACATTTCCGTAATACTCACTGTTGGTCCTCAAGGTCCATCCCGGACGATATAAGTATGCTCGGTGATATATCCGCGTGCAATGAACTATCGAGACCCTTCTCAAGGTCTCCAGCTTCCTGCTGGGAAAGCTTCAAGCGCACTGCAGCTTGCATCATGGCTGTAAATGATACTAAGTTTGTGATCGCAGTCTACAGGTTGTATGACTCACTGATAGTCGTGGTCTTGAAAGGATTTGGGTTCGAATGATCGGCCTCCCACTGTTCAATAGCGTCTTTCCACTGGGTTATCTCACGCGGTCGTTCGTCCACGAGGGCATTGTGGAACTCGTTAAAGTCATATTGATGTTGGTCACGCTCGGGAATGGCGATCTTTATTTTGTTCAGTAAACTAATACCTGTCCAAAAGTATTAGATTTGGGTATAGCGCAATAACACATCACACTTACCAAAATTTGTTACTTTCTTCCAGTTGTAATCACCAAAATGATCATCGAGTGTGTCCCGGCGTGATCCAGGACCCATCTCTCGTGTACTTGTGGCAACCAGGTTGATATTAGCCCAACCTCGCTCTGGAGCCTCACTGTCAGTGCGCCCCATTCCTTTGATGAGGTTGTGTGAAAAAGACGTCTGGCAGGCAGCAATGTGGGCGGGTAGGTGAAACTTGGGGATGAGGAATGTGACTTTCTTTCCGTCGCGACCGAACCGTAAGTGTGACGAATATTTCGATAACCTGTCCCAAAGATTCTTGCTCCACTGACAGGCGATATCGTATGAGATATTCAGAGTCACAATGTCTTCGGAATGCTGCATTGTGGAGAAAAACAAATAATCCATGTTTATGTACCTAATGATTTGGGTGATTAGCTATACAATCGCCCACTTTGTATCACTGAGACCTACTTTTCACCTTTTTGAAGGTCGCCAACTGCACATGGCCGCTTGAAATTGTGACGAGAGCAGTCAACAGTACCTGCTCCCGTTGCGGCCAGTCCCCGAGAATTCTTTGTTTCTGCCAGGTTCACTGCGTTGTGGCTGGTACAGGTACTTTTCTAAGACATTGCGTGAGTAGTTGTCAAGGCAAACATGTACATAAATGGACCTCCTGCGGTAGTCTCCCCACCTCCTGCAGGAACCCCTTGAAAGCTGTTTCCTCTACAAAATATCCCCATCCTCTACTTAAACCAGGGTCGACAGTCTCCGATGACACGTTCTTCTGCACCAAGCGGAAATTTGCATCGATAGCGAGAAATTGAGCAAAGAGCCATCTAGTGATTGTCCTAAGCAACCAATCTGAGAAAAGAACATGAATACATACTGTTTCTCAGCCGGCGCTGTTTCCCAGCCATCTAGCAAATTCTTGCCTGGCTGAGGACATGCATGACAAAGCACTGCACATGCTCCGGGTTTTGTTGCGTTGACTCCAGCGGGATCGTGGCCTCAACCAGATCGTTCAAGCATTTTGAGGTTTCTCCACTGTTTAATCATCCGTAAGAGACTTTCATAGCGATCCTACAGAAAGATCGTAAGTTGAAAATCAACGAGTACTAGAGGAGTTCTAAACAATTATACCTTGGGTGGATTGATGCCTAGATTATGAGTGAGGCGCGCAAGTGTTTGCCAAAACTCGAACATAGATGCCTTTGACTCAAAGGTTAATATGTGGAAGTGTTCCAAAAGGCGGAAGGTCGCAGCTGATTTGGGGTCAGTGCAGGTTGCAGGATACCAGCGTGTGCGAAGAAGTTGGGTTACATGACCCTCTGCAGTCTCGCACGAACAGAAATCCAGTGCGATTTCATGGACACCGTTCACATGGAGAACCACAAAGTCATCATTGTAGGCCCGAGATCCGTTGAAACACTGTTCACTGACCGGTGTCTTAATAACCGAGGGTCTTATATAAAGCGTGTAAGAATGTAATGACACCACAATTACACTTGGATAAGACTTCTTGCCAGTCCTCGATTAACACGGTCTACGACTTTTCTTCTTTCGTGGTAGATAACGTGTGAGTTCTTGGGAGGCTCGCTAAACCAATCAGGTGATCAACTTAGCCGGAGCTTTTTATGTGTACCTCCAATTGTTTTGTCTAGGATTTGCTACCTAGATTCAGAACTGTGGTCTGAAGTACAAATAGCTTTGCCTAGATTGCACGTTCTAGGCACTGAAATGAACTGGGTAGATTTGACCAAGGCACGAGTTGATCAAATAGGCACGAATAGGAGTAGAGACAAAGGGGTCTCTGTAATATCACGTTGACCAAAGACTGGTTGGTCGAATAGGCACAAATAGCACTGGTGAGACAATGGTCTCAAGAATAATCACGTTGACCAAGGCACGAGTTGGTCAATTAAACAGTAAAACAGGAGAGACAACGGTCTCTAAAATCACATGGACCAAAGACTGGTTGGTCAAATAAACAGTAACGTAAGCTTCTTATCGTAAGAAACTTGTATTCTCAAGGGATACGTTTCCCTGCACTTGTTCTGCTACAAGTGGGAGATCTTAACAAGTGAGATGTCTTGTTCAACTGAGGGGGTTTCTCTGAGAAGAAAATTTCCTAGAAGAGGGATCTCTATTTTTTTGGGGGGAGAATGGGCTCTCCTTATATACATTTTGTGTGGGAAAGTAATGTAGGTTCGCAAACAATAAAATAAAGAGAGAACCAATCAGAATATTGGGTGAAACCCAATAAAAGTATAAAATACAAATAAAAGATGGAGCAATGACATCAGAGATGACATCATAGTGGAGCTAGAATATTCTAGAGCCTATGACATCATTATGACTTCATACATTACATCATAATTTCCAACAGAATAGTCTAGAACTTTCTGTGGAGCTATATGACATCATTATGACATCATACTCAGAAATAATATTTTCTGGAGTATCTGGTAGGTCATAGCATCCTAAATAAAAGAAAATAAAAGAACAATGCTAGAGAAAACAAGATAGAAACAATGATACAAATACAATATGCAAGACACGGGCTTTTTAGATAGGTTTTTGTTAGGCTTTGAGCTTTTCTCAATGGTTTTCTCTGGCCAAAGTGAATAAGCCAAAGGTAAGGCAATACCTTGACCTTCATTTTACTTCACATATGACTTTTTCTTCTTCTTCCATATAAAACTTGAAATATAGGACCGAGGTTTGATACCAAGGTATGGGGTGACTAGTCTGAGGACTGTGCTAACAGACATAATCTTTTGAGGGTTATTCCTAGTAGTAGTTATGTCCATGCATGATTCCCGTATCATGCAGGACACCGGATGTCCGAGCTGCACCCGAAGCCCGAGACTCTTGAGCGTGATATTCTCAAAGAAATGGCCATTCCAGCACTGAAAAGGATATTAGTACATGTGAACCAGGTAGCAACCAGACACGCCACCTTGATCCTATGCAATGGATTTTCATGGTGCCGTTGCACAGTGCATTCTTTACAGTATAGCTCGGTCCCAAGGCAATCCTCACAGCGATACATGGGTTCACTAGTGCAGTCACGATGTCCCATGCACGTGTCCCTAGTCGCAAAGTCACCGCGTCCCTCCAGCCTAATCAACTCAAGGAGGTATTGTTCGTGTTTCTCCACCCATAGACTCATTCCGTGATCCTGCTTAAATTCAATCAAGTGCAAAATAACAAGAGAAAAAACATACACCGAGTGGCCGCAGACACTTTTTGGCCCCTAGAGTGGAATCTTCCAGGTAGGCTTCATATGCGGCATCGACAGCATCAAAGTTTCCGGTTTCTGGTTGGTCTACATCACAGGGAGGTGGAAGGAAACCGGAGTCATTGGCAGCGACATCAAAACTCAGTGATGTGTGTAGGTGTGAGTTTGTGGATTCAGCCATGGGGAAAAATTCTGTTTCTGTAGCGATCTGGCCAGGAGCTGTTCAAGTAAAGCATAGATGTTTGTGGTAGAGTCCACGGTCATTTGATGTCTCCTCCACAGAACGACTTGTAGATGTTGTTACGACTAGGATTGGTCGAGCTATCAAAGTCCGAATGGACAATCGGCGATGAGCCTGATAGACGAAGGTCTTCTCTTGAATAAGAGGATCAAAGATCTAGGCTAAGACGAGTGTCGCTGACTCTCTTAGAATCGTGGTTCAGACAGCAAGGTTGGAGACCTTGCTGAAGGAATGTTCCAGGTAAAACCCAGTAGATTAAAGTAAGGAATACAATCATGCATACTACAGACTATATAGGCAATGTTCAAGCGGAGCTTGTAAATGTGCTATCAAGATAAGAGAGATAAGAGATAAGAGAGATAGGGCGGACGGCCCGCTTGGATAAGGGAAAGGTACGGACAGCCCGTTTAGTACGTAACAGAAGAAAGAAATGATAGGAGCAAATGTTATCATAACAGATGTAGATTTCCGTTGCTCTTGCTGAGCTTTTTCAGCCTGAAGTCTGGTATTAAGGACGTAGAAGGCCTGCCTGTACTTATCCGTCTCACGGTGCCGTTTTCCGACCATGATGAGCAACCGCAGGTAGTAGTAAAACCATTCCCTGTAAAAATCGTTACAGGCATGCCATGTGTGAACTTTACCTAAGGCCTCATGCATCATTTACCGACGTGCAAAGTAAAAATATATCTGACGCATCTGCTGTATATTGATATGCAATAAAATCTACATCAACCGGTAACTTACTGTGTGAAGGCCACTCAAACACGAAGACGCTTCTGGTACATCAATTCGCCCATCGAGTGAGCAACACACAGCTGCGAAACTCCCTCCACGTCGAAGAAAAACTCGAAATCCTCCAAGTATGCAAGGGAGGTACTGAGGTAACGAGTGACCGTGTCAGCAGCACAAAACTCATCTGAGACACCACAAAAAGTAAGGATTTGATCTTGAACAGTGATCGAGCGGTTGAGTAAGCCTCGGACCATGGCTACCATATTGGTGACAATGGTTTTGTCACCATTATCGGCCCGGTCTTCTGTATATGTGATGCTGTTGACAAATTGAAGTAAGACGCCCTCAGCAAATGCACAGGGTTCAGTAATCAAAGACAACATTTCGTCTTTGATCACTTTGAGCGTGAGCAGGCATGCTGTAAGATCCGATCTGTGTGATGTTAATTTCATGTTATTTTCATTTTCATTTTCTATTTATAAAACAACGTACAGTGGGTCATTCTCCTCAATGTTGCTGGAATTGCCTGTCTCCAGCTCATCACCACCTTCATCCGAGTCGTATCCATGCAGAGCTCTTGCAATGGCTTTCTCGAGCTCCGATAGCAGCCCCGTGTTCTTTCAACACAAAACTCCCTTCGCCGGCTTAGGATTCTGTCTCTGTTTCTTCAATCGGTCGACCAGTCAGGAACCACCAGAGACAATTAATAAAAGCGGTACTTACTTTGTGTAATGGCGTCTGCGGTTTTCACGACTTGCTTGCAGTTTTGCTTGAAGTGTTTTATCAATAAGAGGACGCGGCATGAATTTTGGTTGCAGAGGTGTAATGGTGTGATGGTGGTTGGTTGAAAAGCTTGAAAAGAAGCATGGCACGAAAGCGTGGAATCTCAGTAGTATTTCGCAAGAATAAAACTAAGGACCGCAATGATTCATGAATGAGTAGTAATGAGATAAAAATTCAGCTGCAAGCTTTCAAAACTTTCTGCCACACAAGACCGTTATACTTGAGAAGACCGAAGTAAGTCTCTACACTATTGTCCATCAAAGACAAGGCTTCCTCCCATGTATCATAATCCAACTCAACCGCATCCACGGCAGCTGCAGCGCCTGAGCAAAGAGAGTCTGAACAGGCCCCATCTGTATTCAAGCTATGAGAAAGCACTTCGCGAGCTTTGCAAAGAAGTTGTTGGGCGCCTGACACCATTCCCTTGCAGGATGGTCTTGTAGCCGGCCAGCCCAGATTGTCCGCATCTTGAATGAGTGTGAAACTGCATGACTCGAGCACAGCGTATTGAGAAGGTCTGGGACAGTAACCTAGGTCAAGCCATATGTTATCGAGCTGCTGCAAAAGTTGTTGTGTGACCTGGCCGATTGCATGATATGTAAGTGTCATTGGGGGAAGTCTAATATATAAGCCACGTACTACTGTAGCTCCAACGTGTTTATGCCAACGAGTTCGGGACTTTGAGCGTTCATCAAGCTTGTGCCTAGGACAAACAAGTGTTTTGAGAATTAGTAGATGTGCAGAATGATACAAATGACACTGACCTTTCATAACATCTTCGTTTGGATAGCAACCAAGCCTCGTGGCATTGTGCTTTGCTCTTGTACTTGGCTGGCATGAAGAAGTGTCGCTAATAATCTGTTGATGCAAATGAATGAACGTTGAACTTGGTTAAAAGTCGAAGCTTCACGTGAGGTCACTCACCGTAACAGTTGGACTTAAATGGGACACTCGCTGTACCAGCACTTCGTGACAAATGAATGCGGGCAAGATCACATCTTTTTGAGCTTTCTGCAGTTATCGTGATGATGTAAATATCATTTTATAAATTATATACAATGACGTAGTAAAAGGAGATAGGGCAGGACCGAGTTTAGGAGTCAGAACGTTGTTTATAGGGATCACCACTGCGTGAGAGCTAGCTCTTTTCCCTCGTAAGATTCAGAGGGTCTCAAAGTTTCCTTTCAGTGGACGAAGTTCCGAATCACTTGACAATGCGGATGAAAAGAGATTAATACTCAATGTCACATGAAGTACCTCAGATCGGCAGCCACAACCTACACTAGCGAAAGAAAGCGGTGTAGAGACTCGTGCCTCGCATTGTGTGATATGGCACTTTCCACTAGGGAGTACACAGCACGACTTGCAGCATCACTCTGTATGCTACCTGCAGCTATTCCTATATGAGGCGCAGCTTTCCCGCACAATGCGCGCCATGCGCGCACCATTCCCACGCTTTACGATGTATACACGCGCGCGCTTTCCCGCGCTTGAGCGCCCTATAGCGCCAGCCATCCAGAAGCATCCATCCACTGTCCACCAAGCTCTCTAGTGCGTATATTCCCATTTCTCTTATTTACATATCGTTCCACCTCTATTTTTACCATGGACCCTTACTTACATATATCTTTACATACCTACTCGGTAGCGCTTTGGCTCCGCATGACAGCGCTTAGGCGCCATATAAGCGCCAGCAGTACATACTATTAGGGACTTTTACTTCCCACTTGAGTTTCCACTTTACTAGACTTTACCTCTCACTTTATTTACCACCTACCACCTATCAGAATATAGTAGAAATCTACTCTTTGGCACTAAGCAAACTCACTCTTACTCTCTATCGTCTTCCGCATACACACGCGCACTTTCCCGTGCTTCGCGCAGCACGCGCGCGTGTTCCCGCGCCTTGCGCGCACCTGCACTTTCTCGCGCTTCGCTTCAGTGCACACTACCAGATCCTTGCTGCACTCGCTTCCCCTTTAGGGTCGAATGCACTTGTCTTCTCAAGAATAGCAGACTAGGCAACGCGCGACCTCACAACATTATAGATACAGTTTGGAGCATTCATTTGTTCCTCTCAGTATTGTTGTTTCTACACCGGAAGACGACACGGGTTCGCCAGGAATCAACGCGAATTGCACAGGCAAACAAGATAGGTGAGAGCATGAAGAGACCTAGAATGGGTGTAGAGGGAAGCGCGCCGCTCATGAAGTACGTGAATTTTGAATCAACGCAGGGCATTCATTGAGTCTCATCATAGGAAACGCAAAGCTTGAGTCGAACCCTGCCCACCGAGTATCGTAAGATTGATTGCATTAGCTAGTATGCAATATACCGTTCCTTGAGATGCACTTGCTATGTATATACTAGCAAGATACAATATAAATTTTTGGCAACACATGCGCTTAATACTTCATGAAATTTTTTGCACCCACTGAGACTTAATTGAAAATAATGGATAGCAAACAGTACATTAATATACAATGCATAGCAAGCATTCGTGTAAGAAAACCATCGAGGATCATCAATCATCTTTGAGTCTGGACATAATGTACGAGGCAGCAGTTGGGAGGGGGTACCTTATTGAGCGACCTCTTGATAAATCTCAAAGTGTTTGGATACACTACAGTGCACATGCGCAGCAAGCTCGAAATGCGCGCGAGTGAAAGTCATTGAGATATCATCCACACCACGCGAACAGACAGACCTACCCTATCAAAAACTACGGTGACGGATCGATAAGGGGGACCATATCTAAGACACAGTGGGAGGCGAGCGATAGTTGGAACCAACAACAAAAAAATTCGGCAGTTGCATATACGGATTCATGATATTGCAGGTAGTACAAAGTGTTATAGAATAGAGGATATGTGAGGCGGGCAATCTGTAGCATCAAGGACGCGTGCTGGGATGCTTTGAGAGAAACGCAGACATTCTGAATATGAAGGTCATCAATAAAATAAGGACACGAGAGAAAACGAGAAGGCACACACAATTTCTGCAGGGATGTTTTAAGAGAAACGCAGACATTCTGATATGAAGGTCGTCAATAAAATGAGGACACGAGAAAAAACGAAAAGGCGTACACAATTTCTGCTGGGATGTTTTGAGCGAAACGCAGACATTCTGAATATGAAGGTCGTCAATAAAATAAGGACATGAGAGAAAACGAAAAGGCGTACACAATGTCTTCGGTGGAGAGACGACGCAGACTATCACAACTATGGATCACCACTAGCTAACCACGCATTCATTAACTGTACAGTTTTACCAAAAGGGTTCCCATGCATCGGCGTATAGGTGCCTGAACGTTTAGATTTGACAAGAGTAAGGGAAGCTATTATTGGAACACATCGGGGGGAGAGAAGCTGCAAAGGGACAACAGAAGCTGCAAAGGGGAAGGAAGAAGCTGCAAAGGGGAAGGAAGAAGCTGCAAAGGGGAAGGAAGAAGCTGCAAAGGGCAGGGAGAAGCCGCAAAGGGGGAAAGGGTCGTTTTAGCCTACCAAAAAAGGGATTTTATGCATGACGAGAAGTTTTAAGCATCATCGCAGACACGAGAAGCTTGAAGCATAAAGCAGGCATGTGTGAAGAAGCCTTTAAGCATCAATATACAAACATCAGGGAACTAGACAGTTTAAGCATAAAGGTCTGTGTCTAATCAGACACTTTTATGCTTAAATCTGACACTATAGCCTGAGAATGAGAGAATTGTTGATGCCTGCCGGCGGGTTGTGATACAATTGGTCGTAATCATCTGAACACGTTCCAGGCTGCAGGTTCAACCAAAATCTCTGCCATCTGACAGCAATAACAATTCTGCCAAATCAATCAGAATTACGTCCATAAGTATATGCATGATATAAAAGCTGGTGATCGTCCTATAGTGTTCACCCATCCTCAGAGATATTATTCGAAATTTCTCTCAAAAGATTCTATATTACCTCGCACAGAAAATGTGTTCCTCCTTCCTCGCCGTTGTTGTTGCCTTGTCAGCATCCATGTCTGTCAGTGCATGTAGTCCATTACCAATAGTTTGCAACACAACTGCATATTGCTATATGGGCTATCGTTGTGAACCAGATGTGAGTATGAGCAAGTCGCTGTTAAACCAGACTCAACCACACAACTCACCTGCACACCTCAGGATACTCATAGAGGAATACCCGTCTGCACGCTGATTAGTAATTGAGCTGGCAGCCTGAGCGGCACATTGTGACAGTGAGTTGCATTTCTGCTTTCGCTTTGGTATCATGGTCGATGGTACAATACCTAGTTCGGAGTCGACCAGTGCAGTTGTTTTTGGACAAATTTTCGTACTGCTCGGGCAATGTGGATGTTTAAACTTTTCTGAAAATGATAGACCGTGGCTAGTCTTGCTCGTGGTCCTCTAAACTTGGGCTCTGTCGTCTAACGTTGATCTCGAAGGCCAGCTTATGGATCTCTGCATGTGATGGAGCCAACGAGATGTCACTTCGTTGCCGATCGTGATTTGTGACAGACATCTGGTATGTAGCCAAGGCCCAAGGTGATACTGGGGCACACGTTATGATGAAAGTGAAAACGGGGGCGACAAAGATGAAGATAAAGAATAACACTGCCTGTGCGGTACTTTACATCGAAGAGTAGCATTGGGAGCTCGACAGTGATTCTCTTCATCGAGCGAGTATTGGATGAGGTGCAAGGGGCATGGACACGGTTGGCGGGGAAGAGCAACTTGGAAGAGCATTGGGACCTTGATAGTAGTTTTGTCATGTTGTTCCCTGTCTCCAAGGGAGTACAGGGTCGTCTGGGTATGCCATGGATTAACTTGATATCATCGTGATTGTCAGATGGAGACTGAAACTTTAGAGGGAGCTGCAGTGGCAGGTGATCATGACGAGTACCAAGGATTTTGACCAAGCGCATCGAGGTTGTGCCACGTACTACTAGAAAAGAATGAGTATCAATTTCCTCATCATTGTCTCTGCTCAGCGCCTGCAGGGTCATAACGAACTGCAGGTTCACACTCATCACTATCCGAAACCTTTCCTGCTGACTCTCTATCTCTCTTCCACTGACAAATCGAAATATCAGTCGATGCATTCATGATATTGTGATTGGCACAAAAGCAAGCAAGACTCCATATGCATCTGGAATGAGCCTTGGTGATGCACTCTGACGTTGAGTTCCATGCTGAATGTTCTGGTGTTTGCTTTTTCCATGACGTGGTCTGAGTATTGTGGTTGACGAAGTAGGAGCGACTGATGAGTGAAATGTAACATTTCGCATTCAGCAACAATCAGTTTTACGGGAATATCTATGTTTAATGATGAGTTCTTCACGCCTGGTGATATTTTCTTCATTCTACCTTTGTGAGCATGTTGTCTTGATATCTGTTTCACCATCTAGCAGCATAAACTGTTGCCACCTAGGAGGGTGCACTTCATCCGGCCTGCTTCCTGTTGAGTAAGTTAGTAGGTATTGTAACATGATGATTTGCACACCTTCCCAACGTGCGTTCTGGCGGTGCTATCACTACTGTGCACCATACGGTGGCAGATCCTTCGCACTAGAGTCTAGTTTGAAGACGTGCAACGAACGCCGGCAAATATAACAGTGCTTCTCGCCTTACATCTCTTTATTTTGCTGAGATGCTTGACTCGGCCTCGTCGCACATCAAAACGGTCATGCTGATCGAGAGAGTCTGCCTGCTAAGGCGCAAAATCAATAATCGAAGAAGATGAGAGATGATAAAGAGATCCAATAGACGGTCGGCCGTGCAACCAACAAGGTAATAAGCGTGGGCAACAAAGTGTTCGGCATCTGCCGCAGCAGAGAACCATCCCTTAACCTCATCGTGATCCACAGTACTTTGTCACTCTCAAGAAGAAATAACAAGGCGTGCAAGAGGGGAGATACCAGGTGAGTTCATTTGTATCCTCTGCATGGTAAATACCGCATGGCCGAACCTCATGGTAGCGCCTGGAAGTTGCAGTCATCGGGGCCGTCACCCGTGGCCCGGTGCTCGAGCTACCGATTTCACTTGAATTCAGTTGCTGCAGCTTCACCCAAACGTCCTTTAGTCAGAAAAGGACTGATGGCATATGTGCGCCTTTCCCCATTTGTGGATTGAGGCTGGTTGAGGTTACTAGGCAAAGCGTGTCACTCATTCGCGTATGCGAAGTCTTTCCGCGTAGATACATGTCAGTTACCCAGTAGCTGCGGCTCTGATGATTAAAGCTTCAATCTCCGCTTTCCTTACTTCTCATCAAGTTGTCTCTTGCACTAGTTTCAACACAACATTGCAGTACCGTCACTCCAGTATTCAAATTCTGACCCATTAATAATTTATGTTTTATTCCTCTCTACCCATTTGTGTAACTCTGACCCTGCCTGCAATGCACCCATTTCAGTCATGGTTGTCTCGCTCTCTGAGCAGACAGGTCGCAAATCTGTAGTGCTGCCGTGGTCCGGTTCGGTCCGGTTCAGAGGGTCTTAGATGAGAACCAAGAACCAGACCATCGGTTCGGTTCTGCAAAATGTCCGAACCCAGAACCGGACCATAGAGAACCGTTCTCTATGGTCCGGTTCGGTTTTTTTGGGGTTCGAACCCGAACCGAACCAAAAAAACAAAAAACTGTAAGAGCACGCTGTAGAAACAACAATACTGAGTGGGGCTATACGAAGATGGCTCCAAACTGATATATTTTTGTTGTGGTCTTTGCACTGCCTAGTCTGCTATACTTGAGACGACAAGTGCGTTCGACCCAGGGGTCTGCGGTCTGGGAATAGTCTTGGGGGTAAGTGAGTGATGTGGAGTCAATAGTCCGAGCGCGGGAAACAATGTCCGAAGGTATAATTACGATGTCCGATGCAAAAGCGTCGGGTCCGATGTTTTCGGGGTTTCGGGGTTTCGGGTTCTGGTTCGGGATGTCGGAAACTGATAGTAACGCTATAGCGAGCGTCGGAAGAGCGAGCGGTGTGCGCGATAATAACAATGACTGATAAGGATAATGAAAGAGCGATGATATTCGCAATATCAACTAAGAACTACGAAATATCGGGTTTGACCACTAAGCGTCGGGGAACTGCTCCCCTCTACTTGGATAATGAATAATGCTCGAGGTCAGTCCAATATATATGTAAGTATGTAGAAATGCGGAACCCGTAGGCGAAAGTAGCGGCGGAGTATTTCGGATCCGAAGTACATGTAAATAAACATGAGGCGCTGCGGACTATGGGAAAACATGTAATAGCACTGGCTACGACGTGAGCAATGTGCAAAATAATGAACTACACACCTAGTGGGGCTAGCAAGACAGGACGGGACACGGATAGGACAAGTGCGCGGGAAAACATCGGGTCCGATGCGGCCTAAACGTCGGGTTGGCGGGTTAGCGTCGGATAACATCAGGAAGTGATTAGCATGTGACGGGTATTTGACGTGTACTGTAAAATAGCTCGATACGAGCCCAGCGCCAGCTCGTGTCCTACAACGCAAAAAACATTGACATAGTACTAAGTAGTCTACATGTTGAGTAACTAATCTAATAACATGGTTGCTCCCCCAATTACCATGCACGAGAGGTATCAGGAGAGCAATTGCGATAACGAGGGGTTGACACAACCAGAAATAGGATAGCGGCAGTGAAGGATGGCGATCATGAGCATGGGTCGAAGATGGTGGCGAGCGTGGGTACCATATACAAACAATGAATTTATGAGACACCGAAACAATAAAACACCATGACACACCTTTGCAGCTGAGAGAACCCCCCATCTAGAGTCGAGTCTACATGCGCTGCGTGTGCTCTCCTTTTCTCTCTCCTCTCCTCTTTCCCTCCTCCTCTCGTCCTTTATTCATCTTCAGCATCTTGGTGTCGTCCGCGAGCGTTCGCGCCACACCAGCACTTGCTGGTGTGTGTTGGGTGTTTGCGCATGGTGCTGGTGGCATTGGATGCGCTAAGCGGGAGGATGCTGAAGGTAGCGAGAGGGCGCTGAACTTGTCAACTTGATGGTGGGAGGGCTCCAGAGGTAGCGAGAGGGTGCCAAAGGAAGTGAGAGGGTACTGGAAGTTGGGCTGGCACGAGAGGTGAACCATGGCTCAAGCTTGAATGAGGACCGACACACTCACAGACTGCGAACGGTGGGCAACGACTTGGATCAGCATGGCTCGAGCTTGAATGAGGACCGACACACTCACAGACTGCAAACGGTGGGCAACGACTTAGATCAGCATGGCTCGAGCTCAAACAAGGATCGACACACTCACAGACTGCGAATGGTGGGAAACAACTTGGATCAGCATGGCTCGAGCTCGAACGAGGATAGAATTAGTACTCACGATCAAGGTCACATCATTCATGGTGAAGAGAGCATTGAATGTGAAAAACTGGCTGAAAGCAGCCCATTTGCAGTGTCGCCTGAGCCGAAGGATATTGGGAACTGCATCGAAGGCGGGAGATTGAAAAGAGACTGAAGGTGCTTGTTTGGAAGCATGCGCTGAGCGAAGTCAAAGCGAAGTCGAAGTCGATAACGGTTCGGAATGGTTCGGCCTTGCCGAACCAGAACGGGACCGTTTGGGAAGACCTAGAACCGAGAACCGTTTTCCGGTCCGGTTCTGGCTGATGTGAGAACCGTGGACCGAACCGCGGAGAACCGGACCAAAAGTCCGGTTCGAACCATGGTTCTGGACCGAACCGCGGCAGCACTACAAATCTGTATAACTTATAAGCTTTGCCACATGACTCATAAAAAGGCCGATGGTCACGGTGAGGTGGAGTCAGGGTGGGGTTGGCATTGATGTTGGCGTCTTCTCACTTTCTACCCATCTATACTGCATTTCCATCCCCTGATATCTTACAATGAGTTCTCTCAATGGTTGGCACAAAGGTGAACGTACCATTCAAGAGAAACTCGAATTCCACGGAGCTGTATCTCAGTCTTGGACTCAAATCAAAGGAGAACTTCCTGAGCAACACCGAAATTTCTACTCCACATGTCTCCCATTTATTCCTATCACTACTCTTGATTCTATGGGTCGTCCTTGGTCTTCAATACTTGCAGGTCCAGATGGAGAGATTGGGTGGGCTTCCAGCGAGACGTACGATCAATTGACTATGCGAGCGAAGGTCTGGGATGGTGATCCGCTGAAGGCGAATGCGGACTATCATGCTGATACTGCAGATGCATCTAAGAGGAAGATGCTAATAGCTGGTATTGGTGTACAGTTCTCAACTAGGCGCAGGAACAAGTTCGCAGGTTCGGTCAAGACTATTGAAAATCAAGGGGGTTTAGTAGATATCTGCACGTCTGTTAACGAAGCTATTGGGTACTTCCAAATTCTTTTGAACTTGCTTGAGTTGATGATATGTTGACTGTCCGCAGAAATTGCCCGAAATACATCACGATCCGCAATCTTGTTCCATTTCCACACACGACACCTCGAGTCACCTATCAAGAAATTAACCTTCCCCCGACTGGCCGCCTTTCTTCAGATCTCATCGCATTCATTCATTCATCCGACACCGTATTTCTAGGTTCATCATACTGGGCCTCTGAAAGAGACGCACCGAGGTTTCCATCTCACCTCGGCATGAATCATCGCGGGGGGAAGCCTGGGTTTGTTCGTGTACGCAACGATGGGCGTACTCTCGTTTTGCCAGATTACTCAGGTAAACACTGTTGTATCTGCATACTCAAATCGATCATGAATCCCCTATCAATATTCAGGCAATCGATTGATGACATCCCTCGGAAATATAGAAGCCACACCTCTTGCTTCTTTGACATTCCCATCATTCATCAACGGATCACTCTTATATGTTACCGGAATTGCCCATAACCTTGTTGGCGCTCCCGCTCAAGCAATTATGCCTTCGCAGAATGTCCTCACCACGATTGAAATAACAGGTTATATTTTTATCGAGGACGCATTGCCTGTCCGTCAACGTGAAGGGACAGAGCCGCAGAGAAGTCCGTATGCCCCCCCTGTGAAGCTGCTCAAAGAAGAACAAGCTTCTTCGACATACTTCAGCACCGAAGACACCATACACGCGACGCTTTCCCGCATCGAGCTTCATTCTTCCGATCTCGCCACATTCACGTTTGAATCTCCTCACAAACTTGATATTATCCCAGGCCAAGCTGCCATCCTTAATTTCACCTCGTTCCTCGGTGCGTTGCCATACAAGCACATGGCACCCGAGAATCCAAATTTAGTGAATGACGATCGTATAAGGACATGGACTATTTCATGGTGCAGCTCATGGACTTTGGTTGCGGATGGGGTGGGCACGACATTCTCCTTGACAATGCGCCTGAAGCCTGGTGGTGCTGTTACTGGGGCACTATTCAACATTGCCAACAAACTCTCAGCGGTCCGCCCTGAGTTGCTTGAGGACTCACGTCCGCTTGGACTGAACGTTACACTGGTCGGAATAGCAGGTGGCTTCGTCCTCGAGCCCACAGACCCTCACGAAGACACTGAAATTGCGGTTTCACGCGAGGAAGAACAAATGTCTGTCCAAAAAAATGCTCCAAGGAAACTCCTTTGGATAGCCGGCGGGATTGGAATAACACCTTTCCTCGCTATGCTCTCTGGAATTTCCTTATACTCCACCGAATATGAAATCACCCTTTTATTGTCGACGCGCGAACCAGATGTGATGCTCTCTCTTCTTTCTCATGCCATCGAAGTCGCTGCCCACGAAGTCAAACTAGTCGTTCATGTCTTCTCGTCCACTAATCAATTCAAGAACTCCTTACCTTCTTCGGCATCGCTTCATCGTCATTATGGACGGATCACTTCCTCGTTTATCTCTGACTTCAAAGCTGAATGTGTGTATGTTTGCGGCCCAGAAATATTCGAGCGAGAGGTCACCCAGGGTGTAGTTGGGAAGGTGAGAAGGGAGGGGTTTGCTTACTGACGTATGTCAAAGTTGGGCGCGGTGTCTTTTGACTTTCATTCAAATTGTAGGGAAGTTCTCCGAGGTCATAAACGCACGCCCATAGACACGTTTAGTCTGCACGACCACTTTACTCGGTCCTCGGCCACACATCAGAGGCTGAGGCAAGTTTTTGTACACGGTCGTGTTCAAGTGATAACGCTTGTGCCGTATCTGATCCGCTGGCGAGGTTGGCAAAGATGGCAAAAACAAGGTGGTGACTGAAAGTACGTAAAGACTTGGTGATAATACCTTTTGCCTGGATAACGTAAGCGATGTCAATGACAGTGTTCCACTAAACTGGTGTTGTTTTTCATGGTCCTCCGAGTCTTCGAAAGTTCGATTGACAACCGGTGATTTCCAAGACTATTTAGAGAATAATACTGGAATTAAATTCGGCGGCGGCATCAATGCTTTTGGACGTGCATCGGTAAGGTGGAGCGCTGAAAAGTTTGCTGTTCGGCAGGGCATGGGCCCCGGCCCCTGATGTTTTCCCCATTCATCAGGCCTTCAGGCCTGGGTAGTGAGCCACTCATCCCCACATCGAGCAGGCAACCAGAAATTGCCTTACAAGGAAAAATAATAAAAAGTGTTGAGACGCAATCGAGTCCTCGTCTTACTCTTTTACCTTCCCCGCTAACCGAGTGGCTCATCCCTTATGCTCAGACTATCGCACACGATTGCTTTACGCTTTTTGCCTTTAAAGGCAGAAACGCGTGCTGCAGAAAAACAATCGTATTCGAAATCCACAGTACACCTAGTGATTTAAAAGAAGCGGTAAAAATGTGTGGACTGACCACAACACACACGCCATTGATCCATTCCAGGGATTTAAACCCACCTCGCAGGTCATTCACAACAGTTTCTTTCTCTCCAACACTATCACAAAATGCCTGCTACAGGACGTAACTCAGTGCGCTTGCAGCCTACCTCACTTTAGTTGTCTTATGCTCATGACATTTTCTCTACAGAAGCCTGTCGAATGCACTGTCTGCCGCAAGGTTATTAGCCGCAAGGCCGATCTTCCTAGACACATGCGTACTCACGCTGAAAACAAGGAGGCCCTGTAGGTGCTCCTCCTTTATTAAACCAGATGATTCCTGACCGGTTGGCTATCTTAATCAGTATGCACGCATGTCCATATGATGGCTGCGACTACAAGACCCTCCAGAAGTCTAACGTCCAAACGCACATCAGGACGCACACCCGTGAACGCTCGAAGACGTGCCCTCACCCCGAGTGCCCCTTTTCCACCACCGACCCAGGCAGCCTGACGCGTCACCGCAAGTCAGAACACGGCTACAAGCCCAAAGCGCGTCGCATTCCTGACGACAAAGCTGCTCGAAAGGACGCCGCCGCACCTTATCCAACCACGCGAATTGCGAAACCAGAGGTAGAGATTTCTGCATCTCTGGATCTCAATGACCTAACGTTTCTTGAGCACGCAGGTCTCATGCCCGGCGGTGCGCTCTCGCCATCCGAGTCCAGCGACTCCCAATTCTCGGGCGAGTTCACGGTACTCACCTTGGACCGACTCGTCCCCAATCTCTCTGCGGAGAAGTCCATCTCCATATGTGGTCAGCCCTCTCAGCTCCCCGTTCCCACCCCGAACTACTTCCAACCTTCAACCGTCCCCACCGATCTCTCCACTGTCCGCATCGACCCGCAGTTACTCTCCGATACCGCGCGGCCGCACGTTCACGATTTCGGATTACTGTCTCAGTCCCAGCCCATCTCCTATGAGGACTTACAGCTCGTCTCCAGAACCGATGTGAACAACAAATTACCAGTTGAATTGGAGGAGCTTTTACAGAAATATGGCTCGGGGTCCTTTGAAGGCCACTGCGAATACCCTAAAAATGCACCGTATTTGATGGCAGAGCCCTCGTTTACAAACGGACACAACGTACGTGTATTAAAATCTTCGTTCTAACCTTTCATGCTGTTGTCAAATTACTTGTGCATCAGCATTATAATTGCAGGTGGAACTTGGAATTATCATTATTGGGCATTTATTTATATCACACCACTTGCATCTTTTGTACATACTATCACCTTGAAATCACAAGATGTACCAGCGTACACGAATCTCATGACTATAAATTAATATGTTCTTTTTGAACCTGAACGCGACTATCAGATCACGTGGCTCTAAAATCACACTCAAGTCATCAAGTGGTCTCCTTGACATAACCACTACCGCCACTCGAGTCAGAGATGCACGCTGCCAGCACGTTTCCTTGAGCCACGCTATAGCTCTCTCCACACTGTTTTCCTATATCAATCACCTTTATTTTTTTTATTTCTCTCTCTCTCTTCTCCCTCTCTCTCTCACCGTTTGACAATATACTTCCGAGTCAACGACATACAGTCTTGGTTATCTACTACATCACAATCTGTATCAATTTTCGTTTAATAACCGTATTTCATGTCCACAATTCTTTCCAGCTCGGAAACGACAAACACTTCGCCGACTCCGATCAGTCCTTTCTCCAACTATTCAGCTGCTAGTGACGCTACTTCAGATGGTGAGTCACCACCATCGGGATCTTTCGCTATTCTATTTTGGTGAAGTGATCTGATATAATAAACTTTGATTTGTGGGCGTTAGAGTCACCCGACCTTGGGGCTTTCACCACTGTCTTCAGGGCTCTCAACCACCTTCAGCCACTCGTGCCTCCTCGAGGAGGTGCCTACATCTACACAGAGTTTGATACACCCTCTACCGACGCTGTCCCGCTCTCTTCACTTCCGACTGACTCGGAGTTCATAGAAGGCTCTACGGTATGGAACCAGAGTATGCTAGCGTCTTACCTCGCATCCTCGAGTTCCTCACACACACGCTCGGCATTGACCAGCATGACCGCAAGCCCGCCCCTTCCAAATCCCGACGGTAGCAATAACTTTGATGACTCCGGAGAAGAGACGGAAGGCGAGCTTGAACCGCTCACATTCACGTTCACGACACCTAGTCGATCACAGTCTCATAATTCGGATGCGGATATGAGTCACGATCCTTCGCTTTCTGATGGAGATATTGACTTAGGAGACCAACCCACTCTTGGTGACCTCGGTGGCGCGTTTTCCTTCCTTGCTGCAGAGCGTGCCAGAATTGCTGCCCGTGATCGTGGCACAGGCAAAGATAGCTCCACGAGCGATGGCGCTTGGAGAAACGATGCGGAACCTCGCCGTACACGAAAGCGGCGAAGAAAGAAGGCGAAGGCGATTCAACTCCTGCAGCGAGATCCAGAAAATGTGGAACATGAGGGCACGAGTCACACGACAGGGACCAGCACAATTCTGGGCGTATCTGGAACAAGTGAGCTTATCACTGTCTCCTCGAACCCAGAGCCCGAACCTGAGACAGAAGAATCGTCTTCTGGCGATAATGCTGTTGTCACTATTCCTTCGACACCTGCACACAAGTCATCATTAGATAGGCTGCGTCACAGTCGTTCTACCCCATCATTGCATCTATCACAGATACCCACCAATCCTCAAATTCTCAAGTTACGCTGCCTTGCCCATAAGCTACGACTCAAGTTCCCGGAGGACTACGACCGCATTACGGCGTTACTCACGCAGGACTTTAGCGGTGTCGATTCCGACTTTTCAGACCCTAGGGGTCCAGCACCGCGACCTAGAGATTCTTTGATCCATGTTTTTATCGACCAGTAAGAATTTTTGTGATTTGAATCCGATGGCTACTAATGTACCATTTCAGCTCGAATATCCTCATTGGTTTCTTAACCTATGCTCGCCGTCACGCCTCTCACTCGGGTAGGAAGCTACGCCTCTCTCATGCAGCCCTCGCGCTCCTCCTTGAACGCGGGCGTCCCATCACGCGGCGTTGCCTGGTCACTTCATCCCCACTGTATCAACCAACAGACACAGCCGAACAGCTCGGGTACGAAGTCTGCATTTTTGTACGCGTGCCAGACAGTGGGAACGGGCAGTACCGTCGTCCACCAAGTGCCAACACTAATGCAGAATCATGGCGCAAGGGACATGCGCGAGCGTCATCAGACTCTGACAAAGGCATAGGTGGTAGCGGAGGCACAGGCTTAACTGCGTCTGGGAGCGGCGGCCGTAATGGACGTGTCCGCTATCGAGAGCAGGGCGTTGATGAACTGTTGCAGCTGAAGCTGCATCAGGCGATTGCGGATGCGGACGTGCCGCGTCCGGGTGCAACGATAGTGCTAGCAACGGGTGACGGGAACGTCGGGCAGTTCAGCGACGAGGGCTTCCTTGGTCCTGTACGAATTGCACTGAAGAAGGGGTGGCGCGTGGAGCTATACGCATGGGAGGATGGCCTGAGCCGTGCGTGGAAGAAGGAGTTTGGCGAGGGCACGCCGTGGAAGGATAGGTTCCGTATCATCAAGATGGAGGATTTCGCGGAGGACTTATTGGAGGTCGAATAGGGGCTGTGAGCTGTGCCATCTGTGTTTAATTGTTTTGTCGAGATGTTTGTTCTTTTATTGTTGTGCATGTTGAGGGTACTATTTCACGGGGGGTTGGCATTTATGCATTATGCTGACCCAGCAATGGCGTTCTTTTTTATCTTGGGTTGTAACTAGCATTCACAAATTTGTATCTTAAGCAGGTACGGGTTACTGTTATCATGAGTTATGTAGACACGTAGTGCCTACTATGATAATTACAATTCCCGTGCGCGGTATCACACTTACGCTGGTTGAATGGGAGATGCAGATCATCGGTCCCCTTCACCCCCCATTATGGCTGACTTGCTCTCAGTTTGGCGTCCTAGCAAGCGGTGATGTTGTTGGAGAGCTCCTGCTGTAATTATTATTCGATTGCACCAAAATTATGTAATATCGAATATCGGTTTGTTCTGGCCCGCCACTGTCTGCGCCAGCTACCATTGCTGGTAAGACTTGCCAGAATCCGTTAGTCCTATGGAACCCGCTTACAATCGCTCCCAGCTGTTCTGCCCACAATCCTAGATGAGGCAGACTTGCGGCGGCCCCCTTCGGACCCACTTTGGAGAAGTTTTGCTGTGTGGCTCGTGGACTTTGGTGGAGCTATTAATATTATTCACACTATAAGATGCAGGTATCGCTACAGCTTGAGCTTTCACTATGATCTCTCACACTCGCAGGGCCTTGTTATCGCTCGTTTTTACGCCATGGGTTTCGGCGGCTCCTGCCATGCAACGCTCGGAACTGTTGCTCGTCGAATCGCTTCCTGCGTCATGCAATTTCGATTTAAGCACGATAAAATATGAACTGTGTACAATTGTGCATGATTTGGTGGAGATCGCGGATGATGAAGCTGCTTTGAACACACCTTACATCATTGATCTGAGCGAATACTCAGTAAGTTTACTTGTGTTTTGTTTCAAGTTGATGTCCATTGCTAATAAGCTTCGCAGTCACGGTGGTCCGAGAAGGGTGAGTGCTGTGTTTATCTGACACATCTCAGCGCAGAGTACGAGTTTGTTTCCCAGCGGAGAGATTCACAGCCAGTGCAGCACACCTGCAGACGATTTCTGACATTCCAATTGCTGCCCAATCATCCAACCACGATTCAGGCGCTAGGCGACCAGCCATTGAGCATAAGACTCGGCCTCGTGAACATGTGATGAGCCGTATCATCAGCTCGATTAACAAGTTAGCAGCTAATTCTGCTACTGTCAACTTTCCCGAGATTCAAATTTCAACCAACGGCGGACCTGTTTTGATAAGCTTTGTATTCGTGCCTGACAGGCACATGGATGTGAGCGCATTTAGTCCTTGTTGTTGACGATATGCAGAACGTACTTAACAGAAGCTTGATTCCGTACGGTACACTTGCCGCTTGACTTGGGAGTCACTTAATGCATGCGATCGAGAGCCTTTGGAGTATTTGAAAATAGTCCTTCCAGATAATGATCGACCGGAAGGACATAACCTTATGGAAGAGCTTCTCAGGGACCAGGTCCAGTGGGAAAGGCACGGGGACAGCGATACGAATAACGATATTTTCGAGAATAGAGGGAGCGAGACGAACAATCGCCCTAGAGATGGTCACAACGTCGATATACGCGGTGATGAGGAAAATGTGAACGAAGGTAATGATGAGAAGCCAGATGACAGACCACCAGGGGAGAATCCTACCGATGAACAAGATGACAAACAGGAGTCTATTCCACCAACTAATCACAGCTCTTGGTCGCTAACAATTATCCTATTAATGACTAGGTGAGTGTTAGTGCTACTGATTATTCACAAAACTGATCAATGCACCCAAGTTATATCTTGATCGTTGCGACAAGGCTGTACTATCCCCGATTACGGGGGCTCCTCAGGTCATACCAGAAGCCAAATTGCTTTCGCGTTGGCGAAACAGTTCTCTTGCGCTGGGCACGTGAAGATATGGACTTCGATGATGAGGAAGAGGATAACATGGTCAATGGGAGCGATGGTCTCATCAGGGGCGAGGAAATCCCATTGAAGCCTAGTCCTAGAAATAATTTTGTCCTCCAGTATGGCAGTGCGCAATGATTACCGTGTGCAGGTGGATCGTGCAGATAGAGTATTTTCAGGCCACAAGGGATCCTTACGAGTGGCTACTTATAACCAGAGGGAATGCAATATCATCCCGGGTCCAGGAATACTTGGATGATCCAAGAACGAACAACCTGTCAAGTCTTGCTTTAACAGTTCACCACCTTCGGTTCAAGAGAAATATCACTTCAATTGAACTCTGCACATTGGTCAGTTTCCGTTTGATGGTCTGGGTTATTGTCTCGAGAACGGTGTTGTTTTGCAAACGCGCACCCAAAACTTGTCGTAGTCACGCAAAAATCTGGGAATACTGACCGTAACTCATTGAATCAACACTCGACAATAGACACTCAATACACCAAGGCCATCCAAATGCATCTCCCGCCCAAAAGGAACATGCAGTCTTATAAGTTAAGCGCATCCCGAACCCGACCACTAACAACACCAACCCCACTAGTCATCTCGCATGGTCCAAACATTACTCCATAAACGATGCCTAATAAGCTACAGGATAAAACATCACGCAGTCTAGTCTACAGTTGACATATCGGACATAGAAGCAAGTATAAGGGCATCAGGACCAAGTATATGATAATGTTGATTGAGATGCCAGAGATGGAGGTGCATGCGCGTAGCAAGGATAGCAAGCACATAGAATTGGAAGCTGTGTATTTTAGGAAGTCATTAGTAGGAATTTGCAGCGGAGTCTGGAGGCGCATACTCATCGAAGACGGAGTGATATGCGTACTGGGTATGCGGAGCATCAATGACTTGGCCATCAAGGGTATTGTGGATTTACGCACTTGGGAAAACAGCATTTGCATCATGACGTTGATGGCTGCAAGGACTGTCTCAACAAGAGTCATCACAGATGAGCACAGAAATATATGTATGTCTTGACTCACACAAACCGCATGCATAGTATAATATGTCATGCTTCACCAGAATGGTGTACAAAGGGCCGTTGACTGTCCGCCAGCTCTGTATGGCACGTACAAATGTGAGGGAGATTAGTCCTAGTGAGAGCGTGGTCAACACAGGCCTGTAACATATCTGTAATCCCGATTCATAGCGACATACCCAGTTCAAATACAAACAAGAGAAGAAACGGCATAGAGAGTTGGATTCTGCGCGAGGTCCGATAGCAGCCTGGGAGGATCGTGCTGGTTGTAACTGTAAAAGTGGGATGAATATGTGCGAATAGTAGTTGGGGAAGGTGAGAGCAACCATGTGAGGTGACAACAGTGGTGAAAACAATATCGATAGCTGCTATTACTACAAAAGCCTGGCCCATTCATTAATTATGAACTCGAGTGTATCGAGAAGCATGGGGCTCACAACAGCGATGCATACCGTGGCCACCAGAACGAATCTATTGTTGTTCCAGAGCGCATATGTTCTGAGCACAAACATAACTGGATAAATCGGATCAGAAGCACGCGTATGTCACGTGAAAATGTGAAATACATTCAGAGCAAACGACTGATATAAAACTGAAACCTGCGAGAGAAAAGGGCAACGCTCGACAAGGATGTGCATGCAGCATGTACCATGCACGTACCCGAGTAAATATTGATCAACATCCCGCATTTCTGGTGAAGTTATGTAATAAGCGTCATTCACCAGTGAATGAGTTCACTGCACGTCAACACACCTTGGAATCCTCGTTCGGGATGAAATACACTGAAGCACAACATGTCAATTCATTGTCGAGAGGATGTGTGCTAGGGCTGAACGCACGATATAACTCCGTGATAAAGATGGCAAATGGGATATTTCGTACAATTATATAAAGGCATTTTACCTTGGTCCAGCGCGACCGAAGCAGGAATGTCCACTTTCAAAGACAGCATACCTATCATCAATATCAAAACTGAGGTAAATCAGGGAACAGATGGCATCACCTCTTCGTGAAGCGAACAAGCATAATCATAGGTCTGGATAAGCAAATTTAACAACAGGTAGAAATATATGGGGACGTGCCTACCCAAAATGTAGCCATCGACACTAAGCTGTCATGTTAGAACAGGAAGAAGTAGTTCAGGTAGGACGCACTGCATAGGCGCTGGTGTCATATGGTAAGTATATTTGTTATATCTGGCTCTTATATTAACAAGAAAGTGACACACCGCTAAGAACTGCAGATCACTGGCCGCTGCGATATCCTCAGCTGAATACTCCATCTGCATTAGTCGGGATTCCAGAAGTAAAAAACGGTTCACATCATGCACCTTCTTATAGTCTTACAAACCAAGGTTCCCAGTGAGGTGAAATTCCTTATCATGGTCATAATTCGCACACACCATTCATAAGCAGTGAGCCATCATCGCAACCGCAGTCGCAGGCGTCAAGTGGAGATGGTTTTCATGAGGGGTATCGACAGATCCACTTGGAATTTCATCAGGAACAAACACAAATAATGGAAAGTACACACTGACAATTGGCAGTTACCCAGCAGTTTGACCTAGTGGTGTGACTAGATGCGCTACAAATGAGCAATTTCAATCAAAAAAGCAGTGCTAGTTAGTACTGCATGCCCATGAATGAAACAACGGACCAACTTGCAGTCTTGATAGCCACAGGTTTCACGCACAGCGCCTTTCCTTTGAACAGGTACCACTCATCAACAACACACACAGCTCGGTTGATCATCAAGGCTGAAGAGCCCATTGAAGAAAGTTGAGATCAAGACTGCCAGAGAGCTCACAGCCGCTGAGAAATGCGCGACAAGTTAGCTATTTAAAGGCAGGTGGGATAGGTGGGCGACATGATAAGCAGTTACAACGCTGTATGATGGTTCTGGACTTGACGAGAAAAAGAACAAAGAACCTCATCTCCGAGTCATATAAACTCAAGGGTTGGGTCAATTTTGAAGATGTTATCTTTCCAAAGGGTGGATATCACTGAGTTATGAGCATTAACGTGGAGAGAAAGGTGAAAACTCAGTATTCACTTGCAACACACTGTAGTCTGTAGCTTAATGAGCCATATGCATAACTTACTAATAAGTAACAAGCGCCATGACCACCAGTCACGGAGACAGCTGTCACGGTAACGTACCGCTACGACATCATTCAAGTTGACACCCCCGTTGCAATCCGCGAGCGTTCCACAGTCATACTTTCCTGCAGGCACTCATAAGTACGCGGTATCTATCTGACATCGAAATACGGCTGTGCTGAAGGTATTCACCAGTCTGGGCGCATGGCCCTCCATTGGGGTCTTGTGCTATAACGATCCCCGCAGTACTGCGGCGGACATTATCGTAGTGGTGAGTGAGATGAAGCTATTTTTATTGAACTGAAAGTTATACACAGGCAGTAAAGGGCGGTCAACCTAAAAACATGCACCTACTGTGCATCTGACGAAGCAACACAATGCGCTGTGGCAATGCGATATCTCTAGACGTGGCTCCATGAGAACTGGCTGACGTAAAGCTGAAGGTATATATGTGGAGAAGCCAAAACAATCAATGACGGGTGAGATTTTCACGTTGCTCATAGTTGTAGCCCAAAGTCAGACTGATGTGGATATCGCAGCTGAACGTGGAGTCATACACTTATTTGAATACGTTCTTGAGCCTCAACAACATCTTTCAAACCCTCATGGCTATTCCCCCAGCGCCAGCCAGTACCATTAATTACGGAGACAGCTGTGCTGTATCATTATGATATTATAAACATGGCAAGCAAGAAGTGGGCTCACCCTTTTCCTTATGTGCAGCTGTAGGACCCACCGGGACCTACAACTCCGCTGATGACGGTATATGACAGAAATACAACTACGGAAAGTTATCGTTATAATCTGCGAGCGTTCCGCACCAATACTGTTCTGGAAGCATCCGTAAGTATGTGGTCTGAGATCAGAACACGGGTATCTTGAAGATATTCACCAATCGGGCTGCATGGCAGGCCGGTGTGGTCGGATGCTGTAACAATCTTCGCCAGCACTGCGACAGATATAATCATAGCAGTGAGCGAGATGAACTTCATAGCGGCACTTGAGGATAGGTCTGGATGATGCTCCTTGTTATTGAACTGAAATTTATTGCTTCGCTTTTATACACAGGCAGTAAAGGGCAGTCAGCCCCAAAACATGCATCTGTTGTGTGCGTCAGACTAAACAACCTAATGCGCGCCGTGGCAACGCGATATCTCTTGAATTGGCTCCTTGGTATCTTACTAGTGTCAAGCTCGCGTGGAAATTTCATAGAGACGATCCGCTTTCCCGACGATCTCTAAACGAGTAAGTTCTACTGCAGTTCTTCCTTGCTATCCAAGTCACTGTGCTTATCTACCCCAGAGTATGCTGTAAATCTTTACAGCAATCTGAAAGTACTTTTTGTGTAGGACAGTTTTCCCGATGAAATTTTGCTGAAATTTCTACCATCTGACAGCGATATCAATTCTGCCAAATCGACTGAGAATTAACCTTGCAAACTGCTACGGTGGCTTGACTTGTGCCGATACTTTTGATTACACAGAGATGGAGATCTGTGATCTAGCCTTCAAGGCCAACCTTGGACGAACAGATTCAAGATTGTAGGGAATTATCAGCGCAGTGCGTTCCATCTTCGTATGGCCTTCAATATTAATCATCAATGGCAACTATCGTTCATTTCGACAGCCTCTCGAACTCAAGCTTAGTGGACCGCGAGCAAGACTAGGCGCAGTTGATCATTTTCAGACAAGTCCAAACATTTACATTGCTCGAGCAGCACGAAAATTTATCCACAAGCAACTGCACTGATTGACTTCGAACTAGGTATTGCACCATCAACCACGATACCAACGCGAAAGCAGAACATGACTCACTGTCGCGATGCACCACTAGGGCTGCCGGCTCAACTTTAGGGGTGTTGGCAGTACGCTGATTGCTAAGGCGCGCAGGTGAGTCATGTGATTGAATCCTGGAAGCGACCTGTTCATACTCACCCCAGGTGGTTGTATACAAAGATAGTTCTTGCAGCAGTCTGCACTTGTTGAGCACGCTGTTTTGCCACATGCACTGACAGACATAGACGCTGTCAAAAAAGTAACAACGGCGAGGAAGGAGAAATGCATTTTATGTGCGAGGTGATATGGAATCTTCTGAGGGTGATTTCGAATGATATCTCTGAGGATGGGGGAAAGCTGTAAGACGACGGCCAGCTTTTATATTCTGTATGCATATACTTATGGGCATGCTTCTGATCGATCTGGCAGAATTGTTATTGCTGTCGAATGGCATAATCACAATTTTCGGCAGAACCTGCAGGAGCGTGATCAATCACGACCCTTGTATCAATACCTGCAGTTACTAGGGTCATATCGTGTCAGGGATATAATTGATTATCTGTGAGTTCTTCCGCATGAAATTCTCATTGGTTTGAACCGTTTCTGAATCCATCTCTTCGCAGCGCTCCACTCTTTGCAATCTGGAAATTCACTTATGCTGTTTGCATGTTGCTAGTAAAGAACAAACTGTTTCGCTCTGTGACCTCGCGTCCGCTGCCTGATTTCTGCTGGTCGTGCCCGCTACGGACGTGGCACGGCTGTTGCATGGCCAGCTTCAGTAAAAATTCTACTTGATTTGAACTTCTGGTCAGCTCCATTGACTGAGACTTAAGGCGACCCAAGGCCGTATCGGTGACACAGCCTTGGGTAAATCCTAATTACGCGAGTCGCTTCGTGGCTCAGGCCGCGGGCGACCAAGTGGCACCTCGACTTGGACCTTAGAAACCAACGCCTACAGCGTCTCACCACCCGCTAACCGGTTTTCTACACTAGATCTAACCAATGCCACCCCAATCATGATCCCAACTGTGTAGAGTTACCCTCCAAAGTTAAACTAGTAACTACTCTCGAGAGTCGACGGCCGAACCTGGTAACTCCTCCCAACGGATCAGTACGTAATCGGGTCCTCGATTCGGACCGCTGGCTCGACGCCACTTCAGAACTCCCCGTGTCACATGCATCTTTGTCATGGTAGCCATGGTCCACGAGGATCGTGCAAAATTTCTCAGAGTAAAATTGGTAAAGTACGGCTACGCATAATACAGACAACAACGAAATACGGTACGACCCCATTGTTAATTCTTAACGCCACTCGGAAAAAACGTGCTCTAATCATAGAACACCAGGGTTCTCAGCTCAATGGATTCCCGAGGCGGCGCTCCCTCTGGAGTGTTTGGGTCTTGGAAGGCTGTATGAGCAGCGAGCCTCGCGACACTCCCATCTTGTACGGAGTCAGAGCTAAGATCCTTTTTAGTATGACAAAAATCTTCCCGAGTGACTTCGCTCACCATTTAATAAGAACAAACTCTTCTGGTGTCATCCCCTTCAGATATTTCCACTGGTGGTTGGGGTTGTATTTGACTCCAAATGTCTCACCCTCGCGGTCAGGGTATATAAGAGCGACAGGCGTCAAATCTTTCTCGAAGTCGACGCTCCGGAAGTCACATAATGCAAGCGGCCAATCTACAGCTGCATGCGATATAGGACGCCAGAGGTTTATGATTTGGAAGCGTCTGCGAAGAAAGGCAGGAGCTTCTGTGGGCGGGAGATGCCTATGGACACGAGCCACGGACGCCGCAGGGGTTTGGTCTACATGAGCCTGCGGGACTGGTTGACGTTTCTGTGGGCTATTACCTAGCTCGCCTGGGCGACGGCGACGAACAGCTGTGACGTGAATTAGGGATCAAGACCTCGTTTGAAATTGGTGATCAACGTACTGTGATCGAAGATGACAACCTTGGTCGCTCCTGTTACCCTCTTGATGAGGTCGATGCTCTCAGGGTAGTATTCGCGCTCGATCTCATCATCATTCAAGAAGCTGGTATGCTTCGGCGCTTCTCTCCCATACTGAAATCCGGCACTGTCAAGCTTGTAAAGTTCCTCCTTCCCGCGCACGTCCTCAATTCGCATTTCATGCGGGTCCTTGAGCCAGTTGTTGACCGGCTTTCCCTTGGCGGTATCTGCATTGATGTCGGTGTAAGGCCGAGAACCATCAAGTGGAGCGAGCAAGTAGTTGAGGGTGGTGGTGGCGGTAGAAGTCATGGTTAGTCTGTTGGTGCTTGACGTAAAGTGGAGTGCAAGCGTTCTTGCTATGACGAGCAAGTAATATCCTATTTCTATAGGTCTTCGAGGACCAGGGTAACCGCTTGGCTTACATACCACCTTATTAATTCTCCAGGCTGAGCGCTGATTGTTAATGCAGATGAAGTGATCTCATAAGCATGCCGCCACTAAAATGCGGGATATGAGTGATGATGATTCCATAGCACGTCGTACCTTGATTACTAAAGTTCTTCGGCCAAATTCTCAATACCAGAATTTCCAATTCAAGTCACCTTTATAGACTATCGGTGAAGCCCAGAAATATGTCTCTCAAAGGTCGAAGAAGACAGGATCTCACCACAAAGACATGATTCGTCACATAAGGCCGAGCATCATGTAACTGTAATGGGAGGTCATGGGCTCCGGGGCCTGGGTAGAAGGGTGGAAAGAGCATCGATGACAAACACATGCTGCCAGGCCAAGGCGCCTCATTATAGTAGGCGCGCCAGGCCTCGAGGGTGATTTATCTGGTGTTGGCAGTCAAGGACCGACGCAAGCAGCGTTGAACCTGCATATCACGGTGAATGCGGACTTGATCAAGTTGCAGGTGCAAACGGGGCGCACAGTACTAGTCCAACTGGGAACTATCAATGCAAAGTCGCTTGCCAAATTCGGATGGTATGGATACAGGAAGTCGCACAGCATGAACATGCCAAGCCCTATAAGTTAGGCCTGAGTTAGGTCGTGGAATTATGAGTACTCGGTCCAACATTCAAAGTCATTCAGGAGGACACGGTTCAGAAAGCGCACGAACCTACACATACATGAAATTCTGAAAACTCAGATAGACAGAGGACGTCTGGACAGTGAAATACGTGAGAGTGAAAAACGAAACCTCCGCCACCGTGACAACACCGTTCTGCATCACCTCATATTGCATCACAATTGTCAATATGAAGCACCTGAGACATGGTCAAAAAGATAAATTATATGCAGAGATGCGATTCATACCGCGAGACATATATATCCATTTCGAATGTCCCCGAATTCGAGCAGCAACCATCCCCGTCTGATGATAACATTTCCACGACAAAGGTAGATCGTGACTTCTGTTTGCCAGGCACCATACATAGCCAAGAGACTATGGAGTAGTTACCAAACAAAGAGAAAACGATATCCAAAAAGGAAACCCCCGACGACGCAGGCCAGTAGTGCAGTAGCAAGGTCATCATGTCCTCCGAGTTGCAAGCAGAGCTCAAAGAAACAAGGGCGGCAAAAATTTGATAACCAAAGAATGAGGGCGGTGCCCTCATAATAGTGGTTAAACTATTAAGAACAGATACTACACTTGATCTAAGCCAAAAGGCCAGAGTGGTAAGGATTCAGGTCGTTCAGCCAGCCCTTTTATATAAAAGCACACGAGTGCACGGGCCACCGTTTCGATTTGGGAGGCTCGCGAGGGCCTAAAATGGGCATAAACTTTTGAATTTAACAAGGCGGCCAAACAAACACCCGAAACGGTGGCGTCCGAACAACAATGTTGAATCTTCACTTTTACTTTTGGACTCGGGGCGACGGTACTCTATTTAGCTTCTTGACGTCTCTTCCGAAACGGAGTTTGCTCAGTGACATTATGATTATCATACTAAGGCTTTCCCAGCATATGCAATGCCCCACGACCCACTGCACATTCACGCCACAATGTTTCCATTTCTTTTGCAAGGTGGATTCTAGTCGGACATGCCTGCTTCCTCACAATCCAATGGAGACACCAGGGTGGTCGATACCGGATCGCTCCGCGCAACAGATGGTCGATTGGTTCAATGTTTGTCCGGGTCATCGAACACTATTTACACACGCAGGGGAATACAACAAGGCGACATGTACCTCTTCATCCATCCCAGTCGTAATCGCTTAATCTCGGGTTCGTCTTACCTGTAGTCATTACGTTGAGCCAAGTTCAATGTTTAGAATCTCACTCACCTCTACAAACGAGTGTATTAATTGAATGGGAATGTCATGTTTGCTCAATCCTCACTGCGTCTGAGCGAAACATATGGCATGCCTACTATGTGCCACCGGTCAGATCTCACTGCGCAACGCTTCTGACTGATCCCGTACCACTGATATTACTTTGATATCTCATGGCATTTTTTTCTCATTTGTTACTTCCTTGTAGCACCTGCGATTCGCCTAGGCCGGTGACCTTGCAACTACTGCCAGTGTGCAGACATAATGAGGTATCTTTCATACATCGATACTCATACTCATTCTTGACATGCGCTTGGTCAAAGATCCCTAGTACTTGTCGCGGTCCAGCATCCACAGCTCCCTCTGAAGTTTTAGACAATCACAACGATATCAAATTAGTCTATGACATACCGCGATGGTTCTCTACTTCCTCAGAGACAAGGAACGGGGTTGAAAAAATCAGTGACTATCAACCAACGCTCTTCTAAGTCCCTCTTCCTCGTCAACCGTCCCTTGTACCCCATCCAACACTCGCTCTATGACGAGAACCATTCCAGAGCTCCTACGCTACCCTTTCATATCAAGTGTCGCGCAATCATTGATATTAATCCTCTTCATCTTTACCTTTGTCGCACTTCTCACTATTTAACTCATCTAATGTATAGACTCCCAGAGCATTCAAAGATCCATGTCTCCTTTACGAGGGCAAGTCTCTTCATGACCTTCATCATCGCTCTTGCCATTAATTTTGCCGCATTTCTGTTCTCTTTGTTCAAATCAAATTCCAACTCAATAATCCCTAAGCTAGGATCGCTGCGGACAAAACCAGATTTCGTACCTTGAACCCACAGTCACCGCACTCCGACTTCATGATATCAGCGTCATAGGACAGAAACTTGCATGGATAAATCAAGTGGCTGCATAGCCCCGAATTTCCAAGAGCAGGAGACATACCGATAGATTGGTGGGAGCTGGACATCACGACGGAAGCCGGGTATCGCATCATCTGACCCGGAGATCAGTTGGACAACAGGGAGCTTAAGGATGATGGGGGGTGGACTACTGAAGCTGTTTCTGCTCCACCTGCACAACCTAGAGCGCGGCCGAGTTTCAACTTACGGATTCATCAATCAGGCACCTGTGCAGGCTCTGGTGGATCGTTTACGCCGTCGAAAGCTTCAAGTTCGGCTTCTACTGCTGTATTTCCAATTCCACTTCCAGAAACGAAACTGTTCAAGGTCCATACACCTCTTCCTCCACCTCAAATCACGCTACAGGACAATGGCGAGCCTGAAGTTGTCAAGACTTTCTACCACCAATGCAGATGTACGCAAACCAGACCCAAGATGCAATGTTCCAAACACCGTCTAGACCGGCAAATCTACGGGAAACGGTTTGTCCTCCTCCACTGGCCGTATTCAATATTTTCAAAGTCGTCGAGAACGATGTTGAGGTCGATGCCTCATCAGGCACGATCATATATGCCACATCTTATCACGTCCGGTGCTGGTCTAGATAGTCACAATTCCGGCCATCCGAAGCCCTTCCGATGTTCTATCAAGCCTCGCTCTGCAAAAGCCGCCGCGCTCATCAAGCAGAATGTTAACAATTAAGCTTGCGCGCGAAGATGAAACCCACACATGAGGGTAATTGGGGTGCCACATCGCATTATCGTACCGTACATGTCTATACATATATTGTAAGAATAATTTATAGTGCGTGCTCTAGTATCAATCGCGCTCGCTGTCTTCATGAGAAGCAGCCTGTAGTCTGGCACCTCCCTCCCTCCCCTTGATCAAGAGCATACTCAAGTCCGTCCAATGATTGCAGCCAGTAATAAGTACACCACTCCGGAATATCTTGACTCATGCTGTGTGATTGATATCCATTAAATATAAGACGCCATCCATATCGTGAAAGAGAAATCGCATACGGGAGACAAGCCTGTAACATGCAAGAAGCCCGATTCCTGATTGTACAGACTTGTGTCGATGGCCATTTATTTCAGTGATATTTTTCACTCCTAACTCCAGTCGTAGCCGGTAAAGGTTGCGAGTTGAAAGCGAGATCCATTAGATGAGCAAAGAACGTCATTGTCGGACCTTCATCATGCTCAGCAATTTCATGGGCAGATTACGAAAGTCGCACCGTATTCTCATTGTTGATAGTTGCACATCAGCAATTCTCCATCTTCGCGTGGACATCCTCAGCTCTGGACGATACAATCGCCGTGTCTAGTAGAGAACCGGCCATACGAGCATTCCTGCACCGTATATCTGCGCCCTTGTCATGGTTCTCCGAACGTTTGAAATCGCCAAATATCTACAAGCGTTTCCCATGGGCTTCGACGTTGATATCTTGTTGTTCGAGAGCGGGAGGCTCGCCTGTTGCGGTCACTGTCTCAGTTTCAAAGCTCCCGTGTAGGTCCATCCATGTGTTGTCGCAGATCAAATGCCAGACACATGAAAGCTATGATATGTAGCACACTAGAAACAACGGCGATGACTCAAGGCTTTTAGTACTGCCCTCCAACTCGACAGTGATAGAGTATCAAATAAATTGTCGAAGGGGTTGTAGAATATGGGCATGAGACATGATGAAGCGAAGATGTGATGGATGCTCAGAGAAGGTGCTTTGATAGTTGTTGGATATGTTGTTGTTATAAGCACCAAATGACCGCTGTGCTTTGCAAAATTGTGAACAGCGAATCACAGCTCGATCGACGGACCGAATAGACAGTTGGGGGCGAGGAGATAAAATCAGAATCTTAGTGTCAATGCTGTAGGTGACTGGATGACCTGGCAGGACCAATTTCGCTGTGGTTGCGGGCGCCTTAAGGCTTGCTTGCTGAAATAAGGTGGTCGCCGATTGTGCCAGTTCAGTAAAGGCAGCAAAAGCGCTGCTGCCAGTGGTTACAGTACTTGTTGACAGTCCAGGGCAAGAACCAGTGGCCATTTTGGGGAAGGTGGCTCATGACCCACACGACACTGAGCACGATGAACCAATGATATCAGTATTTGCAGGCACACGCCAAACATAGTACGGAAGATACGGAGCACATCTGTTCGCGGCAGATTTGAAGTTGCGACTAGTTGCCGAGACATGCCGCCGGGATTGTACCGTCAAGCGACTCAACTTGTTATACCAGACACGTGCACTTCCTCTCTTTCCCTACGCTGCGCCGTTTGTCAATATCAACCCTGTCTTCGGACATCAAATCTGCTGTAGCCCGTTGTGCTGCCTTGGAGGACTTATTCATCAATAGGTCTTATGATGACACACCAGACACACCAGATGAGCTATCCCTGGTGTCTGACACCGTCCGTTCGTGCAATGCACCACTCGACTGAGCAGTATGGAAGCACCTCTCCGACACCCCTACCCTTCTCAGACTCGCTATTGTGGGACGGTTTCCCAGTTGAACCATCACGCTTCAAGTTCGAGCCTTTCCTCAAGCTCACGGGCCGGACATTACCACCGTGATACGACACTCGGGAATTTTACTCACTTCAAGGGTTCGAAATGCCGCGGCATGTCCTCGGTTGGACCAGGGCGGAGGCCGAGCAACATTTTTTGTGCACTGTTACAGTGTAATGGACGCCGGACCCCCAAACACATCAAAATCAAGTCCAACGAGCGGCCATAGTCTGATGGGGAATTGGGTATGTCTTATGACAGTGATCAGGCAGTTTCTTTGTTCCACGCAACTGTGAAAACCCTTTGGATTCACATTCATTACCCCATTTACCTCGACGACGACCTTCTTGTGGAAGCCATGTCAAGTTGGCCGCACGTCCGCTTTCTGATGTTTTTGGGTCACCTTCGTCTACCTACTGTAGACTATCCGCAGTGCTTTGTTTCTGTCATCACTTGCTTACCCTGTAAGTAATGATCGATACTGGTACGTGTATCGATATCGGTCCTGCAGCTGAGTCTCTTCAACATACTCATACTCCCTGCGGATGTTACGCGTGGGCATGTCTGTTTTCTCCATCCTTCCTTGTATGGACTAGGTCACCGGTGGGGTGGGAGAGGCATAAGAACGGGTGGCCCGAGGCCAACCAGCATCTCGAAGCTTTTAGATCTTCTCCAGCTCTTGGAGCAGCGCGGCGCCGATGACCTGAGTTTGGGATGATATACTCATGCACGGGAAATTTACCCAGAGTTATGATTAAATGCTTTCATGCATTGAATAAACGACGAGCAAGGTAGATCATATAGGGTTTTTTCATTGTTACCTCATGACTATAATCTTCGGTTGGCTCGTTATACAAACATCTGTGCTGTCGTAACTTGGCTTAGTTAACATGGGTGAATTACACAATCAAGAGAACGCGACAACTAGCACACATAACGTCTGGATCGAAAACTCGTAGAGCCTTATTCTCATCCGTAGTATAGAATGAACGAGTGATTGCCTATAGCATTACATATACCTTATGTATTGTCCACCTATATCATGTACGGCTGCAAGGACAGATGAAAAAATTCCAAAAAAGCTGTCACGAAATTTTATTCGCCAGGCTCCTTTATCGAAGATGGCGCAACGAATTTACCACTTCCAGGAGAAAAAATATCCTGCGCACCATTAGATGAGCCCTGGGATAAAAATGCCACACTTACCTTGATCATTCCTCTCGAAATGAGCCCAATGGCAGCTCTGCTTTCCCACAGGGGGTATAACACGACTGCGAACGCCGACATGAATGTCCACATAATACCAACTATCACCCATACCGAAAAGCCGGTGACGCTGTAGACCGTCTGGGCACCAAAGAGGGGGAGAGGGATGAGTATCAGCAGTACCAAAGTCTGTAGATCAAGCAGCTTCAGTATATGAGCTGTTACAAGGAAGTATTAAAGCACGAACAAGTATTATTGATGCCCTGGCAGCAAACTTAAATGCCTTATTTAGGCCAACCGGGTCCAGCTCCGGATCGATTTGCGCCTCATTTGACACGGATGACACTGTCACATCTGGAACTTTCTTCTCATCCTCTGACTCCTCTAGTTCGTCGTTGACATTTTTACTAATAGCGGCACTACGGCCATTGATTGCACGAGTCGAAGAAAAATCGTAGTCATCTGGCCACTTCAGGATCAATCAGCTCACGGTCTCAAGGGATGAAACATTTTACGCACGATAAGTGAAATGGCAGTTGAGATAATAGCACCAACACCGATCGATGCAAGGTTTCCTGCAAGCATTTCGTAGTTGCCTATTAATCATTGGGTCAATTCAGCTTCGACAATATTGAAATTGGCGGTCATCTAACCTCCGCTCGTCTGATCACGCAATAGGGTCAAAGAGGTGAAACGATAGAAACTTAAGAGACGTACGGTGACATTGATCACTTTTTGGTTAAGCGTAGAGGTGGTCACCAGCCAGGCAATAATACCCGCGGCAAAACCAACGAGCGCACCACTAATACAACCCACTTTATTAGCTTTTTTCCAGGTAATGCAAAGTGCAATTGGGCAGACAGCAGAGCCGAGGATGACTCCCATAAATGTCTGCAAACTATGTCAGGCACAATGCATAGCACGGATATAGGCACCGACATAAAGCCAACCCATGGACACTCCGATGTAGTAGAAAATAACACCGGCGATACCCATCACAAGTGCAAAGATAACAACCTATCCATGACAGTTAATGAGGAGATTAGGTCTGCCAAAAAAAGACGCTTACCCCTGCATGACTCATGCGTAGAATTTGTTGTTCCGTAGCCTTCGGATTGATATATCTCTATATAATCATTGGTAAGCAATTTTGGCGCCGAATGCTGGATAGGAACATACCACATAGACATCGTAAGTTAAAATAGAAGATACCGCGATGAGCTCCGCACTCGTGGCACTGGTCACGGCCAGGAACAGGACAACAAGAAGTGCAGCTGCGCCCGATTTCCCAAGCAACGTCGCAGCAGCTAGCGAAGCTGGAAGACCCTCTGAGATAGCATCTTGCGAGAGCGGCGCAAGCATGGGAACAAAGCTGCTTGATAATGGGTCTTGTGACAAAGAGTTGGCAGCAGGCACCGCAGAAAAAGCCACTGCAGCAAGGCCAAGTGTCGTTGAGAACGCAAACGGAATAGCAAACCTATGCTTGAATCAGAAATGTCGACACATGCTGGTAAAGACACGTCAACTCACCATGCCAAGCCACCAATAAGGTACGCCTTGACAGTCGTAGAAGGTCTGCTAGCAATAGCGCGCTGCCAATACGCCTGATCCTGGAAGACAGTTGCGAAGTTCCCAATGAGGTTGATAACGCCGAAGATAAGGCCATTTTGGGAGCGGAGAGTCAGGTACGAGCCACCAGCATTACCGGCCACGGGTGAGATCTGGGATACCTCACTCAATAAATAGTGCATGCGGCTGATAGAACCAATGTAATCCGAGGTTGCATATACGGTGAACACAAACGTCAAGATGATGGCGAAGAGGACTGTGGTATGTGTACTGAAAATAAAATGATGAGCCAGGGAACATGGCATGTACGACATCGACCTACTAATCGCAAAGCAGTGTGGAACGCATTCCACCAACGACGACATAAATGGCAACACCCAGCGGGATGAGGAAACACGCAGCAATGGTGCTCATCCCAGTCAGACTCGTCACAGTAGCCGAACCACCCAAGACAAGCATTGAAGACACAATCAAGTTTGTCGCAAGACCGAAAACCATGAAAATAAGATGTGCTGTAGTTCCCCACCGCGCTGCAACAATCTCAAGCCAGGTGTGTGCGTAGGGAGCATTAAGCTTTAGCTTTGCGGCAAGCTGCGCGAACAAGAGGACCTGTACTGTCGCACCTGCGGCATACCACCATGGTCCCGAAATGCCATATCTATAAGCGACAGCGCTAGACTGGAGCTAAGTAATATCGCGCGCTAAGCCACACGTGGATATGGACGTTGAACATAAACATACTAGCGTTGCTGCCCAGGTCCAAGCAGAGACAATTCCAGAGGCAATAAGCCCAGGCTTCACTGAGCGCGAAGCAGACGAAAACTCCTCGGAATCTTTGGGAGAGACACCCGTGTAGCGTGCCTGTAGAGTAGTCAAACCCACCATGAAAGCACTGAAGAACAGTCCAATCCCTGGATATCTTTAGCAAATGACAACAAATGGATTAAAATGTGTTTTACCGATGACTGGTAATATTATTGGATATCAGTGTCTGAAACATGTGAATCAGAAACCAACTCACCGACGCCATAGCCTGCGCCTTGGGGGAGAACTTCACTGGTCGACATGCGAGCAAATGGGTTCAGAAAAAAACTCAGGGCCTTGCCTCATTTATACTAGCAGTGGTTAATAAATCGCAGTTCTGAATCTTATCACTGAGACTGTCATGATCAATGCAGTGCGTGTATCATGCAATGACATGGGGAGCCAATTCACACAAACTGTCTACCGTGACAACAAATGCCGAACAGGGTAGTAGCTTAAGCTTGCCAAGCTCCGCGGCCATTTCATATGTAACTTTAAAGATGTGATAAGGGCATCCTCATGCTCATAGGTACTATCCCCAGCCACGGCTGAGCGCTCCGTATCATATTCAGTGTTACTCAGTACCTGCATGACTGTTGGGAGCCGCAAAACAAAATTTCTTGACTGGAGCGTGATTCGAACACGCGCCCTTTCGGACTAGATCCTGATTCTAGCGCCTTAGACCACTCGGCCATCCAGCCGTGCTTAAATCTCCTGTGTGTGGTAGTCAATTCATTGATGGTCCTCATGAGGCGCAGAAACGCTGATAAACAATCTCTCACCAACTTGCATGATTAGAATTTACTTACCGAGGAATGACATGTCATTCATTTGGAGAAAGTCTACATTGTCACACATCCACCCCCTAATATATCCCATGCAGCCGCAATGCAAGCTCAAGCAAACAATTGTGCGTCCAAGATAGCCATGTAAACCTGGGCATGCGATTTTCTAGAGCCACTATTGCATAGCAGTCGGTGCCACAGTGGGAATGATGATGAATCCATTTGAAGGGATGTCAATCAAAAACGATGGGCTATCTATCGGACGACGGGATTTACGCCCCTTGCAGCCAAATAGTCCTTCGCCGCGCTTGGGCTCTGCGAAACGATTTGAATCAAGTTTGAACGGGAGAAAGTAACTTCTTACAAGGTTCTTAATAAGTTCATAAACGCTCTTGTCATGATACCTCAGTCCAGTCCGAGGATCGGTATACGGTGCCTAGTGATTTGATATCGACAGGATATCCTTCCTCACATAATAGATTAACACTAACCTCCAGCCCTGTAATATCGCAGTAGTGTCTCTGTGGCAGAACAGATGGTGGTGCTTCTATCGATAGATCTAAAAGAATCAGTTTCGCCGACTGGAAAACCCGTGATCAACTCACAAGTTGAGATTTCCTCGTTCACCTCAACAAGTTCTTTCTTAACTTCATCAATATCCATCGCCTGACTATCTCTCTCTTGTCTCCGCCTCTCCCTTTCGATGCGTTCTTTCTCCCTTTCCTGACCTAGAACGGTTTTCAGGTTCTTGGTTCGACGATTCGTATTTTTGGTGTAGTTGGGATTCTTGAATGGACGAGGGCTGTGCAGGTATGACAGCTGCTCGGAGAGGGTCTAATACTCTGTATTGAGCGACCGAATCGAGCGATAAAATGGCACGAACGGGCGTATGAGTGGTGGAACCATCGTTCGCAGCTTTCTTCCTGGTTGTACCCTTGGGCGGCCTGTAGATTCAACATTAAACCGACAATAGAATCGTCATAATGCCCTACATTAAATATGCTTCAGCAGTGCAGGGTTTCGCTTTGGAGCGGCGATGCGTAAGGGTTTGCAAAGGTTGTTCAAGAATCAAGATGAACTTGGATTTGAAGAACTTGGTTTAGTCGTTCAGCTTAGTCAGCTGAGTTTCTGCAGTTTTATCAAATCACTTTCTAGCAGTACGACTGTACTAGTGATCAATCGGTCACCGGGCGAGGGCGTACGAAATGGCGTCTTCTGTAGATTCCTTGTTTGTCAAGGCACAAAATACCACCCTACCAAAATCCCTTCGTCCCACCTCTCCACCACCAGACAATGTGCCAAAGCATAAGCACGTCAAGGACCTCAAGCTAAGAACAAAACTAAACCGGCAGGCAGCACATGCTGCGCGTTCAAAAGCACTTGTCGAAGATGCTGAACTGTTGCTGACGAACGAGGCAGGGAAAATGCAAGTGGAGACCGAGCTGGAACGAACTTGGAGAATAGGCCAGGATGATATCGTGCAAAGTGCTAGTCAGGAGGCTGCCAAGGGACGACGGGAGCTGAAGCTGGATGGTGGTCCATATCGCTCGAGATACTCGAGGAATGGCAGACATCTTGCCATTGTCGGTAACATGGGACATGTCGCGACCTTTGACTGGCAAACGGGAACCATGCATGCTGAGCTTCAGCTGCAGGAAACATGTCGCGATATCACGTACGTCGCTTGTTACTTGCACGTAACAACTCTCAATCGTTCAATAAAGATTTTTGCAGGACCAGTCATTCTTCGCAGTCGCACAAAAAAAATATGTATTCATATACGACCGTGATGGTGTTGAACTACACCGATTGAAAGCTCACATTGAACCCACACGACTGGAATTCCTTCCATATCACTGGTTGCTTGCTAGTGTGGTCAGTGATTCCTGATTCCAACTCACTGTCAACTTGTGCCAACTTAATCGATATTAGGGGAACAACGGATTTCTAAAATATCAAGACACTTCCACAGGTCACATCGTTGCCGAGCATCGAACCAAGCTCGGGGCATGTCATACACTCGCACAAAACAAACACAACGCGGTGCTACACCTCGGTCATTCCAATGGCGTTGTCACCCTTTGGACGCCAAATATTCCCCATCCTGCTGTACAAATCCTAGCACATTACGGTCCAGTTGTGGGGCTGAGCGTTGATCCGAGCTCTGGTGGGCGCTATATGGCGACATCAGGTCAGGATGGTGTCGTAAAAGTCTGGGACTGCCGAAATTGGAAGGGCACTGTACGGGAATGGACGACAAGAGGTGGCGGCGCCGAGCTGGAATGGAGTGCAAGGGGTGCGTTAAGTGTCGCTGTAGGTGGAAGTGTCAATGTGAGTTACTGCTCTCTTGCCTGTGCCGGTTCTGATCCATTGCGCACCAGGTGTACACAAAACCGTCAATACAGACCCCGCATGCACCTAAAGCACCGCCACCTCTTTACCTCACACACCCAATACCACACCGACCGCTTACTTCGGTGAGATTTTGCCCTTTTCAAGATATCCTTACTATCGGACACAATGCTGGTCTGTCGAGTATTCTTGTACCTGGAGTTGGCGAACCAAACTTCGATAGTATGGAAGCCGATCCATTCGAGAACAAGAAGGCAAGAAGGGAAAGGGAAGTCAAGGGTTTATTGGACAAGGTATGCTCAACGTCTAGATCATTCCTGTGACACTGATATGGACTATCCATTAACCTAGATTCAACCGGACATGATCACACTCGACCCAGATTTCGTCGGAGCTCTTGCACCGCCAACAAAATTAACGACTGCTGTCAATGACACGCATGATATTCCCTTCGCTCGGCTTCCTCGGCTTGAGCGACTCCGTGTCCAGGGCAAAGCAGATGAAACAGAGCTCGTTGATGATGACGAGGACATTGCTGATGGTGACGGCGACAAGAATGCCAAACCACAGTCACGAATGGAGAAGGAGAAGCGGAAAATGCGCGGCAAAGGAAAGAGTGTCAAAAGGTATGTACTCCGTATAAGACACTGCAGCCTATTATTTATCATATTCAAAACTCAGATACCTCCGGAAGCAACGCAAAAATGTTATTGATCCCACTGCGGTGAGCCTCAGTCAATCGCTCCATTCATTAATTTTGTGCTCATGTTCGTGCGCTCTACAAAAATAGGTCGCTATTCGTGCAAAATTAGAGAAGCAGCGGGAGGAAAAGCGCGTGGCAAAGGCTATCGAGAATGGCTCGATGGAGGCGCGCAAACCATCGGCGCTCGATCGATTTAGACGACCGTGATGGTCCTTGGAGAAAATCCATACTTGTCAAGTCAGACGAGTTACACTCAGAGGCAGACAAGACTATGTAGACTAGCATAGAGTCTAGGTACGAGTCAGTACATGTGACTGCTATGAACTGCAAGATAACATGCCTTGACGAGTATGATGAGGTGACGAAGGTGCAACAACGCCAACATACCTCCTCGCCGAGACTTGGACGCCTGTCAGTGGAGTGACATGTTTCGAAATAGACGGGTTCGACGAGTAAACGGCTGGAGAGCCCTGATAACCGCAGATAACGGAACCTGGCTGCGCAGATAACAGGCCCGCAAGAGCCCCGGCAAGATGCAATTGTTTGTCCTCAGTGAAGAGATGGAAAAACCTTGTAGCATTGATTGCGCCAATGTGGTCATGAAGGGGATTGAGGGATTTCAATGAGGACAAATCGATAGTTGGGGGTTGTTCGGCTGCGCCGCTATGGAAAGAATTTCTGGATCGAAAACATCTCCGGGAAAGAAGCACCCCGGATACGAATTTGATGTCGTTCTGAAAAGTTCGTGGCCAAGCTCGAGGAATTCTGTATATGCATGCATCTGAGTCATTAGCAAGAATGTTTCAAAGACAGAATGGATCACCGTTGATGATATTCGAAGCAATGACATTTTCCGCAGGAAAACCATCCGCCGCAGCCTTTCTGGCATCAACACCGACTGAAATGGAGTCGAGCTTTAGTATCCAATAAAGTAAATCATTGTTTGACGTACAACAATAGCCAAGGTCGAGTAACACGGCATCCGGGCGCTCACCACCAAGCTTTAGTATGTGTTCGTACACAGGGTAACTCGAAATGTTGAGGCTGAACACAGTTCCCTCATTATGATGATAGATTGACTCGGATACATAGACTACAGGTCAGGTACCGAACAAAGACGAATCCGTGAATACAAGGATACGGTGCAACCTTTCAGCGGCAGTTAGTTATTGAACTGATGGTGAGGTCGAGTCTGCAAGTGACTCACATTGTATGCTTTCGCCTAGTAACCTCCAGGATATGCCTCTTCAAGTCTTCGTCATCATCGATACCAATTTGCGCTTTAAAGAACGCAGCTTCTTCGGAAGACAAACCGTAAAGGCTGGTGTCTACTTTGGCAGTGATGCGGTCTGAAGTATTACTATTAGGTCGCCCAACAACGTCGCGGAGTAATGGTATGTAGCGGCACTCTCCATCGTGATAGATTGTTACTTGTGCTACCGTAGCATTTTGCAAGGTGACTGGCTCTGAGCGTCTCCCCAGCGGCCGCCGGTGGAGGTGTGACTAGCGGTTAACGTTCAAACGTTCACTACTGATGTTACATAAATGTTTACCCTGAATTTGCCTGGCTAATTAGCCGGCCCCGAACGTCGAACCCTACTCAGGTATACTACACATAGCAAATGCAAGTTCGGTACTATGACGGCCAAATGTCGATACAGAATTTCAAGTTCAAGTTATACAGCCATCGACTTTTCCGGGCCCATGAAAGCAGATTCATTTGCAGGTGCCTGACTCGGAACATTTCTGACCGTGAAAACTCCACTAACGTTTAGCCTCCGTCCGCGTAGTCGCAGTCTGCAGACCTCCAAATTCAACCAAACTCACCCCGTCTATCAGCGCGTGTGACTCCAGAAGCAGAGCAGCATCAACACATTCACACTACGTCGCCTCCTTGGGCCGACACAGTCGAAAGCCATCAAGGTCGCCTACGGGTGGATGACAAAAAAGGGTTGAGCAATAAAGAAGGATGCAGCGAAAGCACATTTACAGGCTCAAAAGTTTGCAATGCGGAACTGCTGATGACTTCACGGGCGTCAACAAACGCAATACAGTTACTCCTGGACCCTCACAATACCTCGCTCTACCGAACCCTCAAACCATCGAAGATTTCCTAATTGCATCATTCTTCCATCGCAATGAAATTGCATGGACTCCCGACCATCTTAATATCAAGCGCAATGAATGCGCAGATCAACTCGCGAAAGAAGCTAGCGAACACAATGGCTCACTTGTTACAACATATGCCAACATACGGAGACACAATGAGGAAAACTTGCTGAAGAGATAGACGGGTTCAAGATTGCAAGGAAATGTCTACGTAGTACATTCCATCTTCGTACGGCCTCCCAATATTAATCATTAGCAGCAATGACCGCTCGTTTCGACAGCCTCTCGCACTCAAGCTTAGTGGATGACGAGCCAGACTAGGCATGGTCGATCATCAAACATCCACATTGCTCGAGCAGCACGAAAATTTGTCCAAAAATGTGTACTGACTGATCGACTCCGAACTAGGTATTGCACCGTTAACCATGATACCACAGCGACAGAAGAAACATGACTCGCTGTCACGATGTACTGCTCGTGCTGCCAGTTCAGTTTTAAACTGACAGGCAGATCCGACCTGCATTCTAAGGTGCGCAGGTGAGTCATGTAGTTGAATCCTAATTGCACAGCGACATGCTCATACTCACGGTGGCAGGTTTACAAACCATGTTAGTGCAGCAATCATGATCTGTTGTACAACTCGTTGTACTACATGCACTGACAAACATGGACGCCGTCAAACCAGCAGCAACAGCGAGGAAGGAGAAACGCATTTTCTGTGCGAGTTGATATGGAATCTTCTGAGGGGGACCTCGAATGATATCTCTGAGGATGTGGGAACACTAGGATGACGACCGCTTTTATATTCTGCATATGCTTATGGCACGGTTTTGATCGATTTGGCAGAAATTTCGGTAGAACCTGCAGGAGCGTGTTCAATTGCGATCCTCATATCATGACCTGCTGTTACTAGGGTCATGTCGTATTAGGGGTATAGTTCACGATATGTGAGTTCTCCCGCATGAATTACTGATTTGAGCTGTCTCTAAATCCGTCTTTTCGCAGGGCTCCACTTGTGCTATTTGCGTGCTGCTAGTAAAGAGCAGTTATTTCATTCTGTAAACTCAAGCTGAGTGGACGACAAGTGAGACTAAGCACGGTTGATCATTTTGAGATAGGTTCAAGCATTCACATTGCTCGAGCAGCACGAAAGTTTATCCAAAAACGAGTATACCGACTGACTCCGAACTAGGTATTACACCATCAACCATGATACCAAAGCGAATGCAGAAATATGACTCACTGTCGCGATATGCCTCATGCTACAGGCTCAATTTCCACCGTACGTGCAAGTCGGGTCTCCTGAATCCTAAGGCGAGCAAGTGAGTTATGTGGTTGAATACTGGCTACACAGCGACCTGCTCATACTCACGTCAGCATGAGCTATACAAAAATAATTTGCGCAGCAATCATTTACTGTTTTGCAAGTTGTTTTGCTACATGCACTGATAGACATAGATGCTGTCAGAGCAACAACAACAGCGAGGAAGGTGAAATGCATTTTTCGTGCGAGATAATATAGAATCTTCTGAGGGGGATCTCGAATGATATCTCTGTAGATTGGGGAACGCCATAGGACGACGACCAGCTTTTATATCCTGCGTATGGCAGAATATGTAAGAGCGTATTCAATTGATCGCGACCGTTGTATCATAACCTTGCACGTTACTGAAATCCTATTGTATAGTCAGGGGTATAATTCATGATATGTGAGTTTTCCAGCATGGATCACTGATTTGAACCGTATCTGAACCCGTCTCTTCGCAGCGCTCCAATTATGCTATTTGCGTGCTGCATTATGTGACCTTGTGTTCGCTGGCATGCCTCATTTTTTCCGGCCGTGCCTGCTGCGGAGGTGACACGGCCATTGCACCACCACCTTCACTAAAGATTGATCTTTCTATTCAGTTTACACTTTTGGCTAACTTCGTTGATTGAGACTTAAGGCGGCCCAAGGACTGACGTGGCCTTGGCTTACGCGGATGGCTTCTTCCACGTGGCACCCCGACTAGGCAGCCAGAAGCCAACACCAGGCGCCTCCCCGCCCCACTTAACATCCGCTAAACCCAATTTTTTACACTAGATCGAATCCCATCCTTATCTCAACCGCGCAGGATCATCGAAAACATCCTCCAAACTACTCTCGATGGCCGAACCGACTCCTCCCGACCTGGAACCCCAGCCATTAATGGTCTGATAGCAACAGCAGGCAAGCAAGCCCTCGATTCGGACCGCTAGCTCGACGTCACTTCAGAATTCTCTATGCCGCATGGATCTTTGTCATAAATATATGGACAGCGTCATGGTAGTCATGATACGTCCACGAGGATTGCGCAAAATTTCCAAGAGTAAAGTCGGCAAAGTACAACCATGCATCATATAGATATAACAACAAAACATAGAATTTCTTTATTAATTCTTAATGCCACTCGACAAAATGCTTCCTAAAATATAGAATACCAGAGCTCAATTTCTGAGGCAGTGTTCCCTCTGGAGTGTTCAGATCTTGGAAGGCAGCATGAGGAGTGAGCCTCACGACACTCATCAGTAAATGTCAAAAAAACCTGGATCAACTTATACAACTTACTATATACCTGAACATCTGAAATCAGACTCTTTCCAGTGAATCAGATCAATAAGATACACAGTGGTCCAGACATTCAGTCCCCTCAGTTGTCCCAGTCTCACTCAGTCACTAAGTAGTTCAGATTGATTCAGTTGATCAGTTGATCAGTAGTTCAGACATTATCCTGTCCAGATGTCTGTCATATCCCACGTTCCGGACCCGGACCAATCACACACTCATCTCCGGACATCTGGACATCCGGATCCGACCTGCCTCTATCTTCTGTGCCTTATCCCTTTGTATGTTCCTTTTCAAGTTAGGCTAACTCATTTTCCGTACCTCATTTCATTTCCGCCTTTATTTTCCTATGTCCTCATTTCTGTCTTCATTTACTATTTTCCGATAGACTAGTGTTAGACGTTTCTACATCCTCCGTCCATAGCCTCGCATAGCCTCGGACTGCGCTGACTGATTCTCTGTTAAGTCCTCCATAGTATATAAACCCTGTAGAATCTTTGTACTTCCTTAGTTCGAATATTATCTTAGACTCTGCTCATTCCCTCCTCTGTCCGACTTGAGTTTCTCCTCTCGTCGTCCTCCGATAGTCTTAGGATCAATTCCTATAGACTTAACACCTCCGCCTCTACCTCTGGTAGTGCTCCGCTGTTTCCTTTCTAGTTTGGACATTGTCCGGATTAGCCCGATCACTTGTTCCTGAATGTCCACTGGAATTCCCGCGCATCGGACATCGTCTGACAGCCTTTGGAAGTCAGGGGCACGTACTCGGGTAAGGGACGCAGCGCACAAGCTGAAGCCAAGCCCTTCAGATTTGACCCTTGAGCACGTTCTTAACAATGTCCCAGATTGTTCAGATACATTCAGTTATTCAGTAGTTCAACAATACAGGAGCATTTCAGTCACCCAGCACACCCAGTAGTTCAGACATTTAGTTTTGCAGAGCTCCCAGATTTTGATACTAGTCTTAAAGCAGATATTGAAACCTCAGCTGCCGATACTATGCAAGATCGTCATCATGATTCTAGTAGTAACAGTGACAAGAATAGTACATGGACTCGGACACTGTCTGAGTTTACTACAACAGTTATAGTACTAGTATTAGTAGAACAATGTGCAACACAACAATGAAGACAAAGCGATGAAAAAATGATGTAACAGAGACGGGGCTGGAACTACAATTTGGCATTCTTTTGTGATGGGCTGCAGTATACTGTGGTTGTCAAACCTTCCTGCTCCTCTTGGTCGATCCACCACCCGACGAATTTTCCATCTCCAGTGCCTTGCATTTGAGTAGATTCTCATACCAAGAGGAATATTGATTGTATCCGGTCTGCTTCAACCCCCTCTGCAAGTAAGGCACCACCATCTCCCAATTGAAGAGCAATGCTGGAGGAACCCATGTGCAACAAGCCAGTAGTGAAGGGTCCTCGACAGCTGTGGAGGGTCTATTGAGACAAGGTAAGCAATCAGCAGCATGATTTTTGAAAAAATGCACTTGTCAATGTGGAACTCATCACTGTTGGACTCATCACCACTAGACTCCTCCGCAGCATCCTTGGCTGCCAGCTGATCAATGTGATTGAGGGTTGTATCCCGAATTCTCAACAGGGTGTGTTGAAACAAATATTGAATGTTTGCAAGGCTGGTGGTGTCAGTGTTTGGAATCAGCTCCTATTATTAATGTCAGACAATACTACTTGATGAGGGGGACCACTCACCATACATTGGTAAAACTCATTGTTATGGTCATCCAGATCAAGTTGTCTGGCAGGGTGACGGAGCCACGTAGTGACAGTGACTGTAACTGTGGACACCCAGTTGTGGCGAAACACAGTGACTGGTCTGGGAAATGGTTTGTTGTACTTGTGAATCCACTTGTGGAATGGCACTACTAACTCCACCTTATTCAATGTATCAAATATCTTCGATGAGTCCTTTGGCGGTGAGTGTCATATATTTTCCTTGATATTGAACAATGTGAGGGCAACAATATGCAGGGCACTGTCAATGTAATCTTGGAGTTTGGATAGGATGTCTTCTTGTGTCTCAGAGTAGGACACCTCAGTTTCCACAGCTGTAGCTGTCCACTTAGTTCATTTGGATCATGAATTCACCATATTCTGGGGTGATACCCATGGACACAAATACAGCATCCATGGATTTGCGCAATGGCATCAGAAAATTCTCGTAGATTGGGCTAGGCAGGATTACAATGAGTTGTGAGGATGAGGGTGTGTATGATGGACTGAAAGCAAGGCATTAGATGGTGATTATCGGATAATACTAATACTTACTTGTACTGATCATCATCACCGGCAATGGCTTCCACAATATATTCATAGTCATTAATTGACACATGAGAGAAGCTCTGCACGAGTCAGCCCAGGCCTGTGCGAAATTGCTGTGTGAATATTCTCATACCTGGGAATCATGGACTCCATGTCTTCGCCCTCTGATTTCAGTGATGATTTTCTTACGCCAAACTGTTTAAGAAGGTTAACAAAGGATACAACACTACACACAGTAAAAAACCCACCACCTTTATTGATTTCATGAACTGATGGCTCTCTTAGTGTCGAAATTTGAAGACTAGTTTCAAATTGTGCACAGGTGTCTGTACTAGATTGAATGGCCAAGCGGTTTGCCAAGGGTGTTGAATGATGTTTGACAGTGGAGGGCCACTTGCTAGGGAGTATTGTTTTTGCTGTGGTGTGGAGGGCTGAGATTTCCATGCTTGACTGCAATCATAGTAAACACTCTGTGCTCTGAGTGGTAGAATAAGGGAGGTTGGCATGTTAAGCCTGATTGGCACCTTACTATGTGTTAGCTTGCTTATATATATACAAATGCGGCTTTAGAAACTCCGAGCTGTGCTGTCAAAGGAGTTGCGGAGTTTGCTGTGTCCAGCATGCCAGCACTTGTGAGGAGACCATTGTGGAGTATAGTACAGTCTGTACAGAATAGTAGCATAAGGAAGACCAACATATAGTGTATAGTAGTCTCCTAGTAGTGGTTAATAAGCGATTTCATAAGCATGATAATCTGAAAATTTATTAACATTGTAAGCCAAAAAAGCAACCAAAGAATCAGTGTGTTTGAGATGATGGGGAATGTCTTGTGAACCATAAACACCTATCAGGTGTGCTGCACACATGATACTGTCCAAGTGAATGACAGACACAAGCCGCTCCCCACTATTGTCATCCAATTCAGGTTCTACCATCCACATGCCAGTGGGTTTACATGGCTCATTGCCAATAGGAGTGAACCAACAAACCAATGCACATGGATACAGCTGACCACAATAAGTGATAGAAAAGAAGAGGATGACTTGAGCGACATATAGGCCTTGAAATCCAGAGAGAGAGGGGTCTTTTTCAGCAAATATGCAGTCATGTTGAGCAAAACCATTTTACCAAAACCTGCAGCTGTGAATATACTGGTGCTGCATTGTGTTAACTCCACAGATGTCACTTGGAGCACGGAATGTTGCAACAGCTGAGTTGAAAACATCTACTCTCTCCTCGATAACTGGAAGAACACTGACATCTACTATATCAGCTGCTTGAATGGAAGCATTTGGATTGCACTGATCATATAGAAAGCGGCCCACTAGCTCAGGAAGATTCAGGCAGTTGATAAATACAGCAATTTCGGGAAGCTGATGAGGGTACTCCATCACTGAGTACTCTTATAAGTACTATATTGCTAGTAGAGAAATCATCAGTGCTCTTACCTCGAGTCTGAGCCAGTTCTACAGATGCTTGAATCCTAGTGAGTTCAGTATCTGGCTCAACATCCTCAAGATTGGAGTCATTTCTAAAACGAGCCTCCTCAGGATCAAATTTGTCATTGGGATCCTCGAAGTCACCTTGATCTATGTCAGCAGGTTCCAATGAGGCTGGGTTTAGGAATCTGTGGGTAGCAAGGTGAGACTTGAATGCAGCAAGTTTATTGAGTCGCTGGTTGATCAAGAGCATCTGACCTAAAGGTAGGTGATGATTTGAGCGCCTCCAGGGTTTCTTGATGGCCTTGATGTGCTTCGACTCCGTGATCAATGAGCACAAGCTATTTGGGGCACCATAAAGCTGTATAAGTGTTTGATAATACATCAAAGCATGTTGGCGTGGAAGTGATATTCCGTCTGGCATAACACTAGAGTCAATGAAAATGTTGTGCTCTTTATGAAACCAAGCCAAAGCATTGTCCAGTGCATCTAGGTTAGCCTCGCTGAGGGTAGAACAACATGTGAGATAGCAAAATTCCATAAAAGCAGAAATGGCTCAGACCATTTGATCTGGAACAAGGCCGGTAATTGCAGGAAGAAATACCTAGTATGACAAAATAATAGTATATTAGTTCAACTGTAGTTGTTAAGACCATGCACAAAGGGTAGGACTGATTCTGAGGGGCTTGGCTTCAGCTTGTGTGCTGCGCCCCTTACCCGAGTATGTGCCCTTAATTTCAGAATGATGTCCGGAGGAAGTCCGAAGATGTCCAAAGGATATCCAAAGTGTGGGAAACTTTGGACGGACTTTCTGGACGAGTGTAAGTAACTTCCGGATGAGTGCGGGAAAGTTCCGGAGGAATTTCCAGAAATTACAATGAGGTTTCGTCCTGATACGGATATGTATAATGGCTACTCAGGACACGTCCTGAGTAGAAGCAAACAGAGGAAAGGCTACAAGGACAAAGTCCGAAGCAGAATAGGTCCGGAGGACCGCGGGAAAGATCCGGATGAACTTCTGGAAACTTCGGAGGATCGGATGAGTGGATGAGTGGATGAGCGGATGAGCGGAGTATCGGATAAGCAGAGTCCTGGCCTAGGGAATTTCTCCCTAGGCCTAAGATGGATATTGACTAAGTCGGAAGACTAGAACTGATATAAGGACTTAGTGTGAAGACTAGTGCGAGGACTAATATGATATTCAGACTGAGGAACTACAGGACATATACAAGAGTTTATATACTAAGGAAATAACGGAAAGATCAGTAAGCAAGAGTCCGAGGCTATGTATGAAGCATAAGCAAAGTTATCAAGCGCGAGTCGGAAATGAAGCATAGGTTTAACGGATCAGTAAGCATACCGGTAGTAAGTATAACCGAGATACCGAGGACAAGGAATACCAAATAGAGGAATAGGCTGTGTTAACGTTATATGCACAGGAAATGAATTAAGAAGCTTATCATATATCAGATCAGATCAGATCAGATCAGATCAGATCCGGACGAGAAGTGTGGATATACGGGATATGACTTTAGGGTGATGGGACAAAGGATGAATGATGCAGGCTAGCTGCAGAGGTATGGAGGTCTGATGTATGGAGCTAAAGGGATCTGGATGTGGATGTGCAGAGGTGCAGGGATCCGGATGGATAGAGGACTGGGGACATGGATAGGGCGTCTGAAGGTCCGGATGAGGTGTGGGAACATTGTCGGATGTAGGTCCGGAATACGGGATATGACAGTAGCTATCATAGTGAATCAACACTGCTACCTTCATCAGGGCCTTTGAATCATTACCTGTCCATTGTTTGAAGTGTTGACCTTCAGGAAAGCGTCTTAAACCAGGGAACGACGGAGCAGCAGAAACTCTGATATGATAGAAGCACATGAGTACATCACATATAGTAGCTTGATTGAGATATGTACCTTCAATCTATCTCAGCCATTGTTGCTGCAGCCTTAGATGTTCTGAATGTCTTCGCCAAATATTCTTCAACCCAGGTAACAAGGTGGTCCTTGAATGAACCTTTAATCACCTGGTGGAGCAGATTGGGTGACAACAACTCATGAATATTTGCCCGAGGAAATGAGGCTATAAATGGCTAAAACACTTAATGAATTGGCAATGTCTCATTGGAGGTGAGATAGTAGTACTTACCATAATATCATTGACGATCCCCCAGTTGTCCCATAACACTTTCCATGTATACATGTCCCTCAATAGTTCAGTAAATTCATGTGTTCGGAGGTGACCTGCATTCTTCTTGTCCAAGTCTCTTTTTGAGGCAGTACACCTCATCAAAACTGCAAAATCAGCATCTGAAAAAAATAAACAGTATAGAGACATTGTTGCATACCTTAGGCACCAGCCTTGAACAATACAGGAAAGTAAACATTGCTTGGGGTAATCAGCGATATATGGTCTGAGCTCATGAATTGCGCAACAGTAATGTCCATCAGAACATAATGGCACCTCTGGTGTAGTCATTGTGGGCCGAAGTGATGAGAGAATTGCCTCCAGTGACCTGTGGAACAAGTGACGGTGGAAGTCACGAAATTCTTGATCATGTTGATGTTCTCAATCAGCTGAATGAGAATGAGAATGGTTATCAAAATTGTCTGTCCAATAGTACATGAACTAGTTACATTTAGGGATACCCAAAAACCCTACCAAGCTAACAGCATTAATGTGAGTGCATCGAATATTGTTATGTACATTTCCCTTTGAAATGTACAGTGGATAGTATTCATTGTTTCCAGTTGTAATTGACATGGTTATCTTGTCGCTACCCAAGATGACAGGAACGAATATTGCGCCATTGTCTTCTTACTTAAGGTGTCTTATATAAAAGTGGTCAAAAGGCAATGACACCACAATTACACTTTTGATAAGACTAGATGCTGCCAAACAACCTCAAGTTCACGGTCTACAACTTTTCTTCTTTCGTGGTAGATAACACATTGTTCATGGAAGGTTACCTGCTATACAGCCCGGTGGTGTGATTCTACCTAGAACAGTAGATGTTCTACAAGAGAAATCTAACTTTATCTGGAAAGACAGATAATGTAGACTTTGTAGAAGAATATCTAGCCTTTCCTATGGCTAGATGGAAAATACTTGATACAAATAAGTCTCTCTAGTCTTTTTTGTTGACTAGACAGATAAGTGATGTGAGGTGCGTACTGTTGTGCAACTGGTAAATACATATGCAGATAGTCTAACAAAGGAATCTGCAGGCACAGATAAATGGCTTGACTTGATACTCCTAGTCCTCTGAAATGTATATTAGATGCACACTAGATAGTATAGGTACAGTCAAGAAAGAGTAAAATGATCTCAGAGCAAGTTTAGTTACTTGGTCTGCACTTTCTGGCTAACACAAAGAGTGTCAATGTCAGAGAAAGTGGAAGAATGTGAGGGGGGGATTCCTTCAGATATTTGACAGGAAAATGAATTCTTGTATTTTTGGGTGAAGATTGGTTCTCCTTTTATACATGAGATGAGCAAAACTGTAGGGCAAGAAATAAGATTGAAAAGAGGAATGACATCAGAATTGCATCATAAATGACCTCATTGTGGAGCAATGTGGAGCATTTGCAGAGCCAAGTGGAGCGGAATATTCTAGCATCCAATGACATCACTATGACATCATGGGTGACATTAGGGAAACCAACAGAATAGGCCAGAACTATCTGTGGAGCCACATGACATCATACCTTGCTGGTATATTTTATGAAGCATCTAGGATATCAATGAATCATATACATAAAGAAATGAAAGAAAAACGTAGGGAAGATAAGGTAGGAATAATCATAAAAGAAAACAAAGCAAAACATGGGCTTTTTTGTTAGGGTTTTTTATAGGCTTTTAACTTTTCTCATTGGTTATTTGTAATCAAAGTAAATAAGCCAAAAGTTAGGTAATAACCTAAGCTTTTGTGTACCTATTACTTGGACTATGTTAATATATGATTTCTCCATCATATTTGACTTTTCTTCAAAACACCGTACTTTGTGTGATTGGAGCACACAAGGCTATCTGTTGCACTTAAGTCTATACTCAAAGTACATTTTGTGTAGTCTGAGGACAAGGCTAACAGACTGTAGGTATGTGGGATAATATGTCATGTATGTATTCTGCATGATTCCCATATCATGCAGGACACCGTGACATTCGGGGTCCTCTGACAGTCCATTCTAAGAGGTTGTTAGTATATATTATAGGATTGCTAGCTATTCAACATACACATTGGTTCCACGCCCAATTTCCAGACATGAAATCACTGAAGACCCTCTCATGGTTGTTACTATACACTTGGCATGAAGCATGGTCAAAACCATCCTTAAAGTCAGGGTTTGACAACTGGTTGCATAGCAACATATGTGGGTCCCAAAACCATATATCATATTTAGCAAGTTTTTATTAAGGTGTTGATGGGTTGCCTTGATTTATTGTGTTAATGATATCATAGAGGTCTTTTTTGTTAGCATATGGAGAGGACTTCCCACTTCTGCCCTCACTCCTATTAACCTCAGCCCAGATGTGCATCAGCTTGTCAAACTGAGTCCCTGGCATTTTGTTATGTTGAAAGATGAAATCAGCGAGGGAAAAGTGACCTTGATTGGCAAATAGATATTATGGTGATTTTGGCTTCTTGTGAGGGAGAGGTTGTGATCTATCGAGGTCATTGCTATCCATATCACAAGGAGTTCCTGTATGGACAATGAATGGTCAGCCACTGGACCAGACGATAGTCACTAACAATTACTTACCATCAATCACAGAGTGCCATACAAAGTATGCACCCAGCGGAGGTGCATTGTTGGAGTCGCTCCTGCTATCGACATCTGTGTCGGGTTGTTGACCAACATTATTGTTGAAGTGATGATGCTCCATGGTCTGTGGTTGGTATTGAGGGATATGAGGAGGGAATGGTACTAAATTAGTGTGCACAGCATTTCTGTGGTTGGCGAGGCCTGCACAAGTCAAAAATCCCTTGCGACACTGAGCATTGATAGGGTTGGTGCAGAAAAACTTGCATGATCGGTAGGTAGGTTGTTGAGGCATTATCCGCATAAGATGGAGATTACCTATGCCCTATACACCAGCGAGGGCAATTAGTTTCATGTGTGTCTTTGATGAATATTAGTTACATACCAAATACATGTATGCACTGTGTTCTTGTCACAAGAAGTGACTTTGCAAGTGTTGTACTTGAGGCTCATATTGATCTGAGGAGCACTGGGTTACTAGTTAGCCGACTTTGCAATAAAATAGACCAAAAACTGACGGGGAAAATTAGGACTTGATACTGGAAATTTCCACACTCACATGTATATAGTAGGTCAGCAAACAAAGTTGTTATTTTACTATTAAATTACTGCACATAGACATGTCGGTATGGTGGACACTCGTAAAGCAAACAAGCATGCTTACCTAGGATTAGTCGACCGGCCACCTCCCTGTTGATCGCGAGACAAGATCCTTAAGGAAAAGAGAAAGGCAGCTGACCTTAAGAAAAAGAGTAAGGGTAAGACATCCAACAATGTCGTCGAGATGGAGGAGGCAATATGTGCCAAAGAAACTCAAGATAGAGCGGAGGCACATCAACCAATTGGACCCAGTGTGCTGAAAACAACCAGACTGTTGAAGACAACAAAACCGATGACTCAGAATCATACAAGGGGTAAGTGTGCACCTTACTTTTGTTTACTGTTAATTGCAATCACATACCACAGACACAGCTGCAATGAACCAAGATAATGATGCAAGCCTCAAGGACACTGAAAATGGAAATTGTGCAACAAAGAGTCAAAAGGATAGTTGTAAGGAGAATGTGAGGCTCACCAAACACACATTCAATGACTCAGAGTTTGATGACATTGAGTAAGCTATTTTTATTTGAAATTAATCAGCACTTAAACATGAATTGCCCTTACTACCTACCACCATGGACCTTATACGCGCATCAATCAACTATTTTAGATGTTGTCCCTCCAAAAAGACTAAAGCCTCAACCTTTCGCTCTACCTCTCAACCAGCTACATCTGGTGTCATCCCTGGCTGGTCTTCCATTGTGGAAGCTAGTGTGCTAAATCAAAACCAGAAATCTGCTTTGCCTTACGGAAAAATAGCTTCACTAGCTCAGCATTCGCAGCCAGCTCCAAACAGCTGGTCCGCAGATTTATGCATATCAGGTATGTGATTTAAGGCATCTTTCTGACACATCTAGTATATTTTCACAAACTCAGGCAGGAACACCTCAGTAAATCCCTTCTCAGGACTCGATGATCATCCTGATCTCCCCAATATTCCTCCAGACGTCAAAATCACCAAGGGGCAGAAGCCAGTTATTTCTGTAGGTTGTGTCAATTTGTTTCAAACTGTCGCCTTATCTCAGATGGAGCAGAAATTATCATCTCAAAAAGCTTCAACATGTGGTGTTTTGCCTCGAGGCAGTGTAGGGGAGGCACACAGGCAAACAAGTACTGATTACATACCAGAATGGCCCGCCACCTTGTCAAGTATGTCGAAAGAGCAAGGAGATCAAGTATGGCCTGATTCGTCTCCAAGTGGTGCAGATAGGACATTGTCACAGAGCTTATCAGAGAGCAAGACACAAGAAACCACAGGACAACAGACAGTGCCACTGTCACTTTTTCACTTCACCGTACCGCTCAATTCTTCTGACAATGATGCCCCATCATCCACTCAGCTAACAGATTAAACAGCGACTCTAAGTTCAGGTCCGACATCGACATGGACACTCCAACATCTGCCTAACCTAGCAAGAGATCTAAAGTTGACCCAGAGCCCAGCTCCAATCATGATTCAAAGGAGCTGCACATTTCATTGGGGCTCATAAGCTGAAGTCCATATGAGCTCAACAATATTACACAGGTGGAGCAGGATTATTAGAAAGGGCCTTATGTTACGAGTCTGAGTCTAAGTCTGAGTAGTAGGTTAGAAATTTGTATGGTCAGGTCTATGAATGGACTGTTTTGTTTGGTATTCTGGTGCTTGGGCAGACTGATAGACTGTTGTTTGAGAATTGACTGCCACTGTGGAATGCTTAAATCATTGGGATATTTGATTTCCTGCAAAGCTAGTCTACTGAAACACTAGGCTACTATGGAACTGTGAGCTTGGAATACTCAGCTACTAGACCACTAGACCACTAGATTACTTGATTACTAGGCTACTATAGAACTGTGGACTTGAAATACTCAGCTACTGGGCTACTGTTTTATTGGAATAATGGTCTACTGGTTATGCTGGAATACCTGATAGCCTGGTCAACTGAATACCTGCTCTACTAATCATCCTAGTATACTGAAGAACTGATGAGTCTGGAATGTTGAAACAACTGGATGGCTGATGACCTGAGTGGTTGGACTCAATGGAACATCTGATATACTGGATGATTTTAATGACTGAAAGTCTAATTAGTCTGAATGACTGGATGACTGAATTCAGAAATAGATGCTACAGATTCCAGAAGAAATCTGGATGTCTGAAGTTACTGATATGCTGAATTCAGGCTCCTCAGGTGGATAAGTGAGGTCTAGGATTTTTTGGCATCTTCTGATGCTCCCATCTTGTATTGAGTCAAAGCTGAGACCCTTTTAGCATGACAAACATCTCCCTTGGTAACCACTCATCATTTGATCAGAACATTCAAAACTCTCCTGAAGTCATTGCCTTCAAGTATTTCTACTAGTGGTTTGGGTTGTATTTGACTCCAAATATCTCACTCTCACAGTCAGGGTATAAGAGCAACAGGCACTAAGTCTTTCTCTTGCTTGAACACAACAAGAGCTGTTTGTTACAATAACATTCTGCCTTCACTCATTGTTTCCTCTTCACAACTTACTGATGCAGCAGAACACCACCAGACACCTAAAGCAGCCTGGACCGCTGCTATGACATTATGATGGCCTAGAAGGCCTCCCAATCCTATCTAGGGACCATCAGACCTACAGCGCCTCATGCCACTGTAGGACTCAGAGTCCTTGTGGCCTTGAAAAGGCTATTTTTGCAGCATCCCTCGTGTCCTCATGTTGCACGCATCATCAATAGTGCAGCGCGCATATTTTTGTTGTCGGCCGATGGCCGTGGCTCGTGCATGTGCATTGGTTTGTGTCGGCTTACCTTTGGCTTTGTTGCATGTCCTTCCTCCATCCTCCCCATGTCCTTCGCTTGTCCATTGGTGCGTACCTTTCCTGATTTATATTAGACTGACCATATTTCCGATTCTATATTATTTATATCTTCATTACTTGCGTCATGGACCCTTATTACCTATTACCGCTACCTACTCGGCTCCGAATAGTGCTTCAGCGCGCACTCATATATACTGGTACTTAGAAATTTTCAACTACCTCACTACTCCCACACGAAAATCGATCATCTGCTTGCACTCAGAAATCGTTTGACTCAAAATCTAAGTTTTACTCATATCATCGCGGGTGCATCCATATCTGCTGCATCAACATTCTTCTATTCACGTACCCATATCCCTTGATTGCCCTATCAGTTCGCTGCCTTGCCACTCACCTTCGCGGTATTTGCAAACACTTTCGGCTTGACCACACACTTTCATGTGTCATTGTACTTTCGGTCGCACGACCCCGCTTTGTGTTGCGTTTTACGTCGGGTCGCTCGCGCTCATGTCGCATCGCGCTAACTTTCGTGTCTCTCTCAATTCTCAGTTACCCTTACTTGTTTCTAAGTTTCCCCTCCATATTTTTACATAGAGGAATCGTTCTCAGTAGCAATCCCCTTGGGCCGAATCTATACTCGCGTCCAGAGGTCTATTTGAGTTTTACCCCACTTCACCCTTTCTTCCCCTTTCACCCCTTCTTATCTAGCTATCATTCCTCACACATACCGCCTCATGGTGCTCTTCCCCTAGACCTAGACTAGCACATGCCACCTCATGCACATATGACTCAGAGGCCAGACCCACCTCATGTACTTATCTTGACACAGAAGACCTGCCTCATGGCATCTTATCTCTGACTCAGATAGATCCATAAATACAGACTCCTCCTGAACCTTATAGGATAGGCCTATATAGAGTAGACACATATCATTGTATTTCCTTACTTTGATATACTCGGTTTTCCATCAGAACTCCTTTCAGTGTGACCTCTAGTCCCACTGTCTTAACCGCACTTCTAAGGCAAGCCTACACTACCTTAGCCATACATCTGTTAGCCCTACAGCTTGATGAGTGGCTGCGCTTACCAAGCTTGATGGAGGACACCCCGGGCCCCACTGAGCTAGACCCTGTCCTTCTATCTATGTGAGACTGCTAGACGATTAGCTATTCAGCTATAGAAGGCTTGATCTATCCAAGTTGTAACACTATTTTAATTATGCAAATGATACATCTTCATTATTTAGCATTTCCAGAGCAGGTACTGTTGGACTTGGTTGTTGATGAGCTTGACTCAGAAGGACCCAAAGGAGTGGCTAGAACCTTAAATCATTGGTGGTACATACAGTAGTTATTTTTACATGTATGCTATGTGTTTGCAACTAATTCACTGTGCATTCAGGCTGCCAAAAATCCTATAGGTACCTTTTGATGGATGAATCAAAAGCAAACACATGCATCAAAATCATGTGGATGAGTACTCACACTGACTCAGACTGCACTAGCATGACCATCAGATTCAGTATTGACTTGACAATGGACATAAGCCATCATTACTCATGTAACAGACCAAACACAATGCATGAATTCTTTGAGATGATAGTCTTGCTCAGTAACTGTGTCATAAGCATATTAGATCAAGAATTTCAGGGCTTTCTGACAATTAGGTTTCTCAGAACTAAGAGACCAACAATAGTGCTTGGGCCTTCAATGCACCTATAGGCAGTATATCTTATAGATATTATTCATTGCAGGTGGGTACAGTGGCCCAGCCACACCCATAAGTATAAAAGAGGTCAGTAGCCATAAGACATCCATCTAGAGATCAGAGATGAGTGGATGAGTTGAAGAGAGCTAACAAATAGAATCACTGCAAGAACATTAGTCATTGTGTAATGTGCGACTAAGTGCTGATACTTACATCTCAGTATCTTAGACAGAACTAAGATGCATCTACAGGTACTGCCTGTAGCTATAAGGTAAATGGAATAGGAACACAGGGACTGGTATCAATTTCTCATTTTCCTCCATTAAATATCCAAAAAACATTGATTGAGAAGATAGAAATTTCCCCTCATTTTGTCTGTCAAAACATTGAAAAAAGTAATTAATGTATCAATGATTTTCTGTGTGTGGAACATGATGCAAAAATTAGTCATGTTCCTTAAAGGATAATGCTGTATTTTCCATCTATTGTCTTTTAAATTACAGCTTACAATAATGTTACATTAATTACTTTTTTTCAATAGTTTGACAGACAAAATGAGGGGAAATTTCTATCTTCTCAATCAATGTTTTTGGATATTTGGTGAAGGAAAATGGGAAAATGCCTGTAGTGTATATTGATCAAAGACAAGAAAAATAGGGGAGGACATGAGCCACTGTCAATGCTGTAGCACTCAGGTTTGCACTGGGCATGTATTCTGCCAAATTCACAGATACCTGGGTTACTCAAATAGTACATATAGCAGCACACCTCACATGTTATTACATGCATATCTGTGTAGTGACTCGCCTCAAGTCTTATTATATGTCAGATAGCATATCTCGCTACTGTTCTCACCTATGCAATCCTGGACTTTCACACTGTAGGACATAATCTGGCTTGCTATAAACCTCGCACTTCCTTTGCTACAAGTCATAGTTAGTAGAGTCACTTTCAGATAGTTGTACTTTCTGCAATCAATCCATTTGGTCATTTGGAACAATTGTTTGGCTTGACCACTACCATTTTGCATCTCGCTGTCTCTAGAGTTCTCCAATAGGCTTTGCATAGTTGTACTTTGATACTCTTGTGAGTCTTATACTTCAACATACTTCAACATACCCACCATATTCTCCCTTGAAAACCTCACAAGCTCTTCAGGACTTCTGTGCACCATCAGACCTTTAATTCTTGACTTCGGACCTCATTTGCTTGCTGTGTGTGAGGAATAATAGCTAGATGAGAAGGGGTGAAAGGGGAAGAAAGGGTAACATGGGGTAAAACTCAAATAGACCTCTGGACGTGAGTATGTATTCAGCCCAAGGGGATTGCTACTGAGAATGATTCCTCTAAGTAAAAATATGAAGGGAGATCTTTGAAACTAGTGAGAGTAACTGAGAATGGATGAAACATGAGGGTTAGTGCAAACACAATGTGAGCACGAGCGAGCCACCATAAGTGTAATGCGATATGAAGCCATGTGGCCGAGCCAAAGAGTAAATATGAAAGCCATGAAGTGGCAAGACAGTGAACTAAGTAGCATTGAAGGATATGCGAGTTTGTAAATGTGAACATTTAGCACAGCCATTAGAGATGCACACACAGAAATATGCTGAAGGTTTAGATTTCTTATTCAGATGTTATTGTGTGCAAACAGGTGATAGATTCTGTGAGGGAGATGAATGATACACGAAAATCATAAGCATACAGTATATATGAGAGCGCACCAAAGCACTATGTGGAGATGATAGGTAGGGATAGTATGTAATAAGGGTCCATAATGCAAGTAATGAAAATATAAAAGATATAGCTTCAGAAATATAGTCAGTCTAATACAAATCAAGTAAAATATGCACCAATGGACAAGTGGAGGACATGGATAGGATGGAGGAAGGACATGTGATAGAGCCAAAGAAAACCTGACGTGAGCTGATACACAGCTGTTGGCCAATAAAAAAATAAGTGCATGCTGTGTTAGTAATAGCGCACACTATGTGAGAACCTGAATGACACTGCAAAAATAGCCTCTAAACTTCACGCAACCTCAGACCTTTGTTTCTTGACTTCGGACCACCTTCACTCGCATCGGACAACTACTTTAGTACTTCAGAACTTTGAATGCACCTTGGGTGACTTTCCTTTCTCTCATCCTCAATCTTAACGGACCTTCTGCACTTATATTTTAAGAGGTAGTTCTACAGGCAGTCTCTTTGGGACAACTTATACTCGCACTCTGAGTTCTGAGGTGATCACTTTCTAAGTGTCCATACAGGGTCTACTCTTTACACTGTGATCTGAGATAACCTTATTGTGGAGTCTAAAATGTTTGAAGATATTCTTAAAAAAAGAGTTTGACTACTCCTTCTGATGTGAAATCTTGTTATAATGAGTAATAATTATTCACTTCATAAGGCCATGATCTACCATGAGCATGACTAAGTCAAAGCCCCCAGAGGGCAGACAGTCGTTAATGAGAAACTGATTTTGAATCTGGCGACAACTTGACTAAGACCAATGAAGAATCAATATCTGAGATGCTATGTATGAGCAAATATTCAAGACATGTTCTTATAGAAAAAATGAATGTGACATCCCACAAGTTTCAAACTTGTTGCACTCCAATGGAAACAGATTTTTATTCTGCAATGACAGCTGCTTGGCTAAACACAACTGTGATCAGCTTGCAAGCAAACCAACTGTGAGCAAATTTCAAGGTGTGCTTTCATAGAAAATGAATTGTATTACTGGCAGGTTTCAAACCTGCACAGTCCAAGAGAAACAGATTTTGACTCTGGTGATCACTTGGCAAATTCATCTTCAGCAGGTTTTGAACCCACATAGACGGATTGAGATTCTGCTGTATTAACCACTTGGCTGAGACCAGTTAGATGCACTGCCAATAAATACATTCAGAAGTGAATCCTCAAGGCACATTTATCTGCATTTTGTCAGTTCTTTCAATAGCATGATCATCATTTATTTATTGTATTCTGCTAAAACCTGCCAATTGCAACATTTGTTTTCTATGAAAACATGCTCTGACATTTTCTTGGGCACAGACATCAATTTCTAACATCCACCTTGGATTCAACTGTGTGATCTTTTTATTGTCAGTTTTCACTCATGAGCCCACTGTGATGGTCTGCCATCAGCACTTTTTCAAGGAAATTGTTAGGTAAACAGGTCTTGAAGTTAAGAGCCCCAGCAGAAGTCTGCGTCTTTTGCAGTAAGAGCAGTATACAAGAATCAACGGTGACCATGCTATTGAAAGAACTGACAAAATGCAGATAAATGTGCCTTGAGGACTCACTTCTGAATGAGTTCATTGGAATTGAACCCAACTGCTCTCAGCCAAGCGGTTAATGCAACAGAATCTAAATTACCTCAACCACACTAGTATGTAACCTAATAAGGATGTCGTAGGGGGGGGGGGGGGGGGGCTATGACATGCTAACTAGCACCTGTTCTCCTAATTATCACACTCCAGCAGTACCACCACGAATAAAGCCTTAATTCCCTTTGTAGACTTTCCCAGAACGGAAGCTTATGTGAGTAGACCGTCCCGACTATCACACCCTCCTTCAGGAAGCTCTGTGTTATGCTATATTTGCCACTCGCTGCTTAATCATTGTTGCTCGCTGTTGTCAACGACGAGCAAAGCTAAGTCCTTCAAATTTTTACCGTTTTTCTTACTTCTTTTTCTATTCTAGGTCTATTTATCAACGCGCACACACTACAAACGATAGTTGGCGCTGACATGTCCTTGTCGTTGTCTTGCACGGTAAGTCCAACCCGCACGTGACTTTGTTGATGTGACTCACGCTTCTCGGCAGACACCCATTAACTCCACGCCCCTCACTGTTGCTGCCATTGTTGGCAGCAGCGAGCATGCCTTTCTCCTTCTCCCTACCACATATGATGCCTGCCTCCAAAAGCTCTCGTTCTGTGCGTCTTGTCGTCGGTTCAACAAGATCTACTGCGAAGCTCAAGTCCAGGGTCCTGTCACAGACACAGCAGGTTGAGGATCGACGACGCAGGCAGGAACAGTACAATGCCAATATCGCAGGTAAGTTTTATTATCTATGCTATATTTTGTATTGAGAATGCTGGCTATAGGACTAAGTACCGAATCTCAAACGCTGCTTGCAGACATGCAGCATGAAGCTGTAGACAGCACGAACGCAGGCATCGTTGATACTATGGACGCTATGGACAGTGTGAGATCCAGGTATGTCTTACATGTATCCTCAAAGAACTATTAGATGCTCATAAGTTCATACTTACATAGTTTTGCGTTGGGCGTGTTGAGTACATTTCAGCAGGCACTCCAGCTCCAGCGCTAAGGGTCTCGCGCTCTTCCTATCTCATGTTCTTGATGCAAGGATCGCAGGAATGCAACATTGATTACATGTTATTGTCGACGTGTTCTTACTAGTACTAGGAAATATAGTACCGGCATTTTCAACTTGAAGCTGCAGCCTCTGTGGACTGATTAGCACGCTGTTTGGGCCCTCGCTTTTTTCCCTTATCAGAGCGCGTCTTGCGCTGTTTCTTAGTAACAGATACCTCATTTCCTCCCATGCCCGTAATACCTGAAATCACACCACTTTCTACTTGCTCGCGGCCCCGTTTCCTTTGAATGGGTGCAGAGTCTTCTGTTGTAAGTATGGACCGTGACTCGGTGTCTGCTGGCTGTGAGATAGACAAGAGCGACGGATCAATGTTTGCTAGAAAAACTTGTTGTTAGCATCATCTGATATCACAATGTAAGGATATAACACGTACCGTTAATCCTACTTTCATCTGCCAGTGCATTCCTATCTTCGTTTGCGTCATCATCTGAACTGCGCTCCAAGGTGTTATTGAATCTGGTCTCGTCTCAGTCTTCCCACTCAGCAGCTGTCAACTTACGAAATTTTGTCACACCTGTCCTAAATGCATTGTACACAATCTTGACCTCCACCATCGAGCCTATGTCCCCAGGATTTGCAAATTTTTTGAGCAGCCAGTTGTCGAGAACCACACCATGTTGCGCGGTAATATTCTCATCGAAGTTGACATAGTACATTCTGGATGGGTACCTGAGCTGCCTCATGAAGTTTTTGCAGGATAAGCGCAGACATATTGCTCTTGAGTTGAAGGAAACTCTGCTTGTAGTTAGAAACTACACCTATAGAAGCACAAATCACAACATGCGGCTAATAATAAATAAAAATTTGTACCAGTAACGCCAGATGTACAGTAGCCTTCAAGATGTGTTGCGAAGTTGGAGGGTGTCTCTTTGAGAGCAAGCTGGAAAAAGTCGCCGACACGATCATCTGAAAGGTAGACGTAAGGACAATTATAATGGTTGAGGTCGCCCCGAACAGTGATGAGGGCAGTATGACACCCAGTCCTTGCAGAGAGAGTAGCGAGCTGTATACGATATAAGGACATGTCAAAAATCACAACTTCTATGTACTGTTTATGTTACAGAATCCAATGTAGCGCGAATATCATGGAAGGCATTGATGGGGACGTTGTGACTTGCCAAAGCCTTGTTTTCGCGATGGTCTTCTAAGTCTTCCATGAGGCCTTCAGTTGCGTCAATCTTTTCTTGCTGTGACTTAGCATTCCATTTCTCAGCGATATCACGCCTGACCTGGGTAGCCTTCACACGTGGTTCGTCAGGAGCTCGCGCTGTATAAAATACATTAGAAAATTTGAGGGATGTACTTTAATACACAACTGACCTGCATTCATCGCCTTGACCTCGGAACAAAGAAATGCGTTCCAACGGGTTGCTTTTCGGCTCTTTTGCTTGGTGTGCGTTCATTGTAAAATTGCCTCAAAATGATATTCAACTGTCCTGTGAGGAAACTGTTCGTGCAATTTGATGGCCTCCTGCATGACCAGATCCTGACAATCTGCAAGGGCATCCTTATACGCGCATTTATGAGCCCTGCATTTCTCAGTAAGTGCCTTCTTCTCAGCTTCTGTGCGGAGACGTGTTTTGCGTTTGATGCTGTGGCGCCACAGTGTCCTTGAACTAGACTTTGTGACCTTGATATAACACTGGTGTTGAGTGACATCTGGCATTGTTGAAAATCACAGCAGCACGAGCAGGAGGACAACACGAACATGGGAAGCAAGCAAATAAAAATTGTTAGTGTTTGTAGATGACGTTAAAGGCACAGTAAAAGTGTCAGTAGTGTTATCTACATGAAGAGACTATCACAAAGATAGACATCACGTCCTGAAATCAACTCAAAAAGATATTCAGCCTCCAACAGAGGCATTCCTCTAGTGCAGAGATAGTTAGTAAAATCTTGAGACAAATTTCCTTCCCTAAAAGCATGAATGACGCTCCATATGGCTGATGCTTGGTAGCCATGTGCAAAGAGGTACTTTTCAGCATCAATACCAAGGACACCAGCAGGAGGTGAGTCTGAGTCGGTATTATGAGATTCTCCGACGAAAACTGTCCCTGTGATTCCAGAAAGCAACCTATTATAGTGGAAAATGATGGGCGGTGATGAATTGTCAGGGGCAGTCACTTGAAGCTGCTCGAATTGAGCTGCAAGCTGCTGTAAACCTTGTGAAACAATCAGAGGAAGTAAGAAGAATGAAAAACGAACATACCTGCAGGTTGAGGTACCCTGCGCTGCCTTTGAGAAGTGGATGATTGATGTATCATCACAAAGGACTTGGTATCGCAAGTCAAACCAGTTGAAGTCAGCTGAGACTCATCGTTAGGAATATTGCCCTTGAATATCATGAAGCGGAGAGCTTCGATTAGCGTCTTGAATTTCTGGAACTTCCGGATTTCAAGGCCGTTGACCTGTGCAATGGCCATTGACCTGTAACATTCAGAGCATGAGTATGGTGCAGCAGCGAGTTGATTGGACGAGCTAAAAATACGCTCCATTGTAGCAAGATCTTCGATTCCCATGCCCTTGATGATGTTTGGGTGGTTCTTGTCTTGGCAGAGATAACTGTGGGTATACCCATGGAATGCATCAACACACATACAATATTCCGCATCGTTGAACCTCTGCGCTAGCAAGCTAGAGGCAATAGTGATAGCAAGCTTGCAGCCAACATCGTATCCAACCAGAAGATGTGATCCGAGAGTCTCGAGAGCTTTGCTAATGATGGCAAGGGGGTACTTGAAACTGAATATATAGACCATCAGTATTTTCGTTGAAAATAGGTAGGTTAATCAACATACAGCTCCCCACTACGAACCATATCACCAATCCAAAGTATGAGACCGTGACGACAAGCGCTTGCAAAGATTCCCGTCTCTTCAAATATTCCCCACAACTTCTTCTTTGCATCTGCTGCAGCAGCTTTCCAGTTATCCGTGCATGCGGACGTAGCTAGTGACATGTTCAAAGGTCCAGGGTCCTCCCCAGTGTGTGTTTGAGAAGTGGGGTCGACGTTCGCATCATCCAATGGTAGCGTATTCGATTGTGATGCAAATGTGTTGATGTAGTCAGGCTCGAGGTAGCAGTCGCTCTTGAATAAACGTGTATCGCCAATTTGGCGGCCTCCCAGTGGTGCCATACGTGACAGCGAGTTGTTCCCATCAAATACTATCATTCGTCGGAAGATAAGTTCCGGCTCATCCTTCAGCTAAAAATTCACGTTAGAATATTCATAACAGTGCCTTGCATTACATACCTCATATGTGCATGGCGGACATGCATTGAGCACTCGCCAGTTTTCAGAATCACATCCAAGGGTCTTCGAAACCTGAGCATCAATATTGCGGTGAATTGCAAGATAGACGTCGAAAGCACTGGCAAGCGCAGTACAATATCTCCGGCGATAAGGCCACTAAGTTGCGTGTCAAGTACAATGCTAATAAGAAAGTCAAAAGTACATACGTGATAGAGGTCGCAAAGGACCTTAGTGAATGCCTTGACGCTGAGTGAAGGTTTGCGAAGACGCAGGCGCCTGTAAAGCTCAAGTGTTGGCAAGGAGATGGCGATGGTTGGAGAATGAGGAGTAGCACCCAGATAACCATTTAAGATCAGGGCTTCTGTAGGGGTTTCAATGGTGGGTGCACTGTGAATATAAGTGCTAGTAACAAGTGTGTATATGTCGATAACGTCGATCGAGAAATTGTAAGGGCTAGGTTCACTTGGAGGGGGAGGCAATGAATACTTCCATGTGAGGTACCCAGAAGTGAGCGCATTGATCAGTGGCGCCCAATTTGTGTGAATGCTGACAAGGCGTTGCTGCCATCCATGGCTATCTTTGTATACGCTGAAGGTGAGGAATCTTGACTGTGGGTGAAAACACTAAAAGAAAGGGGGCTCTACAGCAAGACCTGGATACGAGAATACAACTCGACCCAAAGGACAGCTACTGAGAGAAGTTCCTCGCGAATAAGGTGGAGGGAAACTCTGTCAACTAGACGGGCGCTGGTAGACGCGGAAAAGTAACGCGCGCGAAGGCGCACGTAGGCAATGCAAAGGCGCGCGAGATGCGCGCGTGAGCGAGAGATGCGGAGGGTACATGCGTAAGCGGGCGCGCGCTTGAACAATGAAGGAGAGGAGCCCTTAAGAGAGTAGCAAGGGCACAGGTGTCAAACAGTGGAGGAATATAATCAGATTTCTAGTATTGGAGGGAGAACTATACACTTTGCAGTATATCAAGATAAGGGGAAAGTAAGTACCAGAACCGAAGGAATCCTCCCTTTATTTAAGAAGGGAGATTACGCTATGCGGCGCGCTTCCGAGCGCGCTCCCGAACCGAGTAACCATATCAACTTCTAAATATATTCTAAGTTTAAATAGACTCTCTGTATGTAAGCGCGGAGGTCGGACCGAAGGTTCATTAATTCAATGAGAGAGATAAAAATAACGCACCAGTAAATCAGCAAGGACAAAGGACAGAGGGACGGACGGTAGGAGCGCGAAGGCCTATGGAGCGCGCGTGCGTGTGCGATGTGCGAGTGAGGCGCGTACGTAGGGCGCGCGCGCGAGAGCGCGAATGACTGGTCCTTAGGATGTGAGCTGATACAGGTAGGGAATTAAATGGGTAAGAAGGCCGCATATCCGGCATTGAGAGGCGCGAGTCTCTACAACGCGCCACCTGCAGTAGGTCTAAATGAGTGTCACCAAAATGAAAAAAAAACATATAGTACTTACTGGCTACCGACAATGTCTCGCACAGCAAGCATAAAGGTCTCATTATCTCTGAGGTCATCTGGGACCGTTGTAGAAACAACAATACCGAGAGGAACAAATGATGCTCCTGACTGTATCTGTAAATGTTGTGAGGTCGCGCGTTGCCTAGTCTGCTATACTTGAGACGACAAGTGCGTTTGACCCTAAAGGGGAAGCGAGTGCAGCAAGGATCTGGTAGTAGGCGCTGAAGGCGCTACTGGTCGGCCAATGCGAAGCGCGGGAAAGCGAAGGTACGCGCGAGTGAGCAGAAACAAGTGAGAGTAAGAGTGAGTTTGCTTAAGTGGTGATATGATGAATAACAAGAGATGTGAGTGCGAGATGCCAAGGAATAGATTGCAACTATATTCTGCTAGGTAGGAGATGGGTAAGTGGGAGGTAGAGTAATTGTTGGAAAGTGAGTTCAGTATGTAATGCTGGCGCTTATATGGCGCCTAAGCGCTGTCATGCGGAGCCAAATCGCTACTGAGTAAGGTATGCAAAGATATATGTATGTAAGTAAGGGTCCATGATAAAAATAAAGGTGGAACGATGCACAGATAAGAGAAATGGAAACATACGCACTAGAGAACTTGGTGGACAATGGATGGATGCTTCCGGATGGCTGGCGCTATAGGGCGCTCAAGCGCGGGAAAGCGCGCGCGTGTATACATCGTAAAGCGCGGGAATGGTGCGCACATGGCACGTGTTGTGCGGGAAAGCTGCACCTCATATAGGGATAGCTGCAGATAGCACACAGAATGGTGCTGCAAGTTCGTGCAATGAACTCCCTAGTGAAAAGTGCCATATCACACCATGAGAGGCATGAGTCTCTACACCATTTCCCATTGAAAGTCATGGTCCATAGCGTCCATAGTATCAACGATGCCTGCGTTCGTGCTGTCTACAGCTTCGTGCTGCATGTCTGCAAGCAGCGTTTGAGATTCGGTACTTAGTCCTATAGCCAGCATTCTCAATACAAAATATAGCATAGATAATAAAACTTACCTGCGATATTGGCATTGTACTGTTCCTGCCTGCGTCGTCGATCCTCAACCTGCTGTGTCTGTGACAGGACCCTGGACTTGAGCTTCGCAGTAGATCTTGTTGAACCGACGACAAGACGCACAGAACGAGAGCTTTTGGAGGCAGGCATCATATGTGGTAGGGAGAAGGAGAAAGGCATGCTCGCTGCTGCCAACAATGGCAGCAACAGTGAGGGGCGTGGAGTTAATGGGTGTCTGCCGAGAAGCGTGAGTCACATCAACAAAGTCACGTGCGGGTTGGACTTACCGTGCAAGACAACGACAAGGACATGTCAGCGCCAACTATCGTTTGTAGTGTGTGCGCGTTGATAAATAGACCTAGAATAGAAAAAGAAGTAAAAAAAACGGTGAAAATTTGAAGGACTTAGCTTTGCTCGTCGTTGACAACAGCGAGCAACAATGATTAAGCAGCGAGTGGCAAATATAGCATAACATGGAGCTTCCTGAAGGAGGGTGCGATAGTCGAACACCAGCATCTATCTCCTCATTTCCATCATCAAGTTCCTCTAGTGCTAACTCTAGAGCTGAGGAAGGAGGAGGCTCATGGAATATCAGGTCACGTTGATACATCATGCGAAGAATTTGAATAGCCTCCACAATGTCACCCTTCAAACAGTTTCGGCGCTTGGTGATGGTCAGAGCTGCAGCTGAAAATGCTCGCTCACTTGACACTGATGTAGCCATGATTGACAGGTAATCACGAGCTAGAGATGCCCAGACAGGGTACTGCTGGGCATTCACCTGTAACATCAAGCCCACATTAACAAGAGTCAAACACATACAAAATGACAGGACCCACCCCCCACCATTGAATGATGGACATGTTCTCAGGTACTGCAGTAGCAGAATTAAGATAGAGATGAAACTCCTTCAACCATGGTGACTGTGGATCTTCAAGTGACTCTTTCAGCTCTCCATCATCACTCTCATCATCACTGGAGAGTTCCCGAAGGAGTGAGTGTACCTTACTAGTCTTCTTCCTTGGTGAATTTGGTGCTCCATGCTTGCCATACAATCTGATATGTCTTTCCTTGAACTGCACCTATGTAAGCATCTCATTCTCAACAAGAAGACAAACTCACCATTCTCTCAGCCTCACGGAGAGCATCAATATGTGTTTCTTTACCCCAGAAGTGCTTAATATGTGAGTCCTTCTGTGATGGGTCAAGCACTATTAACAACAAGAGTGAATATAAGGCAATAGTGTTCCAACAAGCACATACCATCGGAATCATTGGAAAGGAGGTCCGGTTTGAACCACTCGAGTGCCATACCCTTAAGGTAGGATTGGGCGAAATTGACTTTTGCCCGTCCGGTACGGAAAGACTTAGGTTTGCTTTGGAAGTGGAGCTCGCATTGGACGAAGAATGCACGAAGCTTCCAAGGCTCTGTGCCATCGAAAGTATCAGGTTCACGGATCTTGACTTTGGAGTCTTCGGATGAGACGGTACGACAGTTGTTGCGTGTGAGGTTGTCAATGGCTTCGGAAAGCCGGAGCATGATGCGGTCTTGTGGGTTTAGTCCGTCATTTTCGTCGTCATCATCCGGATCATCATCCGGATTACCTCCAAAATCATCCAGAGGGTCTTCATCGTCGGGTCCTTCATCATCCGGAGGTCCTCCAGCAGCAGTACGTGTAGGCATAGGAGTCACTGGATGCGGACGATTCAAGAGTTGAGAAATACTTTGAGCAGGACCGCTTGAGACATGGCGCTGCAAGAAACTGGTGAAGGCGTTAACTATGGAGGTTGGATCGCGTCAGCTGGATGACAGTCCAACTGCGTGCAGAGCGGCTTGGTTTACTTTAGTAGGAGCCATGATATGAGTAAGTGTACTTGGAAAGGTGTGAGTTCGAATATACTGTTAAGGTCGTACTCTCGTAGGATCGGATCTGAAGGACTTCGGCCTCAGCTCGTATGCTGTGCCCCTTTCCCAAGTACTGTCCCTTATTTCAAAGACTTAACGATAACGCGTCCGAAGGTCCGGACGAGTCTCGTAGTTATATCCGGATGACTTCCGGATATCGGAAACGCGTATAAGACTAATCCGGACGGATCCGGACTAGAAACAAACAGAGTATAGACTATCTGAAGATAGAGGCGGAGACGTAGACTATCAGAATCGATCCGAAGTCTCAGAGATTGACAAGAGTTGTTTAGACTCAAGTCCGGAGGACAGAAAGAGGACAAACTAAGATGATATTCGAACTGAGGTACTACAGGAAATATACATGGGTTTATATACTAAGAGGATAACAGAAGGATCAATAAGCAAAGGTCCGAGGCTATGTATGAAGCATATGCAAAGCTTATCAAACACGAGTCGGAAATGAAGCATAGGATAACGGATCAGTAATCATACCGGTAATAAGTATAACCGAGACACCGGGAAGAGGAAATACCGAATAGGCTGTGTTTAACATTATATGAACAGGAAATGAATTAAGAAGCTTATCGGATATCGGATCGGACGCGGATCTATGCATCGGACCGGACCGGATCTAAGAGTCCGAAGTCCAGAAGAGAAGCATGAATATATGGGATATGACAGATGACAGATGACATCAGCAACAGCAGATAAAATCATTACAGGAATGACTTACTTTAACTGCAATAGCTCGGACAAGGCCAATTTCATCATGTCGGCCATTCTCTTTGACTATAGATAGTGTGGGATGCTCAGGGTCGTAATAAGGGGCTTTGCTATATGTTGAGATGAGGGCCCTTGTAGCGAGGTGGATAACATGAGCCAAACACCTAGATACTTGTTAGTACATGCTCGACTCACAAAAATATACCTACCTGATACGGCGCTTTTTTGGGATCCACTTGATACCAGTCCCCTGCTTCACTCGCAAGGCAAGCTCATTGAGCATTGTGTCGTTGTTTGAAGCATTATCAC